GGGTTAGGGTTAAACTAAATGTACCCCAACTAGCACAAATATGCCCATCTTAAATATACCCTGAATGGGTTGAATACATTTTGTCAAAATAAACTTAGCCCATACCCTAATACCACACAATGCAACCAAAAAAAAAAAAACCTACCCAAAATGAATGTTGCTTACATAAACATTCCTGATTTTCGAAAATCAGAAGAACTGTTCAAGGTATAATCCAGTAAACTGAGTCCCACTTGAACCTAGTTCTTTACCAAATCCCCATCAGGGGAAATTTCTGTGATTACTACATGTATAATGGCAACACCCCAATCGGGGGAAATCTGGGTCCCATTCATCTTCCCTACCCTCTTGATCTTTACCTATACTGTGACAAGACATTGAGAGGCGGCGGTGGATCACAGCGTAAGTACATCTCCTTCATGCCAGCCTGCATGGTGCTGAAGTCCAGCGTCACAGCTTCTGGTATGATACTTGCATTGAACTGCTGAACGTCCAGCAGTTGTGTCAGCTCAACTGGAATGCAGTTGTTTGGACAGGGTTTATTTTTCTCTTAACCTCCAAGGTTACAACCTACCATGCTCTTGGTGTCACCGGAGGTGTGAAAAGGTGTGGACCTTGTCAAGAACTGGAGATGTTCCTTTGCCATTCAAAGTGCTGTTGTTGGGTCTAAATTCCGTCCCTCTTTTAAGTATTCAGGAACTGACATCTTTGTTATATCTGTCAGTGCGACTTAGCATAAATCGTATTTTGTTGACCAAAACAGAATCAAAAAAAGAAAAACGTTGTTGATTTATTGAAACTGAAAAAGAATCCCCTAATAAGGTTGTCTTGAGTAAGCTCTGAGGCAGAAATTAAAATGAGACGATGGAGGCTTGATGTGACATAGTGAAAATAATCTAAGGCTAGTCCTTGGGGAAAAAAGTGGGAACAATTTTCCTCAGATGTTCTGTCAACTTTCAATTTATGCACATACTTGCGCTAGATCAAATTTTGACAATAATCTAAAACAAGATCAGAAACAAGAAAAGTTCTTCCTGAAACGGTCTCTTTTCATCCAAGTTCTTTCTTCATGCCTTCCTACAGATAGGTTCCAGCATTAGATCAAGACATGGCATAAATGTTCGCTTGTCGGATTAAAGGGGCAGCGTGAAAGTGTTACAAGAGCAGGGGAAACACTAAGACAGGGTAGGGCAATTAAAATTCATTGATCTCGTCAAGCTGTCTACTGTATGTGTATCCTTCATAACCAGCTACTGTGCACTGTCTTTTGGGATATTACCAGCGAGACCAGCTACATGTAGGCTAATCACAGGTGAGTCATCGTTATGGACCATTGCATCCGGCCGTTGGAAAATATCACCATTGTCCGCGGTGAAATTAGCCAAATAAAAAATGCATGTTTTGCGGGCCCTCGCTGCCATGCAATTTGGCATTTCTAGAGCCTATCCTGAGTTGTTTGATGACTGGTGACGTAAGATGTGAGAGAAAGAATTTTCCAACAAGAAGAGCATTTTTAATCTAAAGATGTTTGGATTGGACTAAATTGTAGGAGCTCCCTCCCAAAAAATAAAACACCTCAGGCAAGGTTGTTCCATCACTAAATTGGATTATTCAGTCTCATCTCAGAGGACTACCTGCACCCCTCTTTCTTTTTAATTTGAAATGTCTCTGATGAAAGACGGGACAAGACACAGCAGGTGCAGGAGTAGATTGTCAATTTTGCAGGTTGACCGCTATTATCTGGTCTAGCGAGGAGGGGAGAATCACCGATTACATAATCATACACATTGCCCAAGATGGGCCAAACAAATTCGATTTGAAGCCTGAGGATTGTTTTTATTATTTCACTGCAAATGCAGATGACAAATTTTTGAACAAGAGTAAAGTGAATTCCAGATGAGGAGCTGGGCCAATTGAAGACAGGTGTCCCATTTGGATTCAGCTTTGAGAGTTCACTGACATGTACATGTACTTTGGGGACCTTTTTCTATTGATTCATGAAAAGTGTTTTAATTTTAATGATCATCTACAGTACTAGTACATTGGCCCAGTCATCCACGCAAAGAGAGAGAGGAAAGTAATGAAGAAATCCATAGACCTCTCCACTGAGTATTTCCATCATTTTCAATTTTACGAAATCAAAATTAAGGTTATAAACAACTGGAAACAGTTAAAGAGATTTCTTTCATATAGAAAATTAAGCCCTTATGATTGTCACTGGTTAAGTACAATCTCAGGAGTACATCATGTCCTTAAAAACTTTGACAAAACTCTGCTGCCCTATAGGCTTATTAGATTGGATTCAACTATGCACTTTGAATGGCTCTAGAAAAACCTCCAGGTCTTGACAAGGTTAACCTGCCCAGTCAGGAATCCGTACCCATTTGAGAAGAGAAAAGAAGGTTCAGGGGGTTATTCTGTGTTACCTGTAAGGGGTAAGGAGGTTGAGCTTGGGCGGTTTGTCACAGCGCATGTAGGTTTCCCGCATGGCCGAGGGCATTGTGTAATTAGCCACCACCTCTTGGTCCAGTAAGGTCGAGCTTTTGAAGGCTTTGCGCATCTGGATGTCTTGCAAGGAGACTGCATGTGCGAGGGGACGGGGGGCGGAAGATGCAGGGGAGGCAAGAGGAAGATGCAGCAAAGCAGTGCCACGGATGTACAGGACGGGCAGATGAGAAGAGGATGGAGAGAGATGACAAGATGGCAGAGGTGCAAAGATGGTGAAAGAAAGCAATTAGAGATGATCGTTAAGAAGGGGATGAGAAGTAAAGGAGGGCAGGAATACAAATGAAGAGCACACAAGGGAACAGATTGAAGATGCAGGGAAGGTGAGAGATTAAAGTTGATGGATGAAGGAGGACATTGCATTAGCAGTAAAGAGGCAAGGAGGAAAGGGTGTGAACATTGGAGAAATGGAGGGCAAAATGTAAGAATGCATGATGTGTGGATGGATACAAGAGACCAAGGAAGACACAAGAAAAAAGGATGCAAGGAAACAAACAGCAAGAATGAATTGGATGGATGAATTAAATTAAGATTGACAAGGTAAGGTGAAAGTTTAGATGTAAAGAAAGGGGGACGGAAAACAAAGGGAAACATTCAGCAAAGAGATCACAAAATTCACAAGGGGCATTTGGAAATGGAGGGCAGAGGGTGAAATGAAAGATTATTGATAGGAACAACATGTAACCGTGGAAAATGAGAAAGTGACAAAACGTCAGAAGGGGAAATGGCAAGGAAAAAGTGAGGGATATAAGATGGCAAGGAAAAAGTGAGGGATATAAGATGGCAAGGAAAAAGTGAGGGATATAAGATGGCAAGGAAAAAGTTAGGGATATAAGATGGCAAGGAAAAAGTGAGGGATATAAGATGGCAAGGAAAAAGTGAGGGATATAAGATGGCAAGGAAAAAGTGAGGGATATAAGATGGCAAGGAAAAAGTGAGGGATATAAGGTGTCAAGGTTGACATGGTTGAAATGCAAAATTAAAGAAAGCAGAGGGAAAATGTGTGGTGGAGAGAAAAATAAGCACATTTTTTGTTAGAAACCCATGTACCAAGCTACTGTTACCATTTGTAACAATACAGCCACCATCTTTGGTACATGTACATGTATCTAAACTTCATAGTGAACACTCAAATTTTGTTATCTGTATCGCTGGCACCTTACCACTTTGAGTCAAACCCACATGCTGAAATTGACAGATCTACACAGAATATTAAGAGGATGGCTGCATGTTATAAGCCTGGTAACCCTGCTTATGGATACTAAGGGTGGATCTAGTGTCGTTACTTTCAATCCGCTACCAGACAGTTTTCAAAGACATGGCAATTATTTGTGAAAGGTAACAAGAGTGTCATATGAGCTTCACTAAAATTAAAGAAAACTGACTGGGCATAAGGAACTTGAGAAACAAGCACAAGTAAAGGCTTTTGTGGAAAAATTATCCAAACAAAATCTGTCATGTATCAAAACTGCAATATGAGAGAAAGAATTTTGTAATAAATATCTTTACAAAGCTGGCTTTTTTTCTTATCCATGCAGCTGAAATATAAAACAAAAATTCAACCGCAGTTTGCACCCATAAAGAGCTCATTTCAACATAAGGCATGAACCATACATGTGGGTAACTACTAAGTGTAGTCATGTCTAAGCAGTTAATGGTGCGTGGCCAGGATATATGCACCATCAAGCAAGCAGTATAGGCAAATGGTGCATATGTCAATGAATTATTCCGTCCTTTGCATCATCCGATCATCCTAACAGTATCACAATGCCAGATGTCACAGGCAAGACAGACGAAAAAAAGCAAAACACATGCAGTGAAGGGACATCAATGGAACAGATATAAGGATTGCTTCGTGGGGGAAGGGTAAACATACACCAGGTGGACACAGGTATGTTCCTTCTGGGATTTAATTGATTGAATAGATTGATGAAACTATGATGGATACATGAATGCAAAAAGACAGAATACACATATAAGCATGACAACATTCAACTTACACTTATTATTAAGCTCGGCCTTGTTTAGACACAAATGCAAATTATGTAAAACTCAAACACTTTGGCTGATACATCTTTTGTCAGGTTGGCTGTGCTTTCCTGGCCCTTCACCTCCACAAACTTACCTCTGAACCTTGTCTGACGGTCCAAATGTAAGGTGGGAACTGGGCATAAGGATTGAGTTTTCATCCCCTACCTGATGCTGTGGGTTTTCCCTGGAATATTTATCTGGGGTTTTCCTCCCACCTCTAAAACAGAACATTACTTCATTGTCTTAATCACCATCAATCATAATCATCCTTTTCATGTAAGTTGCATTCATGCTGCTGGTTGAGCATAAAATACATGTACATGTAAATCAAATTAAATCCCAAAAATGACATTACACTAAATCAGAACAGCATTTTATTTGCTGTTGCTTGTAGAATAGCGTGAGTTAGTTGAACAGAGGTGTGTCAACAGATCCAGTGTGAATACCCCGGCACCCCCTTAACTTAAAATACAAGTCTTAACTACATGTGCCACATGTCTGCATTCCAACAAAATGAAATCATTTCAGAATTATTGTATTCATACTTCCTTGTTCAGTGAGTTCAGAGGGCAGAAGGTCAGTCAAAAACAAACTCATTGTGGGAGTGTTGGTCTATGGACTCATGCAAGGAAGTGTTGCAGTATGGGACAGATGGGAAGTGCTTGCTCAGTAGGCAGAGCTATGCCTATAACAAGAACCTGTACCCATGCTATGCATGAACGGACAGATATGTGTATTTCCGCTGTAAGTTGGCAAGTTGTGTACAAGCAGCTTTAAGTGGAAAATTACTCGACCCACCAAGCAACTGTCTCTGCTGTTGCTAAACTGTTCTAAAAGCTGGACTACAACGTACATGTACATTAGTTTGCACTGTGTTTTTCATGATTTTATTTGTATGCTTTTTGAATATTTCAATTATGAAACCTTCCTGTAATCTGGCTTGTGAGCCATGATATGAATGCATTTATTACACCAATACCGACTGCTTAAGGTCATGTGTATAGAAAGTCTGCTTGCCTCAATATAATTTCAATTTACATGACAGGTGCATGCACCTGTTACTTGGTCACAAGGATACATGCGTTTACAATGGATATGCAGCTATACATGTAGGCCTACATCATGTTATTGCTTGTATGCCAGTAACAGTACGAAACTACAGTACATTTGTACAAGTGTTCATTTGCATTGACATGTTTACTTTACATGTGTAGATTGATAAGAGCTTACATGCCCACAGAGTACATGTATGCACAGTGCATTTTCAAAACTCCAATTACCACGCATTTTATTTGAAGAATCTAAGAACATGTAGGCCTACTTAAACCAGAAGAGGTTGGTGAAAGTTCTGATGATGCCAAAATACTTTGGTTCTTCGAATACCAGCACCCCGTTGATAAGAGGAATGTATAAAGTCCCACAAAGAGTACTGATGTGTTCCAAAGTTCCAGGTTGAGGGTGTCAACTTGATACTTTATGACATTGTTGAGCCGTTTCGTTTAGGGACATCAACATCTTCCTGAGGGCTTGTTTCTACCTAAAACAAACCAGCATCAACCCTAATTATGATCCTGACCACTCTGGAGAGCCATGTGGGATTTAAACTGTTTGCATGAGGGCCATCTTGTCACTTTATCCCCAAGGGGAAAAAATGAAGTCCATGCACCAAAGGCAATGTGGTACTTTTTGGCATACACTCTGGGTCACCAGAATCCTGTGCATATACTTATGTACAGGTGTACGCTTCTACAGTGGCTGCAAATAACAAGTAATGCATGATTCATTAATTAATCAATCAAGAATATGCTGTGCATGTATAGACCGTGCAATGTTGTCTACATGTACTATACATAAAAAAAATTATCAATTTAAGTTTTAAGATGCACATTGAAGATGAACATGCAAGAAGACCACAATGTGCATGTGAGTTTGCTTCTGAATTAAATTGAAGATGCTGGACAGAGTCAACAATTCACCTAGGAGGGTTCCCAATTGAGAATTATGTACAAATCACATGGGGGATCTTCCTAAAAAGTTAACCCTAACAGTCCTCAGTCCTCCAACAGGTGAAGGATTGAGGAGTGTTAGGGTTAATGTATGAACCAAAGAGGATCAATCCAGGGCCCCCTGCTGCAGGTAAATACACACTTGTGTGTGTTTGTACATTAAACCTGTACATGTGTACAGTGTATCATGTACACACATGCCAGTATGTGCATAAAGTACATGTACATGTACAGATGTGTACACTGTCCATGTCCTATGCGCATACATGTACACCTACATGTCCATGTTTGTTCAGTATGTACACAACAGGTATGCAACTTGGACTTTGACAAAAAACGAGGAAATTCCAATCTTTACTAAACAGTATTTCCAATTGTCAATGGCATGAGTGTGAATTGAGAAACAAGGAAATCAGCTGATCTGAAGAGAAGTTGCATGCCTGATACAAGTTGCTTATAAGTTTGTACGCTAAGCGCGTTCGCCAATACTGCTCCAGTAACAGAATGAAAGAATAACAAACGTTTAACAATGTCATCCAGTTCCCGGAAGGATGTGATGAACTGCTGATAAAATAATTGGCAGCATGATCATTGTCAAAGCGCGCAGTCAAGGGAGACACTGTCAAAGCAGTCATGGTACCACAAATTCCACACATCCCCAAACCCTGACAACCCATTCTGTAGTTTATAAAACTAAACCCAAGGGCACTTGACGAAAATATTTCCCAACCCAAATCAGAGCTGAATTTAACCTCAGATTCTGTCATAAAAATTGTGCTGAGAGAGTGCATGTTCATGTACATATAGGAAGTACATGTACATGGGACAGGTCAAACACTTGTCATTTTACACTTTTAGTTTGTGAGAGCAATTGGCCATGATCCAACACCTGCAGCTTTATTCTAGAGGCTGTTTGACCCCTCCATCAAACACCACGGACCGCACCAGACTTGCACAGTAGGCCTATTCCTGTACTGGCAGGTACATGTATACCATAGTTTGCCTGATTCAACCCCTCTGAGTCCTCAAGTTTCAGCGCTGGCTTTTTATCTTTCCCAAATTTTCAAGCACTCGCACAAAAATGGGAGCCTAGGCACGTACATGCACAGTAACACATCGGCTTGGAACGTGCACTGATTCCCAGCGGGGATATGTGGAGAGCTGCTGGGACCTCCATCTAAAAAAATGTTACCAACCTTTTCAGTGAGCAATCCAGAAAACACACCCTTGAAAAAGTATCAAAAAAAAGATCGACCCCATGATAGAGAACGAAGGATTAGCTACAGTAAACAAATTGCTAAAGCCTACATTTTGTGACATGTCATGTCAGTGCTAAAAGGCCCTGAAAAATTGCATCAAAAGGTCCTTTAATATTGAAAAATACTACCGTGTACATGGATTTTAAATATGAAATCAGACAACAGAATTGGTTAAAATTTAAACATTTTGGCTAAGAAAACTTGTTTAATATATAAAAGTATAGTACCGGGTACATATACATCAAATGTACATGTACATGTAGTCTGTTTCCATATACAGGTACATGTAACATTTCATTCATGCTCAGAGTAAGGCACTAACAGTATCATCAAAATTACATTTTTGCTGTCATGACCTTTTAGAACTGAGCCGACGAACTACGGGGCATTGTAGGCCTGTAAGTGCTGGTGTATAATGTACATGTACATGTGTGTCTCCACACAGGTACATGTATGTATATACACTGTACATGTACACTCATAGATATATGTGTAGATCAAACACAGTCTTAACAGTGACAAACATCTTATGAACTATTGCCTTTTACCATTTCATCAATTTCACTTTGACGGAATGTAAATCACTCTGCATGACCAGTGTGACAGATGTAAGTACACACAGGAAGTCCTCCATGATTTGTGTAGTAGTGAAGACCACACAATGCAATACAGTGTACTGTCTATACACATGCTTCCATGTGTGCATGTAAATACAGGGATGAAGCACTTGACAGACTAATGGCAGAAAAATTGATTGATGCCCCAAAACAACAGGTGTAGTTCCCAGTGTGGATTAAGTATAAATATTGGCCTGTGATTTCTGTATTGCTTGTGAATGAGGTCAAGGGAATGTTGGTATGTAGATTTCTATGATGCATGTCCTACAGGTGCAAACTAGGTTTACTGTACACACAATGTAAATAAAACCGTTAGTTGATTGGTCGTGGACAGTTTGTATTACCTCCCCTTTTTTGCCATGCAGAAAAAATTTGGAAAGGTAATAATACATTCATGTAATGAATTTGAGGGACCCAATTGTATTTTATCGGTGGTTTTCACTAATCGATGCTCTCTGGGCCAATATTTCCAAAGATGGAATTCATCTTGAGCATGATGAGTATAAATGATCATTTTCGATCTGACTCTTAGGCAAGAGATGCAGTGGATAAGTATACACAAAACAGTGTACATACATGTATCTGTATGAATTATGGCTAGAAATCCAGGAATACAAGTTACATGTACTAAGTACATGTACATGCATTCACACATGTTTATGACATTCATGTACCGGTACATGTAAATTAGGCAAATAGTGTACGGTAAGTTTGAGCAAAATGCAAATAACTCTGTAAAAATATGTCTATGTGGCATACACAATACAAATAACGTTAATAATATACTTCATTATTAAATCCATGCATACGCACCTTAAAAATTAAATGATACGCAATGCATTTCACAGAGCACTACTGCACAAACATAATTGGAAACAGAAAAAATGCACTCAGTCAAGTCCCGTTAAAAGGCGTTATCTATTAGAGCAACATTGAGCTTAGCCAAAGCCTACTGAAAAAACAGCCCCAACCGATTCTCTGGGAACTGAGAGTGAACACAAAGGCACAGACCAGTCACAGAGTAAGCGCCGTGGGGAGATCCTGAGGGAAGGAGATGGTGTGCCGATACCCCTGAGATGCCCCCCTACAGGTGTGGCTTCATGTTCAAAGCAGCCTCGGTTGGGGTCAGTAAACTCTGAGCATCAAGTGAGATGAGTTTGCTCGGAGGGAGGTTGGAGGAAGGGAAGAAGTATGAAATGTGTTCTCTTTTGGCAGAAAATATGTTCAGACAGGATCATGTCCTAGGGTCAAGTCGTTTGCAAGTTTTAACTTCCCATCTGACTCTTGGGCAAGAGATGCAGTAGATATAATGATTTTACAATACTAAGAATATCATAAGTGTACTTATTTGTTGTTGGAACACGATGGATTGATGATGTAGGTTCACTGTGTGTTGAAATACAGCATTTAAGGCCAAAGTAATCTGCATTTTGGTGGCACTAAGCAAGAGGCCCCTCCCCCCAACACGGAATAAATTTCTTTAGAATAATACAAGATGAAACAAAGTTAAGCTTTCTTTAGCAAAACAAACAACACCAAGCTGCAACAGGTTATTGTGAATATTGGGATGATCGGATGATTTTGGTCGAAGGCAAAGTCTGAGAAAGCACAGTTTTGCAAACCAAAATGCAGCAGCACCCTCCCTTGAGAAACTTACCATCGTCTCGCGTGGCGTCCAGCTGCTTGACTTTGACCGACAGCCTGTCAATACGGTCTTGCAGTGAGTTGGAGCGACGGCACAGAGAATGCGCCTCGTTGTAGAGATCTCCGAAGATGTCCTCGGCATGCTTGCTCAAGTTGCTGAGCTGTTTGATGATGCCGGCCAGCGTAGTGTTGGTCACGCATTCTAGCTCATTGGAGATGCCTTGGGAGATGACACCCCGGCTGAGGTGGACCGGCTCAATTTCTCGTTTGACCAACGGCATGGCGACAGGGATCAAACTTCTGAGAATCAAGAACGAGAAATTAGAAAAAAGAAATGAGTTCATCTAAATATTTTCATGAGACTCATAAAATAAATTTAATGCATAAATAAAAAATGAAAGGTGAGGAATAAATTACAAAAAAAAATGCATCTATCGCTCGCATGACACACTGGCTTCTGTGTATCTTACGTACATGTATTCAGTACAAACGTACATATCCAACACTACTTATTCTTAAATCGATTGACAGACTATTGAGCACACATGGACAGGATTAAGTCCTCTGGTGGACAATAAATACATGTGGATTTAACATGGGCCCTAGCACTAAGCCAACTTGAAGTTAAAACTGGGACATACATGTAAGCATAACAAACTATACAAATACTAGGCTCTGCATGACCAAATTCAAGAAAGATTCCCCTTGAAGCCTTGTTCAAAGCAGAAGTTCAATCAAAATGTCAAGCTACATGTATTCTCTCCATGAAATATCTCTGCTTTAATCAGGATGTAAAAAATGGCACACACACACACACACACACACATATAAATCATATGCATCCAATCCTGCATTCTATACACCTAATGCTGCATCGTGGAGGGCAGGGTCTGAATTTTGATCACCAACTTGTCTTGCTTTTGAATCCAGTTGAGTTCTAAATATTGATTTACCCATCAGTATGCAGCAAAAGTAACAAAGGCTATCGCTGCAGGAAGTGTGTATGTAAATGATACTCTGTAAACTGACTTAAAGATCATGGATTTAAATAAAGTGAGAGTGCATGTATGTTAACAAGGCCCTCCACTGCAAAAACATTTCACTTTCCTTCTCATCTGTGTTTTTAAAACAACATCAATCTCAATGAGCTTGAATTGATGACTAATTCTGGATTAAATGTTAACATATTACAGAAACTTTGCATAAACATTCAGGGTGCCATTGACATGTATATGATATGTAATTATTTCCTTCAGCAAGCTTAAATGTACAAAACAAAAACATGTACATGTATGGTCTTGTTAGAAGTAATTCCTACGGACAGAGAGCAACCAACAACTGAGGAAATTCAACAACATTAATTCTCTGTAGGCTACCCAACGCTGAGGATTCAGGTAACGGGGAAAAATTCACTGCCTTCACAGACTCTGTGAATCATTTTTCCACTGCATTTCTGTTCTCATCCTATCATCTTTAATAAGTGACAGGACGGGACACTCAAGATGCATCTCAAACAAGAAACAGAATCTACTGTGCACTTGAGCCATGGGTCAATGACATCAGATACATGGTGTGCAATGCAATGAATGCTGACAACTGAACTACCGTCAACGGCTAGGTAAACAAGCCTCGCAAAATAAAGAACGAATAAATCCACGAGTTAACGAGGTACAAATACAGACGAATAAACCTTGAAAGGTGATGTATGCACGGCCTTGGTTTTCATTGTAAATGAAATGTACATTCATTCATGTTTACATTCCAAACAGTTTACAATGCAGATTGTTCAATGTTTATAAAACAATCATGTTGGGAGTAATTTCCAGCAGTCCTCATAAAATATTAAAATAACAGTGAAAAGTAAAAAAAAAATGAAAAATCGACACAAATATGCATGAGGTTATTTTTGAAAACATGTAACAATGTTCACACATGTTTTTTTACCACCATACGTATGGTACCAAGACTCTTCAACTCTGGAATTGCGTCTGGTATTCAATCAAATTTTAATTCTCCTGATTACACCTTGTAAGGGTTACAGTTACAAGTAACCATGTGATTGAAATTATAACACTGACATGAATGACTGGCTTCTAACCATGGCCACCATATTTAATTTTATTAAACCACTCCAGTGCACCTACGGTGGTATCACTGTATTTGGGGCTGCATACTTGACCCAGAATGGACACCAACAAGACCTGGGGTGAATTTTATGGAGTTGCTGAGCACAGTTACGTGTACAATGTATCTCTACTGCTAATCATGGAAAATGTTCACTTAGCAAAACTGGTTACTGGCCAAGACACAATTCAATGTACATACACCACTTGCAGTGGGCTCTCAGCCGATTTTTGCTTAGCATATAAATTTGTAAAGCAGATCCAGCTAAATATGTGAGGTTCCATGACACCAATCTCTGTATACTTACATGTGTGTATAAAGTGGCCTTTTGAGGGTGATTTCAATCTGTTCTCCATGTGTGCTACAATTACAGTTACTATAGGCAAACATTAAATGGAGCACACAATCCTTCTTTACACAGGAGGGACAAAAAAAGACTTCAAATTTCTTCGAGAAACAGGGCTTAAACTAGCTACATGTACTAGTACCGGTAGGTAAAGATGTGGAAAATCTAACCAAAACTGTGAAGTCTAGTGAATAAACAAACAAACTACTGCACCAAATCCTGAATTCACCAAAACGACGCCCACACTGTGTGGTGTTATGAAGGACATCTATGTAAGTACATGTCCATGTCTATTTTCCAGTCATGCTGTGGCTTCATAACATGTGGGCTTCATCTCATACTTATCCTGTACATGAAAGGACCAGTACATGTCCATGTACCATCTGTGAGTATCCCATTACTGCAAAAGGGTTGGACTATACTAGGATTACACTCAGGAAGCTGCTTATAATGAAGCTGTCTGGAAACTTCCAAACCGTTATACAATAGTGATGTTAACCCAGTCATTGCCATTTTTACAGCAATTCCCCCCTCCCCGGCACACTTTAAATTACCGAAGAAAGACTACCAGTAGGTATGGCAGACTTACCAGCATGGTCAGAGATCAGGCCAAAACAAACTATTTCTTCTTACATGGTGTCTGAAAGCAGGGTTCATGTAGCAAAGGCTGAGTTTGGGCGGCTTGTTCTCATAGTTCATGAACAGCTTTATTTGTAATTCGTGGGTTGGCCGCTCGAACGCCGGAAACAAAACATCTGGTAATTGCTAGTACATGTAGTTAGAGGTAATCAACAGGCAACATGGCGGCATCCATGCACAGAATGTAATTCAAAGTTAATGTTTGGATAACTCGGCTGAGTTCTTTTAAACAGGAGTATTCATTTTTTGTGTGACGGAAAGTAATTAATGTTAATTTTGCAGAACTTCCCATCGTGTCTGGCTTTGTAAGCCATTTCTCTACTTTTTGCAGCTGTTTTTCTGTACGTTCCTGTAAAACCCTGACAAGGAGGTGGTGTGATCCTGTTCCCAGAACAGTGTTCTGGAGTCGTGTTCCCACCGTTCGAGCTTGAGAACAAGAAACCTGTGTCAAGAACAGGTCGCCCGAACTCGACCCATGTGTTTATTTACTTATTTGTGATTTAGTGTGTAGGTACACTATGCATTAACCAGTTCAAAATACCAACAGCAAGGGAAGTCTGGTGGCTTTGTGTCAAAGGGTACATGTACAAGTTAAAAGCATAAATTAGTCCGTTGAACCTTTTCGCACCACATTCAAACTACAATACACACAATTTTTCTTTCTTTCTTAAATTCATATTTCTCAAAACAATTTTACAGTTGTGCCATCAAAAAAGGGTAGGTTGGGAAACAAGTAGCATAAAATTTAAGGCCTCTTAACCCTAACCCTCCTCAATCCTTCACCTGTTGGAGGACTGAAGAGTGTTAGGGATAAAGATGCATAGAAAGTTGGGTTTGGGGCCTTCAATACACTTTGTACAACATATTCTCTCATACACTGTATTTCTTGAAATGCTTTCCCATTGAACGAGGAAATACCTACATGTACATGGACATGTGCAGTGAAAGCCCATTGCAGTTGTACATTTATGCATTCTACATGTACAAACTTCAAGCAAGGTCATGGGTAATACCACACTTCCTTTTTAAAGGCACGAGCAAACTTTTCTTTCAGCATGTAATTTGTTTAACCCTTGTACCCAGTGCCCAGTAGGCCTCTTTTAGGATAGGCAGACCATGCAATGTACACACAAACACATTGGGTGATTATATAAAATAACTGATGTACATTAAATTGTACATGTACCAACCAGGATCTATACTACAGTGTAGTTACTACACGTTCCTGAATAAAGCATGACATTTGTTTTCTGTCCATTTTTTTCATGAAAATCCATCCTCCCTTTCTCTAGTTTTAACCAAACATGTTGCAATTGCTGAATATTTGAAAATGTGTGCGAACAAATACATTTAAAAACAAAATGAGCATTAACTTCGAGAAAGTGTCTTGAAAATACAGAATTTCCCTGGCTGAAGTTATTTTTCGCCTCAGGCAATAACACTGTTTACAATTACGTCTACATGTACATGTTGACACAGCATCCTTATTGGCTAGAAAACATCACCAGCTCTGCAAACCATCCACTGCCTGGGTTGATGAAGTTTAGTCATGCCTAACCCAGATAGGTCAGCACCTACGCCCGCACAGAACTTTGCCAAAGGTCAGGGGAAAGGAGACGTGCATAGTACATGTATATGTACATGTAAGTCAATGCAATACATGCGTACAAGTACATGTACATACACAATGATGCTCCAGGCAAAAATATACACGTACAATGTACAATGTGCATTGTAAGAATAACCACCAACTACATGTAGCTACATTTAGCAAGTACGTTTTGACATTTATGTGTGTACTTCAAGATAACGCCCAGTCTATCAGTCATACTACATGTAAATGGCAACATTCACTAAACGTCCAGTAAATGTCATTTACATGTACATTGTGCATGCATGCATGATACGTCTCCAAACGACAGTACCTGTCCCAACTATAATTGGGCTGGTCCCACCTGCATACTGTATAGATTAGAGTTGGGACAATACTATACATGTAGGTGGGAAGTAACATTTCAAATAATATGACGATAGGAAGGTCATGGATCACTACAATCATATTTGTCAATTTTTGTTCCTGTTCTACCAATTTTGGTTACCGGTTAACTGACTGGTAGTTCTGTACATCCTGAACACTTACTTTTACTTTCAATACTACTGCAAGTTGTCGGAGCATCAAAACATTTAACGGAAAGTATCTTCCTGGTGATACAGTGTGTATATGCATACGGGGGACCAGTGCAAAGGAAATCTGCACATGTGAACCTGGAGATATTCATCCATGGTGTACAAAAAAAATAAACCTCAATGTCAAAAAGTCCAAAACCTGACAGCAGTGTTTTAGCTAGGATTTGAAAAGTGGGAGTGTAAAATGAAAAGCAGGGAGTGCAATCTTGTAAGAGTTCAAACTTTGTGCGTGAACTTGAAGCACGCAACATGAGCGCGCAGCACGAAGTCCCTTACGGCCGGGATCCAGGGCCTATGTAAGGGCCCTGGAAGGTCTGCCTATTTTAGATACTCTCTGGTGGTTTCTGATGAATTTCTGACATTTTTTTCCGAGGTTTCTGCCTTTTCTAAAAACCCAGCTTTTAGAAAAAACTTAAATTGTAAAACCGTGTGCAATTGTTTTTTTATATAGTGTGATTTAAACAGCCCTGCAACAAAGAAGCGAATGACAAACTTTGAACAGATTTTGCATAACCACTTTATTTTGTTTTTTGTTTTTAAATGGTATGCAAGTAGTAATGCAGGTCAGTACTTGACACAGGTTGTTGTGCCTTTTTGTTTGCAATACAGCACATTGAGATTATTATGTGATAAGCAAACAAAAATAAAGAATGATATAAAATGAACCACAGTGTTCCTACATGCATGCCTCCTTCGGCAATTTGGCTAAGAACAAGCAAATTGAGTACAAGACTTGACTTCAATGTGAATGAAAAAATATATGTCATACATGCACAGTGAGTGTACATGCAGACTGTACACGCACCCACGAACACCACAGGCCAGCCACATGGTCACGCTTGAGCACGAGTCTGAACATGGCATCGGAAGAGTTCAACAATTTTTCCATCGTCACGCACGGTAGAAGAACCTAAACAAGCTTTATGCTGATTATTGACAATAACAAAGATTACGTGAAGGTCAGCCCTCGCCTTCAAGAAGAAATCCGTTATTTTTTGTTTCATTCTGGATGAGTATGTTAACCTCGTCCCCATGGACTACCTCGTGCGAGAGTGGGCGCAATATGGCAGCTAACGATTGCCATGGGAATGAGGTTAATTACATGTACGATCGATCACTGGTGAACAAGCAAGGCTCTCTGTATTCATTTTGTTACAAATTGTTGGATACAGTGCTGCAGTTCATTCAATATTTGTAAGTAAGGGAACCCGCCTGCAGGCGTTGATACGTTTGAACCAAACGTGAGTTATTTTGAGTGAAATTATTAGAAACAGGTCAAGTCGTCCCCGGGTCAAGTCATCCCCGGGTCAAATCATCCCTGGGTCAAGTCGTCTCCCACTAGTTCTTACAAGTGTTGTCGTGCATGTAATTTTCTTTTTAGGTGCATCAACCATACATAGAAGAGAAAGAAAAACAAGACAGAGATTTGTACCGGTACATGTACTCACAAGTTTCATTCGTTCTACACAGCTGGCTGGTGGCTTTTGAAATCTACAGTGACAACTTGACTTGGGGACGATTTGACCCGGGGATGACATGACTTGGGGATAACTTGACCAACATTCAAATTATTTAATGGAAGCAAAAGACTATAACTCTATTGCTGCCCGACCCTGTCAAAATGTTAAGAAAGGGAATTTGTAAAATCTAAGTTACTTAGACTAGATCTATCATTTTTTCCTCCACAGCCATGTGCCAAACGACATGATAACTGCCCACCATGCCATGCCCATGCTGCCCCTTCATTTATAATTTAAATAAGGTGCCAATTATAACCAGCTCTACTGCATGTACTTTGTGAGATAAGTTATGTGATGTACACGCGCGTGTATGGTGTACATGTACATATAGAGTGCATGTACATGTACATGTACTGAGGAAACATGTAAGAGCCTAGGCCTATGCAAATTGTACGACGCTCAGTCAACGCTATGTCAACAGTCCCAACCCTTAACCCTGCTGTCACCAAAATAAGAAGAGCAAGTCCCGTGATACATGTGATAAATTATGACAAAAATGCAATTATATTGACAAACACGTAAAGAGCGTAATTCAACATACCGTCTGCCAGAAACATTCTTTACGACAATCGGTAAATGACTTTCCTGCGATGAAAAACAAACGACATACGAAGCACTTCCCACTGATTAAGTTACACGACTTAGCGGAAGTGCTGCAGAAGAAGTTCAATATGGCGGCTGGTAAAGTGAGGGAGTTCACCACAAGGGGGCGCAAGTCACTTTGCTTCGTAATCCCTTAGCATCAAACTAGACCGCCTTGACCAAGTCCTAAAAACCGTGCAGAGAGCTTCTCAGTTTAGCCCGGGGGGGGTCTGTTTCCCCACCCCTCGCCACCCCCATAACGCATGTGTTGTAATGAAACAAAACATAATCGGAACTGAACTGCAAACAGGAACAGAGGCGTCAATAACAGTAAAAAATTTGATGGGCAACTGGGTCAATTAACAAATCAAGGGCACTGGAAGATAGTGACCCTCGTTCGCCCCACTGGTCCCCCGGTAGTTAAGTCAGTGAATAGAAATCATGGAATTCTGAGACCTGTTCCTACTATTCAGAAAAACTATGAACAGTGTAAACCGAAAACGAAGACAATGTACAACCTAAGCTAAGCTGATGACGAAGTTGTCAATAGGCCTAAGTGGCGCCTCTCTGAGAATAATTATTTTGAAAATGCAATTATTTAGTCTGTGGAATGATAGGCTTTCTCTTTTATAAAGTTAATTAGTATGCGTAAAGCTGTTTGTCAGACCCGTGGCCAAGGGGGCCTTAGGGGGCCGCTCCCCAGAGGGAAGTTGCCCCCCCCCCGCAAACACCATAAGCATGAGAAATATATTTTGTTCCTGTGATATGGCCTCCTTAGCTGATACCGTGACCCCCCTTAATGCCTGAAGCTGGCGACGGTGCTGCTGCTAGTGTTCGTGGTTTCAGTTCCTTTAAAAAAAAGCAATGTCCCCGTCAAGGCCCCCCCCCCGCTCGCTGCACTCCATTTATAGAATCTCGGCAACGGTTTAGTTTATGGGGTAGAGGGAATGGAAGCATTCTTTCGACATTCTGAACGATTTCACAGGCAGAATTACAAACGAATAAACATCATAGCGTATTTCCTCCGTTCACTGAGGTTTTTCATGATTTGCTTCCATGATCATTTTTCCTATCAAATATCAATGGTTTCAGTGGAATTTTGCACTTATATCGCGAAACAACCATTCAGGAGGGATCGGGCAAAGCGATACAAAAACAGGTGTGGAAACCAGAACCGACTGAGAGCAAAACAATAGGACAAAAAGTGTAAAATTCAATTCAAAGCGAACCAAACTGAGCCGGCCATTGAAATTCCCGTCCGATCAGAATATTGCCTAAAACATGGTGTGGTCGTGATGACTATGAATGGTATGCAGAAGTACACAAGGCAGGGAGAAAATAAGCTACGTGTTTCCATATGTAATTACAATCGGTCATTACCAACACAGATGTGGAACTTTAACGATTGTAACACATGTACTACATGTGCAACGCGCTCAAAATAGCCTTGTTTGGGTATGTAGGTCCTATGTAGTGAGTCAGTCACGATGACAGGTAAAATTCTAATCACTTCATTTTTTACCGGAGAGAAAAGCGAGAGGAAAAGGTGAAAGGGTAAAAATACAAACAGTAAGAATTCTTGGAACGTGTCACATCATTTAAGCGGTATTACATACGTTTCATATCCTAATCTTAGACTGAATTTTGATCCCAAACTTAGAGTGTCTGCTTGAAGGCAATGGGGATCCAACACCAAATTTTTAGGGTCCAAAGTTGGGGATGTTGAGGGGGTTGGAATTTTCATGCAACCTTTACTGGCCTTTCTGAGGGGTGAGGCTAGATTCTCGAGAAGGAAAAAAATTAAAAATCACCCTTCTCTCATTAGTTTAAAATAAAACAAAACTGAATAAATCCCTCGATCCACCCTTGTTTTGAATTTAAAAGCCAAAAGAATATAAACGCACGCAACTAGGTTACAAAATAAAACTCGTGCAAAGGCCGGATCCTCTAAAAGGAAGAGCTTATTTATTTTTGTTCCAAACAGAAAAAAATGGGGGATGAAGCCTACGCAATAATTTATGTACATGTACATTGGAATTACATTGTCTAATGATGCCAACATTATGACATGATTCAATTTAGAATTCAATGAGAAAAAATACGGTAGATTTACCGATGACAGAATTTGTCCCGAGGAGCAGCTGTCTTAATATTCCAGCAAAAGATGTTTTCCGGGTTTGTTCAAATTCTAGTCTTTGCAAGGGAGTATCATAGAAGGTCATGGGAAAGGGAGGTTCCTGACTGTTTAGCAATTCTGGGAGCTTGACGATTGAAATAAAAAATTGAAGAAGGCATGAATTTACAAAGATCCCTATATTACCACTAACCTTGTCCTAGGGTCGTTAGGCGGTCTCCTCAAGCCGGCGAACTGATATTCGCTTGATCTCCAACCAGTTGCCATGGTTTCTCGGCCGAAAATGGCTGTCATTCTGTGTCAAGATGAAAGTCAACACCTTCCCTGACGCTTCAAAAACCAGAACGAGTTTATCGCAAGAGAAGTTTTCTGAATGCGAATACGGGCGATCACCCACAAGCAAAAAGAGATGGATATTCAACTCGCCAGGATGCTGCAGCCAAACTCCGACACCGTCATCCCGGAAGCTTTGGGTCAATTTACCGAGCGCCGTGTTGTGATTTGCGTTGTCCGTGTGTTGTCCTGAGGGGCCACATCACGGAAGACTCTGTTGGTTCACTAAACATCTTTTTCCTCGCTGGCCTGGCGGATAATCGTCTTATTTATACTCACGGGGATGAACAAGGAAGATTCTCTGATGTCACCAAGCTGTGACATTTTGATCTAGCTTACAAAAAGGTATGGAATGAGGAAGTATGTACGACACAGGCGTATGGTGCGCAAATCAAACGGGCAGGCAGGAGAGTACACTTGAAATAGTGTGATTCACGTTGATCAATGGATGCGTGCGAGGTAATTTACGATCGATACTCCATGAGCGGAGCTTTAGCCTGGAGTCAGTGTGGGGGGGGGGTCATAACACACTCTGATATCAAGCATAACAAGCATAACTACAAGCTGAGGTAGAGGGGATTAGGTTTTTACACTCACTTTTCCTACCAGAAAATATAAAAAAAGGAAAAAATGCTGGCGGGAGGAAAAAACCGATCATGATTGGTGGCGCGGGATAATGTCCAGGATACCAATTAGCCAAGCTGGGTACAGGTGTCTCCGAGAGGAAAATGGGAAAAGGTCTAAGAACATGTTGAGTACAAATAGCTCTTTCCACCCAATTATTGTTTGCTATCCAAAGTGCCTTGAAAAGCGACAGCGCGAAAATGATTTAGAACTTAAAGCAGGTTTACCAAGCATTTCGAATTTTTAAATTAAAATGAAGCCCTTCTAACTAAAAATCTCCTCATACATAACTCATATCCTTCACCCCTAGTCCTACCTCCCCTCGCTTCTATCCAAAGCATCTAGCTTTCGGTTTATAACTCCCTCCCTCCATCTTTCTGTGAAGGTGCCTTGCTTGCAGTCAGATATTCGGCAACAGCCAAAATTTTAAAAACTCAGATTGTTCTTTATTTTCATATGCAGCGAGGTATGAGACGGAGAGAACCCCCCTGCTTTGTGTTGGTCACTGTCTCGCAGGGATCTGGGAATTCCTTTCAGACATCTTGGGAGGATGTGTTAAGTAACAATAGTCTGGAATGTGTATAGGGATTGGACATGTTGGGGGGGTATCCCTCGGTCTCATTTCTTGCTGGGTATATTTATTTTGGTTTGAACAGCACATCCTGAAATAATACACTTTTGACTTCACACTTATATCTCACAGAAAATAAACGGAGTAGGAAATAAGAAAGCAAATTATAAACACTTTTCCCATAATGACAGCACAAACAGGTATTTGACAACAAAGACTCAGGGCATTTGATGTCAATGCATTTATTTAAAAACCTTGTCAATATATTCATGAAAGAAAACCTTTTAAGACAGATGCTATTAAACATAATTGTTTAGTTATTTAATGTTCAAGCTAGGGGGCCTGGGGATTCCCCAGTGAGATAATTACTTTTGATGTGAATATGAACTCTGACCTACTGGTCTCTGACACAAGATTACTGCATGGGTATGAGCGTCCCTTGCGGTGTGCAGACTTAATACGTTATCTCAAAGCCACGCCCTTTCGGCCAGAAGTCACTAACATTTATATTTTGAAAGGACTTGAGAGGTTTCAGGGCTTCTCTCAGTGACAGTTCCCATGCTTGAGACCTGCACCTTGGTGGGCTGGTAGTCACAAGATGGCTCCTTGTGAGATAACTTAAGCCCTTTTCCCTTTGGCTTTAGTGTTCATATCTATTCGGGTAAACTTTTAGATGTCAAGGGAATCAAGCCACAGTTGCCTTGAGACCACTTTTTGTCTGGCTTTGCACCTCTTAATCTCCTTAATTGGTGGATGGATCTCTACCCTCCTAACAACTGCACAAGGACTGGACTGCTACATCAATTTAATCAAAGGGTATTTAATGTTGTTACATGTGTCAAAATTTGATACTTAACAAAGCTGAGATTGGTAGACCATAATGACAAATGAGAAAAACCATCTCTGGGAAAAACACCTGATGCTTCAATAATTAAAGTGGCATAAACTATGAAAAGCAGGGAGGGGTATGATGCATTAGCCGTCCAACACCCTCAAAGATGCCTCAAGCTCCGCCCTTGGAAACTCCACCTGTTGTTCATACCATTTAGCGACTGTCAGTAGTTCTTTCTCTTTGAAACTCGGACCAATCAACTGTATTCCTATGGGCATGCTCTGTGAGGAAAGTGCAGCAGGCACAGTAACTGCTGGAATTCCTGCAGCAGGAAAAAAAATTCACTCCTGGATCAAAATGGTTACGTAAGTTTCCATCAAGGCAAGCTGTCAAAACAGCAAACAAGATAAAAACCACACAAAGCCTATGGTTTTCTTTATTGTTCCAATGGGCAGAAGTTGTAAACTGACCTGCTAAATTAACAGCCAGCAGCAGACAGTCCTCAATCTCTTGTCGTTTACGACTGTCAAACATAACAAACTCTTGGTAGCTCTTGGCACTACCAACTGCAGCTGGTGTTAGAAAGACGTCGATTCCACTCTCAAAGGACTTGCAGAAATCCTCAACCACCAATCGGCGAACCTTCTGGGCTTGAAGGAAGTATTTTTCGTAGTTGCTGTGTGTGTGGCAAGATGTTAACCACAGGTTTCAAGATAAGCACAATGAAGCTTGAAGAGAACTTAACTCAAAATTACCTGTCCAATAGTGAAGGTCTTATACCCACCCACCTGCCAGGCATGTAGAAATCAACACTGATTTTAATCCAAGGAATTGTGGATTAAGCAACGCAGCTTTTAGAGTGTTTAGCTATTTAATACAAATACTACTGGTATGGGTTCGAACCCTTGACCACATGCTTGTAAGTACATGTCTTCCCAACTAAAATACCAAGTTTGGTAGAATCTGTCAACTTTAATCAAAGTATATCACTTTCAGTAAAAGTATTCAGAGCAACTGAATTTTGCTTACTCTTTCAGAAGGAAGTAGTTACCAGCTAAGATTCTTCCTCTTACAATGTCATTGAAACCTTCGTGTCTAGTCGCAGCGTAAAGCTCTTCGGTTGATTGGTAACCATTTGCTCTATGTCCTGGAAACAAAAGTGACAGATGTTTACAAATTTAGGAGCAGTCGACCTACAGCGTCAAGATTAAGACAAGATGATCTTGTGATTTTTTCCTCACCGTATTCTATGCCATCATATCTAGCCATGTTGGAGGCGATTTCAACTGGTCCCAACACAGAGTAACATAGAAGGGACAGTTGGATGTGCGGCAGAGAGACCTTCGATACCACAGCCCCGGCATTCTCAAAGATGTCTGCTGCCTTGGACCAGGCCTGGATGGCATCAGCTTCCATACTGGGTGGATGGAATTCCTGGTGAAAAGGTTTAACAAAGAATGCTCTATTTCAAAATGTCACAACAATACTCCAAACTGACGTAAACTCTCATTAAGACTACCAAACAACAGAAAATTAAGAGTCAGTTTTAAGATTCATGCTTTCACTTTGAGTGGTTATATTTGTTGTTGAGCGGGCTGCTTTATTTTTCATAATGAAACACACCCCTCGTCCCATGATTTTTACTTCAATTGTTCCAATTGCTTAACCAAGATCTTCACCTGTGGGATTCCGACGCGTAGTCCTTCCACCGATATATTTTCAGGAAGTTCAAAAGATTGGAAAGGATTCATGACAGTGGTAGAGTCTAGAGGATCATGGCCAGCCATTGCACCTATATGTTAAGGAATGCCAAACCACAACTTAGTAGGAACAATGGTCATAAAAAATGGTTAACAAATTCCCACTGCCCTTGTCCTGTCCAAATAAAATGTCTTTCTATTGGTTTTTAACTGCCGAACCATTATGTCATATTGTATTATATTGTGCTGGATGTTTCCAATTTTTTCAAGTACAACAAATTCTTGGCAACATTGTGAAGAATTTTGGGTTAATTCAACAAGGAATGAAAAACTCTACATTTTAATATAAAGAAGAAAATGTTATGCAAATTATCACAGGATTAATGGAGTTCTTGATTTTGATTTTTAAACCTTGAGATGTTAGATCTTTGGATGATTTCCTACCTAAGACAAAAGCCACATCATCCACAGATTTTGTGAATATACCCGGTACATCCAAGGAGTTGGTGAGTGGAATCAGACCATGCCTGGAGCAAAGCCCGTAGGTCGGTTTGAAACCAACGACACCACAATGTGATGCAGGAAGTCTCACCGAGCCACCAGTATCAGATCCTAGAGCACTTTCAGCAAAAGAAAATGAGACAATGAGCAAATAAATCTATGTCCAGCATATTCTGCTAGAGATAATTTGATAAATGTCTCTTAATCTGACTCACGCAAAGCACATTCCACTAGCTACAGCTACAGCACTGCCACCAGAGCTGCCACCAGCCACAAACCAACCATCGTTCTCACTGTCCACTGAGTCTAATCTGACCTCTGACCCCTCTTGTCTGACTACTGCGGGGTGGGACGATTCTGAAGACAAGAGGGGATGGCGCCAAACATTCTGGACTGGGCCATGTACAGAGTCAACGGAGCCGGTACTGTAAAAGCAGGGGAAAATAACAAGACGTGAGATAATAAGTCTCAATTCTATTACAAAAGAATTCAAATTACAGATCTGTTCAAAAGAAATGTTATCAAAATGAAAAACTAAGCTACAGAAGACTAACTAAGAACTACTACGAACTATGGAAGATATAGAAAAGCAGAAAGATAGGGAAAGAGATAGGTTTCTTTACCCCATAGCAAACTCATCCATGTTAGTCTTTCCCATTAGAACAGCGCCCTCGTCCAGCAGTCCCTGTACAACTGTTGCTGTGTAGGGTGGGACATATCCTGCGGGAATTCAGATCGGGTTTACAAATTAAGTTCAAAGGGAGACTTTGTCGGTTTATCCTTTGAGAGGAATGGCAACGAACTCAGAAGGGTCACTGGATTGCTACAAGTGTGGCTTACCAGCCAGCATGTGGGAGGCACAAGTGGTTTCCATGCATGCGGTGCTGAAGTTGTCTTTAGCAGCAACTGGGATCCCATCAAGTACGCTCTTGGCTTTCCCTGAAAAATGGGCTGAATTTACTATTATGAGCTTCAGGGAAAAATCATCACAATGTAAAAGGCATTTTAAAATCTAAAGAAGAATTCACTGTGTGAAAAGTTAATTAAATCTCTCTATAAAAGTTGTGAAACACACATGAACTAGTCTATTCCAAAGAGCACTTGCTTTGAATGACAATGCCCTTCTTAAATCCTGTGTTGTAACACTTTTGTTTACCTGAGGGAACTTTTTTTTGGGGGGTTGAAATCACAGCATGGGTGGCTATATTGGATTGCAGTGCTCTGTGGGTTTTAAACGTTTCATACATTACTCTACATCAACGAACCTTGTGTGATTCTTTCCCCCGACTCTTCAGCCTGTTTCTTAGCAAGTGCCGGAGTCAAAGTAAGAAATGCATTCAGCTGTTGAAGACTTTTGGCTCGTTGCATACATTGTTTGTATAACTCCTCCACAGTGAGAGATCCATTGCGTAGTCGGACAGCTACCTAACAAAACATTTCAAAATGGACCACAATGACCGATTGCTAGTAAATAAAAAAGCACTTTCTTCGTGCCAAGTTTTCGGTTTTGGGGGACTTTTTGTTTTAATTTTTTTTAGTGGGCTTTCGTCACCGCCTAACGTCAAACTCAAAGTTCTAGGCCTACTCAGTACTCCTTCTCTAGTCCAAGTCCAATTTACTCAGACCGCTTCTACTCCTACTCGGCAATGTCCACAAGTCTGGATTTCATGCAGATTGCAGAGACAGCTAAGAAATATGAGAGGTATGTAACAACCTGTTCTAGACACCCCTTCCCATCTTATTTTGGGCCTCCTTCCATATCCATGCCTCCACTCCGCCCTCCCTACCTACATAACCTAAGACGCATAAACATGCCAAAATGAGTTTCCTTGCAGCACGATCATTCTTTTCAGAACACCAATAAATTAGAACAACGCCTGTCTAGGCTACAAACCTCACGTATTCTTTCCATAAGCATGTTGGACACTCTTTGATTAGTTTCAAAGCAAACAGTTCCGTCAAAAAGTAGAGTCTGCTCAATGGCTGCACGCGCCCAGCTGAAGGAAGTTACCAGACGATTCTGCGGTATAGGCCATTAGTTTATCAAAAAAACAAATTTAAGGAGTTCGGGAACTAGATCACTACCAAACGCAAATAGAGGGCGCCCTCAAACGAATATAAAAAAAAGGCATCAAAGGTCGACGGCGGCGAAGAACCTGGAATTCGGAAAGAGATTCGTTCATTTTTCTGAATTTTTTCGTTGATAAATACCACCATGCCTCGCATTCAGATAAAAGGGGGTGTGTGGAGAAACACAGAGGTTGGTAAAACTTCATTTTAAAATCGCAAGAGGTTTTAAATCGACAGAAGTTCTTTACCTTTGTAAAGTTTGTGTGTCAAAGTCTGTAGCAGGGAAGATAAGTTAATCAATGTTTGCAGATATCCGTGCATTTCCGACAGCGACGGTACACAGTCACACATAGGCTTATCTCATTTTCAAGCCAATTTTCAGAATAAGTTGGATGCAAATTTTAAAAACTGTTTTTCCATTCCTTTTCATACAGGATGAGATTCTGAAGGCAGCTGTGATGAAATATGGCAAAAACCAGTGGTCCCGAATTGCTTCACTTCTTCACCGGAAGTCTGCCAAACAGTGCAAAGCAAGATGGTAAATAAATACAAGAACCATTAGGCCTATATCCCAAAATTCCTTGTCAGTGAAGCAAATATTTAGTTTCTGTTAATCTTGAGTTGAACACTTAGATGGTCAGATGTGTTAATTTTGATTTGTTCACAGGTTTGAATGGTTGGATCCAAGTATCAAGAAGACAGAATGGAGCCGTGAGGAAGATGAGAAATTGTTACATCTGGCCAAGCTGATGCCTACACAGTGGAGAACAATAGCACCTATTGTTGGACGGACAGCAGCCCAGTGTCTGGAGCGATATGAAATCCTCCTGTCAGTTAAACTTCAAGACAATCTGATATTAACAGCAACTATCAAGAGCCTGGTTTATTAGCGTACTGCCATAATTGGGATTATGCTACCCAACCACCGTTTATCTGCATTGACTGCCATAATTGGGATTATGCTACCCAACCACCGTTTATCTGCATTGACTTTGCATTCCCACAAATTTGTTACCAGGCTTGTGTTTTTATTCAGATCTAATCCAATCACTGAGTCTATTAGCCGTTACTTAAATGAGCAATATAAACAAGTTTACATAATTACATCTTTCTTTTAGAGACCAAGCCCAGAAGAAGGAAATGGATGGAGATGATGTAAACGATCCACGGAAACTGAAGCCTGGAGAGATTGATCCTAATCCAGAGACCAAACCAGCGCGGCCGGACCCTATCGACATGGATGAAGATGGTTAGAGAAAGAAACAGCCCCTCAGAATGAGCTTTTAAACCAAGAGCTTATTACCCTGCTATGAGAACCCTAGTGCAGACTTACAATGCTGTAGAAGAAATGCCCTGTCTTAATCACTTTGCATGTGCCAAGATGCACATGCTGGAGTCATTAGTGTTTAAGCAATGCACGTACATGTAACCGGTTAACTCCCGCTTAAACTTAACGTAACCTCAAGGTGTTGAGAGTGGAATTGTTTATTTTGTTTACTAATTGTGGACATTTTTTGCAGAGCTTGAGATGTTGTCGGAGGCCCGTGCGCGTTTGGCCAACACCCAGGGTAAGAAGGCCAAACGCAAAGCCCGAGAGAAACAGCTGGAAGAAGCACGTCGCTTGGCTGCCCTACAAAAGAGACGAGAACTGCGGGCAGCCGGCATCGAGACGCGCAAGAAACGCAACAAGAAGCGTCGCATTGACTACAATGCCGACATCCCCTTTGAGAAGAAGCCAGCACCAGGATTCTACGACACCTCGGAGGAGAATGTGTCGGCGTTGGACCCTAACTTCAAGCGGTTGAGACGCCAAGATATGGATGAAGCAAGAAGGGATGAGATAGAAGAGGTATATGAATGTGACTGACCTTGCTTTGGAATACACTCTATACTGGAAACACAGAAAAATACTTGAAAATACCTGAAACTACTGGAAAACAGCAGAAAATCACCCAAAAATACGAAAAACTACCGGAAGACATGGAAGAAGTACCAAAAACCACCAAAACTACTATAAAAAACACTGGAAAACACCAAAACATACCACTGTTAAAGATATTGCTTTGTTGTCTTAGTCATAAGTTGTTAAAAATCCTTACTGAGCTTTAAACAAACATTATATTGCAGACTAGTATTCATTTTGCCAAAGGGGCTCATGTTTGTTGCTTGGTTTTTCTCTTTTTAGAAAGAACGCAGGAAGGACAAACAACGTCTGAAAAAGAAGAAAGAAAACGACCTGCCATTAGCCATCTCAGCCACAAATAAGTAAGAGTTTGTCTTCTACGAAAAAAGGACATGTACTTCACACTGTTTTTATGGTTACAGCATTGAAAAAAAATGTCTCTTTTTGTTTTATAAACCTCATGTTAAAGAGAAACAAGAACTGATTTACTTTTCTTATGTGGAGTGGTCTTGTTTTCTTTGTCCTGATGTATTGGTTACTGCTATGGCTCTTTGTTTGGAACTGTTTCAGATTGGCAGAGCCCCAGAAAAAGCGAAGCAAACTTGTCTTACCATCGCCACAGATATCTGATGCAGAGCTTGAGGAGGTAGGATGGTCTAGGTGTCTAGGTGTTTGGGTTTTAGATTGGCCCGTTCCTGACATAATTTTGTGAGTGCTTTAATATCTTTACAATTTGAGAGTTCGTAAGAAAGTTATTCACCAGCTTGCTCGGTCCAGACATGACCTTAAACTTACTAAGATAGTCATTACTAATCCACCATGGCAAATACATAGATTTCCTGTGCACAAGCCATGCAAAGCCTCTCTCATGGCACTGAAGTCATGTAGTATTCATTGTTTTCCTAATTGGACAGGTTGTAAAGCTGGGGCAAGCTAGTGAGAGTGCCCGGCAGATTGCTGAAGAAGGAGGCATGGCTAATGGAGCATCTCAAGCCTTGCTGGCTGAATACAACGTCACCCCTGGACCAGGTAGCCTTCGCACACCAAGGACACCTGCACAGTTTGATACAGTACTTCAGGTAAGGTAGCTCTCTCTCTCCTTGGACCAAATTCTTGGGGGTTAGCAAAAAATGTGCAACAAATATCTCTGCTAAGCAAAAATTTACCTAAGAATCACACACATGCAGGAAGATATTACATTGTGTTCTGACTTTTCCTTCTGTTGAAATTGTAGGCTTGGCTAGCTAAGTTGGGTTGGAGTACTGAAACTTTGTAAAAACCTGAATTTGGCAATAGTAGAGTCATGTTACAACTGGCTTATATTCCTGACCTTCACCTTACAGGAAGCCCAGAACATCCTAGCTTTGCAAAATGTAGACACACCCCTGAAGGGAGGCATGAACACGCCCATTGCCCAGTCAGACTTTGATAGCATCACACCACGCCGGGCAGTAGTGGCTACGCCCAATACTGCCTTCTCCACTCCTTTCAGAACCCCTGCCCGTAGTGATGGTAAGTTTTACTGTGATGGTGCCATTCTTCTGGAGCTAGGAAAAAAAAGAAATGTTTCACCTGAAGGCTGGGACTTAAATCCATGAGATAAGTGTGTAATTCATAACCAGTCAGCCAATGATCATATGTAAGGTTTATTCAGTCATTCCCTAAAGCTCCATAACATAGGCTGTGACCAAAATGTTATTTTAATTACATTTCCATTTTTTAAAAATACAACACTTACAGGTATGACACCCCGACATGGCATGACGCCACACTTGGGCCAGACCCCTGGACAGACCCCAGGACGCACCCCTGTAAGAGACAAACTCAATATTAATGCAGAGGAGGCTTATGGTGACATGGATGACATGATGCTGGCCAAGCAGCACCAGGTGAGTCAGGAATCTAGACTCCATGTACCTTACTCCTTTGATGAAAGAACTAATTGTCAAGTTCCTCACATTTGATGTTCAAAACGATAGCTTGAGCACTGAAATTTGTCCATCAAAAAGTAGTTTCTAAAGTGTTTAACTTACTGACTCGAAATAAACCGCTTGTGTCTACCAGAAACAGCTGAAGGGAGAGTTGAGGCGGGGCTTGGCTAGCCTCCCAGCTCCCAAGAACGACTTTGAGATTGTCATCCCAGAAGACTCGGAAGATCACAGGACTGAGGACAATGAAGCAGATGTCAACTTTGTAGAAGATGCTGCTGATGTGGAGTTGAAGCGAGCTGCTCGATTGGAAGAAGAAAGTAAGTCATCTGGAGATGTGGCAATGTAACTAGTTAAACAATGATAGGATGACCATAGCAGGATGTGAACCAGTCACCTCCAGACTGCTGGTGCGGTGCCCTACCCACCCATCCCATCCATTTCTGATATCAGTATATTTTGCGTAATTGTTTTGCTCAGGACGGCAGGCCCTGAGGCAGCGATCTCTCGTCATCCAGCGAGGTCTCCCTCGACCCTCTGACATCAACACCTCCATCTTGAGACCCAAGGACCTTGATGCACCCATGACTGAGATGCAGAAGGTGAGTAGTTCAAACTCAGTCCCATATCAAGAGAATTCCTCGATTACAACAAGAGAAATTGTGTCTGATAGTAGTTGCACTTCTCTGATGGATTGGTAGGAGTATTCCACGGAGCTCCGTGGAATTTTTAGGTTGTAGGGGAACGTTTAGGAATAAAGACGCAATGTGTTCAATAATGCTAAGATTTGATGCAAAAAATGTGTCCGTCTCTCTCCTCCAGGCGGAAGAGTTGATCAAAGAAGAGATGATCACCATGCTGCACTATGACATGTTGAAGACACCTTCGCTTGATGCCATCGGCATCAGACGTGTGGAGAAGATCATAGCCAAGCCCAACCTAGCTTCTCACTCAACTTACTTGGATAAGATTCCCTATCAACAGGTGGATGAACAGGCCATGGCTGAGGTATGACTGATGCAAACCTTAGGATAATGCATCCATTGGGTTTCCTGTTTTACTTAATTCCTGTCTTGCTGTAAAGGCCTGAAGAAGTTAATTTGGTTTCAATTGCCAGACATTCTGATTCTCTTTCACACAGCAAGTTATCTTATAGTGGTCACGACTGTTATGGGATACGAGATAGTTGGTTTACCCAGATGCAGATCCGAAACCCCCCCCCCCCGCTGCTTTAAAGTAAAAAATTTTAAATGGGGAAAACAATTTTTAAGTACACTGACACCAGTCCCATTGTAACAATGTATGCCATGTAATGTTTCATCGTCATTTCTGCTTGTCTGTGAAAAATGAGACATTAAAAAATCTCCTGCCTGGCCTGACACCCCACCCCCCGAAAAATTCCTGGATCTGCCCCTGTTACCACATCATTACCACACAAGCTGGGCCAAGCCAAATGACTTGTCTGTGGCTTAGAATTACTCAGGTTTATAGTTGGGCTGTGGCTACATCTCATACAATTGTGTGGCATTTCAAGCCGCAGGTAAGTAATTCTGATGTTGGCCTTACTTGCGCTAAGTGCCTTCCATTTTAAGGTCAGTGTGGGACAGAGCCGCAAATCATTTTGTTCCTACATATCTTCAGGCAGCAGGCTACCAATAATAAGAGGTGGTCCTATAATAAGGATTTTGTTTCCTTTTCCCACTGACCCTCAGGCCCACAAACTGTTGGAAAAGGAGATGGAGGTGGTCCATTCTGGAATGGGCCACGGAGATCTCTCCCTCGACGCTTACAGTCAGGTATGGGACGAGTGTCAGAGCCAGGTGCTGTACCTTCCTGCCCAGAACCGCTACACGCGTGCCAACCTGGCTAGTAAGAAGGACCGGATTGAATCGGCAGAGAAGAAACTTGAGGTAAGCTGGTATCAGACGTTGTGTGTTGGGTGTGTCTCAAAAATCAACCCATGTGAAATCTTCCACTGGGAATACTGCCTGTTCCAGTGAGGTATGAAGAATTTGCACGGCTGCCATCTTGCAGGCCAGTGCTTTTGTTCCACAGGATATACTCAAAGCAGGTTTCCCTCTGGAACAAAGGAACTGCCCTTCAAGATGGCTATGATGCAAAGCCTGTATTCCAACAGTACATGCTCAAATTGAAGCACGCCCAAGGTCATTCAGGAAAGGCAATACATACACATGAGGTCTGCTCTATCAGCACTGCTACTCACCAACCCACATGAATGACTTTATTTCTATAAAATACGCATCAAGCTCACTGGGAACGCATGCTGTTAATTGTTAGTAGACATTGCCGCTTAGCCAAATTACGTGCTAAGCAGAAATCAGTTAGGAACCAGTTGAAAACAGTATACCTGCCATGTAGTTTTGGCTGGTAACCTGTTTCTGCTAGGCAAGTATTTTTGTGCTTAGGCCTTGTGTGAATCACTTGGCTGTGACTTAAAATTAAACACGGCTCTTTGAGAACCAGCTGTGGCAACTGTCTAAGACCTTTGCATAATTTCAAGCTGAAACTCTCTCTGCTTGGCAACACTGTGAAATTGGAACCCACCCAGAAACATCAGGTGCATGAAAATTGTCAATGTGCTCTAAAGCCAAGAAGAAATTTACTAGGTCGTCTGAACTGTGACTTCAGAATTGTTCAAGAAGTCATTCCATGTTTTTGTCGTCTCACAGGCCTATCGCAACTTCATGACCAAGGAAGCCAAGAGGGCAGCCAAACTGGAGAAGAAACTGAAGATCCTGTGTGGAGGGTACCAATCACGGGCTCTGGGCTTGATCAAACAGCTGGGGGATATGTACGAACAGGTGGAACAGACTAGTATCGAGCTGGAGACATTCGAGGCACTCAAGAGGAACGAGGATGCTGCTATCCCCAAGAGACTAGAGGTAAGAAATGAATGTAGCCTTGGGGAAACACAAAGTGTAAGGTTGATTTTCATTTATATGACAGTTTACCATTAGGTCCAAACTTCCCTAGAAGAAAATCATCTGCATCTGTCACTTTGCTTCCATGAAATCATTGTTAATTCTTGATGTCTTATGTCTTTCTGATCCTATTGTTTTCATCCCCTCCCCTTCAGTCACTGCGTGAAGACTTAAAGAGACAGACAGACAGGGAGAAAGAACTACAGAAACGTTTTGCCGATTTGACCTTTGAGAGAGATGTCGTCCTCAGTCAGAATCATTGAGACAGTCCCATTTGAAGAACAGCCCAACCTGTGTATACATGTACAGGCAGCTCATCTTTATTCAACCTGTTGTTCCCTCCACCGCCCCCAGGAATTTTTGAATTCTCTCGGCTTCCTTTTCTAGAATAACTTCTTGAGGCCTCTCTTCACATGGAGGGAGTCCTCCTAGCTTGTATGATGTTGGTCCGCCCTTGACAAATCACTATGACTGGTAACAAGCGTTGACCATTTATCCTTGTATTTGTTTGAAAATGTTTAAAAACAGGAGCCAGTGGGTGCATGTATGAGGTTGTGCGTTCAGGTTTGCGTCCAGGTTTCAAATGAAACAAGTGTGTGGTTGTATGATGCTTGTAAATTTATGAGGTCCTAATGATGCTAAACAGATGTGCACATGTATTACCAATGAAACTGCTGTGGTTGGGGGCATTTAATGAAATGAAAATGTTTAACTTTTTGGGGGGTATCTTTTTCCTTGTTACTGTTTTATTTCCTACTATTACATTTTTACAGGGAAAAAACACGACTCGTCCAGTCATTCTGTAGATATATTTGACAGTCACGGCATATGCAAACATTGTGTAGAAACCAACACCATGAATTTTAGTTGCCCTTTTAATTGCTTCAGTATGGACATTTTATGTTTTAAAAGATAGATGTATTCCAACCCATGGACTTGTGACAGGCAGGATATTTTATCCTTAACCCTAACCCTCCTCAATCCTTCACCTGTTGGAGGACTGAGGAGTGTTAGGGTTAAGGAAAAAAAATGAGAAAAATCTCCCCAATACATATATTATTATTAAAATAGTGCAGGACAGAATGGTAGAAATGAAGGATATAATAAGATTAGAAAAAAATCTAAAATCCTTTTATAATAGGAACTTTATCATGCCTGATGTAACTACATGCAAAAGCACCCTTGTATATATACACATCTCACAATAAATGTCCCACAAGAATAACCCCAAGGAGTCAAAACAAACTGCAGTGTGTCAGTGTACAAATTGTTTTAAGAAGAAAAAGTTCTTGATGTTACCTTTAAATATTAAAGAGACCGTAGACTGTAAATACCACATGGAGAATATCTGAAGAGACAAAATGTGACATGGCAATGCAATAGATGGCATCTATGTCTAAGCCATATTGGCATATTGACACGTCAGAAATAGAATCAAGGTCGGTACAGTTTCCTTGCCGGAGTCAAAGCAGCATTTCTGCCAATTATACAACTCCATAACATTGGCCACTGGTCACTACTATAGGTCCGTCGGTCTGATTCGTCAACTACACGGCTGTCCCTCTCTCCAGGTTCTGCTTGATCTCCGTGGTGTACTTCCCGTAGAACCTCTCGGCCTTCTTGTTGAATCGCATGTTGCGTTCATTGATGTAGTCAATATCATCTTCCTCGTTGAATGCCCGTCTCCGGCTGTACTTGGAGCGCTTATCAATCCTGAAACACAATGGAAGAAATGCAAGGTTTTTAGAAGGTTCCGAGCAAAAATGAGTGGGAAATTGAATCGATCTAAGCAAATCAAATCTAATAGAAACTCCACTCCTCAAAGACATTGATATACATGTACTTACTGTTTTTCCAGATCTTTCACCATGCGATCAACACCTTCTTCCGAGTCTTTGTAGTTGCCTTGCATGATTGTATCCCTACCTGGATACATGTCGTCTCCCCTGAAGACAAGTCCATATCAAGATCCAAATAAGATCACTCAAAGATCAATGCGATACAAATTTCCAGAAACTTGTCCAATCAACTGCAAGATCAACCTAGTGTTCTGTTGTTATATTCTCTGACCGATAATTGGAGAGTTGACAGGTGTCTACCCAATTATGATTAGATAAAGACTCACATTTTTTCTTTCTGCCTCTGATACTCCTCCATATTCACTTTCATCTGTTTGGTGTTTCGTTGGTACTGACGGAAACTGGCTTGCTCGTAGTCTGAGGAGAAACAAATGCATGTAATAACTTTCATATTTGAACAGTACATGCTGTGTACTGAATTTCAACTAAAACGGCTGTAAACATCCTCTTCCATCGAACAAATTAGCTTCATAAATAAAACTAACAAAATTTGTACAATGTTGGAATTGAAAAATTATGGTAACTGAATGTTTAAATTGTGATGTCTGTAGGCTGAAGTTTGTTGAAGTCTATCAAAAGCATGATAGCACTGGCCTTTAGAAGAGCTACTCTGAGCTGTCTAGACCATCTCAAGTCTTCTGTTGTCCAAACCATGAGTTCTGTTAACGTTCTGTCCCACATACCTGCAAATCCTTGGTCAGGGTTCTTCTTCTTCCTCTTTTTCTCAAGTATGTCCGCTTCTTCTGCTGATACGTCCAGGAGTTTTAGTCTGTCATAATCCTGACCCTGAGCCTCAGCTTCCTGGAAAAAAATTAAACAAAAATTCCCATTGGTGGATACTGCTGGTGGAAATTTTCCACGAGAACAAAGATGGATTAAGTTTGGCTACAGCAAAACAGATGAATTTTACACTGGCTTCCGACCTTCCTTTTTTCATCATCTTGCAGTATCCATTCGGCTCGTTTTCTCTTTGCCTCATGATTTGCGGGCAACTTGAGTCGACGGTCTTCCTCTACAACTTCAGCATGGTTCAGCTTTCTAGCCTCATTCTGTGGCAAAATAACCAGAGTCCATAACTTCAACCATCACACACAAGAAATTTCTTCCCTTGTCCAATGTATAAGTAACTTCTCAGTCTTCTGGCATCCTTCAAGCTGCTGTCATATGAACAGATGAATGATTATTAGATGTCCCTTTCAACTTCCAGCTCTGGTCTTACCCTTCGTAGATGAAGCTCCTTCAACCTCTTCATCCGCTCTTCCTTCTTTTTAGCTGGTGTTAGATTATCATCACTTTTACTGCTACTACTTGCACTTGACGACGGCAAAGATGAGGAATCTGCATTCTGTGGACAGATCAGTTAAATATTTTAGGCCTAGGGCCTACTGCTGCCACTGCTTGTTGGGATGATCATGATGGTTATCATTTAAATAAACACGATAACGGGAATTGTACCACAATGCTGGTATGAATCTTTAGTGGAAAAAAGACTTTTCAATAACTAAGATGGCTAAAACAAACCAATGTTATTAACTGAAATTTTTCACGAAATTGATAAAGTTGACGATCATGCCGATAGCACGAACGTCAAACGTTTCAAATTGGCATGCTGACACTCAAATCCAAACGAATTTAGATATCTCAAAACATACAGCAGCATCGAAAAAAAGTTGCTACATCAGTAGAAAAGTTTTAACCATATCCCATTCATTCAAACGTAAGTTATTAAACAAACAGACACAAACGAAATTTTCTGTTCTTACCGAAGTCGCCATTTTATTACATACTAAAGCAATTTCGTTTGTTCGTTTGATTGTTTGTTTGTTTTTAGTTGTTTTCATTATTCAGAACATTACATCACAGCAATCATATTATGAAAATGCTTTATTTAAGTTTTGAATAACATGTTGTTCTGTGATTCTTTTTTTTCTTTGGTTTTTAATGGAAATAAACTTTAATGATTAAATTTATTGGAGGAATTTTTAACCAATTTGATTGATTGACATGTTGAGGGCGGTTGACTCGCGTGTTTTCGCGCGAGTAGCGGTCCAATAATTTTACTTCTAAACACTGCGGATAGGTGAGATTTGTTTGCTATAATTTCATTATTTTCAATTAGAGGAATCGGTGATAGTTATAACCAAGTGCTCTTTATTTCTTGAATCTGTCAAAATACTCGTTTTGTTTTAGGCCGTGTCCGAACAAAACTTAGCCAGGTTAACCGCGGCTTTTATTTGAAATTGTGCAGGACGATTGATATACACGTTCACTGAAATGAAAATGATGGGAAGTGTCTGCAGCCACCCACGTGTAAGCCACAGCATGGGGTGTTTTCCTACCCAAGGCCATAGGCACAGCCACACCCAAGTGATTCGGACCACACGGCCCTACTTGTCACAAAACAGGAGAATATTTTTGTTGAGATCTATCACAAGGAATTTAGAAGCAAGTCGCAATAGCCTTATTTGAATTTGAAGTCAGAGTGGCACTGGTGCATGCTGGTCATGCTGGTAGGGCCTGTCCGCACCAAGTGGGAACAAGAGAGGGTGTGTTTTAAAGTAAAATTGACATTCCTTTGGTACCAACTTTCCGCATAGGCACTTCATGTGCGTTTGATGCGGGGCACGCAGGCGGAATGCATGCCAAACGTGTGCAAGAACCCGGTTGGAAAAGTTTGTACCATCTGTCTTTCTTTCGCCGTTGAGGGTGCACTTCAATTCAGGGCGGATAGGCTATGTCATGTACATGTATGTCACCATGTGACTTAAAAAGTGGTAAAATTTGAGTAAGCATAAGAAGTGGTGGTGCTTTAGGTGGGCTTTCAATTTTTCATCACCCCACAGTTCCTGGTGTAGGCTTTCAAGTTTCATGCCATGTCTTTCTAGTTAAGTCTCAAGCTTTTTTGCAATATTCGACAGCTGGTTCTTTAAGTCGACCCAGAATTGTATTCACTTATCATGAGCGGACAGCTTCCCGGAACCACAGCAATAGCAGGTGGATCTATTCCACCCTTAGTACCAGTGTCAACACCAGCAGTAGGTACCAGTCTGTCAGGGAGTGCCCCTGCTCCACGCAAGACGCTGCAAGACACTATCAAGGAAATTGAAGCACAGATAACGGTAACTTTTTCTTTCTTTTTGTAAAAAAAAGAGTTCCATATCCAATCACCAAACATTTTCCGTAGTGTTACATGAAAAGTACCAAAAAGAGTAAATTAATGTGATGAAGAAACACATTTTAAGGAGTGAAAAATGTTGTTGTTTTTTTCTGTCATTCCCCATAGACTCTGTGCATGAGATCTTAGGTGGTGGTTGGGATATGAAACTCTTGTAGCCTTCAGTAAGGAGATTTCTGTGACTATGATTGCCACTGAAAACAATCCCGTTTTTCGCGTCAGGAGTTACAAGTACATTTTGTTTTCTTTTCCACACATGTCCTCAGCTGTTAGAACAGACACCAAATGCCACCAGCAGACAACAGGAGGATTTAGCTAAACTCAAAGAGCTGCATACACGAGCCTTGGCTGAGCAGGAGAAGGTAAATAGTCTAGTCACCAAGACACAAAGTAGTGTCCAAAGTAAACCTTGCCAGCGACTCTTCATATGATGCCTTCACTTGCCAACAAGCAAGCAGGCATCTTTGTCATGTAGCATTGTTCCACATTATGGTCTGTTTTGACTTGCCAATTCCAAGTAGTGCATTTGCAGTGCAGAATTGAAAACAGCAAAGATGTAAATGTTACATGAAATGAACAAAAAACTTCAGAATGTTCATGTAAAATTGTTTGTTTATTAAGAGGATTGTCCTTCGTCTTACAGTTTAAAGCAAACAAACAGCAGCAGCACATTCAGCAGCTCCAACAGCAGCAACAACTCCAACAACAACAACTACAGCAGCAAGCAACACCAGCAACGCCAGCCAGAACAGGCACCTCACCCACGACCTCCTCCAACCCTGGTGCCAACGGCACTAGCAGTCAGACATCTAGCACAGCACCTGCTCACAATCACAGTGTGGCACCCCCTGCTACCAGCAGTAAACCCAGCTCCATGGCAACAGGTGCACACATTGGTATTGACCCTAACCAGGTTAGTCACTACTGCTAATCATGTGCACGCCCTGCATATGTACATGCCAAGTCCTGAGCCTGTCTAAGCAAATTTGCTTGGCACAACTAACCTCAGAACCAGTCACTGCATGTCACATTACATTTTTTCTGGTAGCTGGTCATTCCAATGGGGTTTTTTCTCTCCCGAGCAATTCATGAACTAAGCCACTTTATGCATTTGATCCTAGCTCTCCTTCGTCTCAGCATAGTGTGTTTTTTGTTATTCTGATTTAGGTACTTGACAAGAAAAGAATCCAGGATCTTGTGAAGGAAGTAGATCCAAACACTCAGCTTGATGATGATGTAGAGGAGGTATGAGGACTGTATACTTCTGATTGGATTTCACTTTGAAGTTTCTTTTGTCATAACAGGAAGAGGGTAAACTTCACTTCTGTCAACTTTCAAGCCACTCAGCTCAGACCTGTCGCATTCATCACATTTTTTTTTCATTTTATTCATCACTTTTGCAGATGTTGCTACAGATTGCCGATGACTTCATCGAAAATATAGTGACAGCTGGATGTCAACTTGCTAAGCATAGGAAATCCAACACTCTGGAAGCCAAAGACATACTCCTCCATCTAGGTAAGATCAATCATTTCATTCATCAGTTGAAGATTCCATTTATTGTATGCTGTGACTTCCTAAACCCTGTGAAGGGTGCTGATACCCAAAACCCATCTTGAAAGGAAATCTTGGAAAATTATGCCAACTTTTCAAAGAGGAGATTGTTTGCTTTCATTTGAGCACTGTGTGACCCCAAATCCTATTGAAATTAAAATGGTTGAGTATATTTTTTGACTACATTTACATGTATTGTCATTTTAGATGCATTATTTTAAGATCAAGAAATGCTTTTTTCTTTCTTGATGACTAGAGCGTCATTGGAACATACTTGTGCCTGGATATTCCACTGAAGAGAACCGACAGTACAAGAGGCCTGCCTCAACAGAAGCTCACAAACAACGGATGGCACTCATACGAAAAACTCTCAAAAAATGAAATCATATGTATGTCAGGAGAGTTTATTGATCGGCTAATGTTCATGTACGGCATCCATCCAAGCCTTTGTAGATCTCATGACGGGGCCAGTCTTGTTTGCCATTCCTTGTAAGATTTGATATCGATACCATTATCTCCATCAGTACTGCTGGCCTAAATTTAGTACATGTACAATGTAGGAATACATGGAGCAACCATCAACAAAGTCACCTGTGCGCATTGCTGGGCACAATTGGTTGGACTCCAGAAGGCACTGTGTTAAATGCATAGAATGCAAATATACAGCTATGAATTGGGAAATGAAGCCCAGTTGTGGCACAAGTCCGTTATCGGGCTGTTATTGACATGTATTGTTTCTCCCTTGATGTCTGACTCTTAGACACAGAAAAAACAACATCCAGAACAGTCGAATACATTTGAAGCAAGATATGGGACGGAGAGAACCCCCCCCGCCTTTGTGTTGGTCATCATTTCATCGGAATCTCAAGAATTCTTCACAGACTTCTAGGGGGATGTGTTAGGTAACAATAGTCTACAGTGTGTATAGGGATTGGACAGGTAAGGGGGGTACCCCTCCGTCCCATATCTTGCCTGGTATAGTCGAATATATGCATGCTACTGAGCGATATGTGCGACATAATGCACATATATGTAACAGTGCTCGGGAATACTCTTGTATACATGTATGCATGAAATACGCAAACAACACGAGACCCAGCAGCTTATGGATGAAATCAAGTCGCCTGAGATTTTTAAGGATTGGAATGTGTTGCGGGATCCGGATTGGATGCGCGTGTCAACACCCACTCAGTACATTGTGAAAACAGTCAAGGCAGTTGACTACTAAACATGACAATTAGAAACAGACTTCTTCTTTCCAAAGCAAGTTTATTTGCAAACGAACCTTTTAAATAGCTCAAGATGAGGACAAGTTGAAACATGTTTGAATTCATCACAGTATGTACATGTTGAATGATATAATTCTTTGCCATATATGGGCAAATGCATAACGCCCTTTGTCTTACACGTATTTGCTATTTACAGATCTTGAACAGGTCCGAAAATTCAACAGAAATGTGGATGAAATAAAACAGCATTTGTGGGACATTAACTTCACTTTTTTTGTAATCTTAATCATGGATATAATTTGCATAAATTTAATAAATTCTGTCAACTTGAATTGACGGCAGATTGTATGTTTCTTTGCTTTTTTTTAAGTTTTGTAATTTTGCTTAACACATTTACATTGATTTTGGCAATTTATCCCATGTTTCCAAACAAGTAGGAGGAATGAAGTTACTTGTAATTTCTGATTTATTGAATTGTGGCTATATGTATGTGTATCAAATTCCAAGCTGGTAAATACATGGATCATAATTTCAACCAACATAATTTTTGGAGTAGAATTTCAAATTTACCAGATCAAAACACGTTTCTTGGAAAAACTGTTCAAACACTGATAGAAAAACTTTCTGAAAGCAACAATCAGCCTTTTGACATGAACTTGTAACTTCTGAATAAACATATATCAAAGTTAGCTACACTGCTGAAGTCATCTATTATATTCTGTACACAAAAAGCCAAAGGGGTTTAAGGCACATGATCTGAGAGTTGAAGCAGGCACGATTAGTAATGGAAGACTTGTGGATAATGAGCTCATTTTTAATTCATACTTGACCTGTGTAACATTTGTTGCACTGAAAAATGGCATCTTTTTAAATCACCCGTTGAGATTACTTGGTGCTTTAGTGATGGGAGGGCTTGCTTTTTCAGGCCGCTTCATCCAATGATAAGCAAGATTTGACCCCCCCCCGAGTGCCAACAGTCATGTGACTTCTCTTTCCAATTGATCACTTACACATTATATAAACCAAAGAATAGAAACTATACAAGTCAGCCAGTGGTTGAATTGCTGTAGCATTTGTGCATCACCAGATGGCAGCTTTAGATGGCGATGGGTTGCTGAGATACCATGGGATTAAACTCAAACTCATTCTTGGCGTTAGTCTCAGGAGCTAGTTGGGCCTCCTCTGCACCCTGTGTACAAAGAAAGACATCAGAATTGCATCACAGTAAAAAAGTAATTTCTGCCTGTTTTATTCTACGTGACATTGGATATTCTTGCAAACTTTGAGAGTGCCGGATATTGTTTTTCTCGCAAGTGTTACATTTCTCAAATGGATTAATTTTTCTCATACCAAGCTCTCACAGCCCGCTGCTCTTTTCAATAAGCCCCCTTACCTGCTCTGAGAAGTACCGCTCGATGAGTTTGACGGCCTCCTCGTACACCTCGGTCTTCTCGTGATCCTGAAGCTTCTCAATCTTATCCAAGCCTTCGCATTCCTCTATCAGCAAGGCAACCTGTTCAAGCTGTCCCACACTCTCTCCAGCCTGTCAATGTTAACCAGCAAAGACGCTTACTGAGTAAACATTTGTAAGCTCCTTTCTCAAGAATTCTCTCACGAGCTGGAGTTGAGGTGTGTTGGTGGCTTACCGGTGCTTCTCCCAGTGAGTTCTTTGATTTCATGGAAAAATTCTCTGGATGTACAAAGACCACTGCATGCTGGTACATTTGTACAATGTGAATTATGTGCACAGAATATAACACCTGCAACCTTTAGTGTTTATACATTGTTAGGTTTCAATTAACATCACATAAAAGCCACTGTAACGGATGAAGAACTTCCCACCCATCTCAAGTCAGCATGCAGGTCTCTAAGCTTTTCCAAAGAAGCACCCCGGTGATACCTACCGCAAGGATGTTGTTGAGAGCTTCCAGAATGACCAGTATAATCTTGGTGTCTTGGACTGCCAGGAGATTGCACAAGGGTTTCAGGCAGCCCGCCTCCACAGCAGCCACAATGTGCTCTACAGTGCCGCCTGATGTCAGATTGGTGACGGCCCAACAGGCCTCCTTCTGGCACTTGTAATCACCCTGCAGACAAAGATACAACATCTTCATGCTGAAGTCCAAAGTTGGTGTTGCCAAAGAGTGGTTGGCAAACTACCTTTCAAAAGTTAAATTCAGAAGGCAGTACACGCCCAACAATATCACTTGACTAAAATACTGTTGAATCATCAAAACATACCTAGAACTGAGAGTAAAAGCACGGGAAAGCTGTTGTTGATAGTTCTGGGCAGTTAATTTCCAGGTCATTAATCCATATTCTTATGAAAGGATGCAGAAATTGAGGGAAGAAGAACCTTTGCCATGACTTCAACCAGAGGTTTGAGCAGTCCTGCTTTGACGACCTCGTTGATCTGCGCCACGTTGCCGGCTGTGACATTACTGATCGTCCAGCAGGATTCCTTCTTGATGTTGGGTTTGGAATGATGGAGCAGGGCGTACATGAGGGGAAGAGCACCAGCATCCACCACAGCCTGACAGGAAGAAAGAAGTCAAAGGTTTGTCAAGGTGATTACATCGATGAGAAAACAGATGGAGGTTTGATGGACAGATATGGGAAACCAAAGTCGAGGCTTACTTGGGTCTGTTCATCAGTTCCTGTCACGATGTTGCCAAGGGTGCGAAGAGTTGGAGTCTGCAAAAGAAAATAGGATACCTGTAAGCTGACTGGCCACGACTTAAGAAACTGAAGACTACACAATGAGGAAACCTATCGGGGAAGATGCCAGAGAAAGAGACATACAGCGACTGAATTGATCAAGCTTACCACGACTGAAATCTCCTCACAGGCAAGGAGTTGGACGAGTCTTGGTACCACACCAGCCCGCACCACGTGCTGCAATGCAAAATGTGAGACTTGTGATGAATTTCATCCCACCAGTGACATTGTATGGACCGTTGACTTGAAGTTAGGCTGTGTACTTACGTTGATTCTCTGGTTGGTGCCGTCAGTGAGGTAGGACAGGGCCCAGCAGGCATCAGCCAACACTTCCTTGTCACAGTTGTAGATGAGGGATCCCAAGGCAGGCAGGATGCCCATCACCACCTCATCAGGAGGGGCTGGGTTCTTGTTACGACACAGGTTGGATAGGGTCCAGGTGATGTTGCGAAGATATGGGCCCTGGTAACAATCGAGAACAGGAAAGTTTTTGTTGGTGGATACCAGCGACAGTGAAGACCCCCCGTGGATAATGTGCATGTACATGTGAGTAGACAGGATTTCAAGAAAATGAAAATTACAGCAGGGACCAAAGAAAGGTTTTCCCTTACTGATGTAGTCGGTGTGATGAGCTGCAGAAGTGGGCCTAGCACTCCATGTCTGATTACTTCATCTCTCAGCACGGCACCATCACCTGAAATAACAATGCAGCAAAATCTCAAGAAAATCTCATAACCGATGTACCATCCAAGCTAGATCACCATACGTATCTACATGTATCAGTCAGGTATTCAAGTGGCTGTTTTTTGACTGCAGAGGTCATTCAGTGCCCTCCTGGAGACAAGATTAGATCTTATGCACAAGTTTCATATCGACAGGGTACTGCACCTGCAATGTTGCCCAATGCCCAGACAGCCTGCTCTCTGACGTTCTCCTGGGGGGAGGACAGGAGCTTGACAAGATGTGGGATAACGTTGGCCCTGACTACAGCCATAGTCTGCTCTGGGGTGCCCGATGCAATATTGGTGAGAGCCCACGCAGCCTCAAACTGGATGGCTGGACTGTGATCAAGGACAGACATGAGAGTTAAAGATATCAACATGGAGTCTCTGCTACAAGAAGCAATGAAAGCCTTTGAGGCAGGATTTTACGGTATCCTGCCTTACAAATGACCTTTTTTAGTCACATGAGCCAGGCACTTGTGCTAACAGGCAACACTGTATAGTGAAACTGGAAAAATCTGGACTCACTTGTCGTCGTAGGGGAGGAACTCCACAAATTTGGGGATAAGGTCAGCCCTGATGATGGAATTGATGGGAGGATGGCGCTCACGGGACAGCATCTTCCTAGCTGCCTGGACAGCCTGGAATTGCTTGCTGGCATCGTTGGAGTTCACTCCAGCCACAATCTCCTCCACTGTCATGGCAACGGTTGGCTGCAGGAAATACAAATTAGTTTTGAATTCAACATCAACTGCAGAAGGTGGCCACGATAACCGTGGAAAGCACTTTTGTTTGGGTTCTGGGGTTTGGCTCCTTTTTTTTTTCAAGACTATTTATCCACAAACCTGTTTTTGCTCCTGTAGAGGCAACGGGGCATCCTCCTCCAGTTGGATGTTGCGCCGTTTCATGAGGTTGTCATCTTTCTTTGCCTTGCGCAGTTCCACTGTGACTTCCTGTCTTCTCCGGCGCATCTCCTGATTAAATACAGGCCATTAAAATTGAGTTCTGAAATACAGCGGTTCAGAATTGGATAAAGTCATGATCAAGACTAGCAGGCCTAAGATTCTCAAAACAGACATTCTGTTTCCGAAATTTTTGTTATTCAATTGCTACAGTACATTTGGAGACAAATGCAGGCCCACATGTACATTGAATTTCAATTCTACTTACACCTCCATCCCGTCCCTTGTTCTTGAAAGAAGCAAGACGGTTGTTCTCAATGCCAGGCATGGTGAGACTATGGCTGATGGTACAGTGCTGTAAATAGAGAAGTTCTGCTTTTTTTGGCTGGTTGGAGGACTCTCTTAGAGGGCAGTATACTGTTGGCAAGACAATAAATGGAACAGTGGGCATGATAAGCTTCAGGATAAACTGTGACTGATATTTCCTGGGGAATGAAAGTAAAAAATGTCAACTTAAGATTTGCATTTGTCCATTTTTTTGTCGTTTTGTCGTCTTGTGTTGTGGACAATGAACCATTGATGGATGATATGAGATTATACTGTAATCATACCTAACAAATGCATTCAAGTTCAACAAAGAAAAGTCAGCATTCTCCAGTCAAACGATGCAAACAAAATATTAATAATATGCAAAATCACTCTTGCAGTAGGCCCCTAGTAATGATTCATTGGAGAGGTAACATGTGATTCTACCTCCATGATTAGCTTGAGTTAAGTTGAAGATAAACAGTGAGTTGGCAGCACGGCTGGGTCTTTGAATAAGTTTGATCTGAATATTTAAGCCACTTGAAATAACTTTCTTTCACCGAGTTTAAGCCCCAATAAAAAAGCTCAACCTACACTAACGTTACAGTCAAGCACGACACAGTCAGCATGGTCAGTCGTGTGGCATCTTCCTATCATATGTGGTAGTTACAAACTCTCTCTTTCACAGTTCATCGTCTTCGAGTTTTACATCCAAAGTTCAAAATTAGGCTTCTATCTCATTATCAAATTATTCTCCCTGAAATTATCCGGTATAAATGCAATGAGGACGTGCAAATTAAAAAAAAAGATTGAAATCTTTTGTTAAAAAGTAGCTGTGAGCAAGACCTACCTTCCTCATCAATGTTCAGCACAAAAATGGCTTTTAAACTTTGCGGGAAATTTAAATGCCACAATGGTTGTCTCTGATTGGCTGCTCAAGAACAGTTTCTAAATATCGTTCACCATATTAAATTTTACATGGAAATTTCCTAAAGCCTGACTCTTTGTGTGCTTATTTTACAACCATACCCATGCATTAAATATTTTAATGTTTATTTTGCTAAAAAAATTAGCTTTACATATGCTTAGTTTCAAATATTTAAAATATGACCGCAAATAGGCTTTAGAAACCGCTCATGTAATCTCGCAATTCACGAGGTCTCGCGTCACTGTATTTTCGGAAAATAGTTGTCTTCTGCTGCGGAGAAGTCCCTCAGTTGTTGCTTGTTTGTCGGACACGTATCCTTGGAATTACTGTTTCTCTTTTCATTGTGTTTTTTTACGTGCAAATACACAGAAAAATATCATTTGTATCAAGAAAGGTTGCCATTTTGCCTTGTTTTTGTTGGCGTTTGTGTTTGCGAACATGATACACACGTGCATGACGTGTGTACATGGGGACGGCCTGCGGTCATGACATGAGGGTTTTTCCCGCTGATGTGTATCCAGAAAGGTTGCCGGTGTTTTCCAAATAATGGTTCACAGTTACTGAGCTCCTTGACAAAGTTTTGTTCCCTTCTTGTCCCCATTTTTATATTACATCCACGCAGTGGCAGTCATTGCTCATTTTAAGACTAACATTGTCAATGGGCCTAGGCCTACCTCCAGGCTTTTATTATTTCATGTATTCCTATCTACCTCCGTGATTTAGCTTGCCCCATGGTCAGACGGTATGCCCCGCTGTCACATGAACATTTTCTGTCAAAATCCAGAAGTAAATGTCATGACTTTTGTATTCTCAGACTTTGTACATGTTGTACCATCTTTTCCTTCCTCCATCATGTCCATGGTCGTATACAACAGGATTTCACATCTGAATGCTAATTTCTTCCCACTTTTTGTGTCCCTTTCTTATGTTTAAAGTGAACATACATGTTTGCTCTGAAGTAATCTGAACCACCATACTGAAAAAATACCAAATCTACATCCAACAAAACATTGATTCTAAAATGATAGCATCGAATCAGTCCATAAATGAAATAAAATGTAAAGGGACACAGATTTTGTAACTTTAAATTACTGAAAATGAAAGCATTTTCAATGTTCCCGAAGCCCTGAAGAAATGGTGTGGAAATGCTGATAAACTAAAAGGTTTTAATATTAACTAAAGGCTGCTTTAATTAAAATCTCTATTAAGCCCTATGCTTTCAACCGTGGGATGTAGGGCCCACATGAAAGTTTTAAATAATTAAGTTAATGAGCATTCCAAACTTTTTTGTCCTCAAAAGAGTAATTTGTCAGGAATAATTGAAACTTGGTATTACCTTAACGTCACTGAGAGACTAGACGGCAGTATGTCAATGTATGGAGGTTGTTCCTCAGTTCAAGATAACATGGGGTTACAGCAACGCCAGTATGCATTACTAATGGAAATCCAGCGACTTTGCCGAGAACTGCCCATGTGAGTCATAGTGATACTAACTTTCCATTTGCTAACTGTCTTTTTTCTTAAATCTATTCATTAAAGGTGCGGGCAACATTCCTGCTCTGTCTTTCGCAAAAAATTTCCAAATGTACTTCCATAAGTATATTCCCCCAAATCTGATCCTCTGAATCTTGACAATTTTAACGATCTCTTTAGAGAAATTTGCCGGCAGTGTCAGGTCAGAAAACTTCACTGTTACTTGGCCTGTAGGGAGAGCGGTGTCAATACTACTAAAGGCTTGAATGCTGTGGCATTGTTGCAGTGACCCCTAGCTAGGACCAGTGAGGGGGCACCAGCATAGGGGGCACCAGCTTTCAGTGGTGTGGTTTTTGGGGGCAAATTTTTGTTGGCCTTGTTCAATATCCATTCATCCGTTTTTTTTTTCAGTGGGGGGCACTGGGAAATTGTCACGCACTCAGCCATGAAATTCTGGACATTGCAAGTAAAGTGTAACATTTGACAATAATTAATATCTGGGAATCAGTTACCCAACTCCACTACATGCATGTGGAAGACTAGTTCCTATCCCACCCTTTCTAAATCTGGGCCCAATTTTTTGGCTCAGCTTACCGTAAGAGGCTTACCCTAAGAGAGTAATTTTTGTTCCTCCAATTTTTTAAAATTTGTATAAATCAAGCAGTTAAACCTGGCAGCTACAAGAGATTTTTAAATATGACATTTCAGTCTCTGGTGTAGACACAGAATGATGATCATAAGGGCTGATTTCCATTGGCTCCAATTACTGTATTTGAAAGATTCCTGTTTGTTTTCAAACTGTAAACAAATACCACGCACGAAGCACTGAACGGTCATGTGAAAGTTCTCATCCGTCTCGGTACACATGTATTTGCTAGCACTAGCATTTTCCGCCATAGTTATGCCAAGTCCCAGCTAGAGTAAATTCACAAACTTGGCGTTGTCTGTACTTTGTTGATTAGCCCAACTGACACGGAGCTGTCCACTTTTCTGACCACAGGACCTATCAGCAGCGTGTGCCTTACAGCATGCTGTCTAGTCTTTCTGCATCCTTGCTGGACGGCACTGTGTTTGAGATTGTCAACCACCTTGCCGAGATTCAACACATGACGGAGCGCAAGTTGATGGAACAACGCTCCCAACTTGTCAACTCACATAAAGGTTTGCCACCTATCCTTATCCTGATAGAGCATTGCTCTGTTTACTTCAACACCAAGTAGAATAAGTGAAAGAAGCAATTATCAATTTGTTTTCAGTACTGTGAAAGTTCATTAAAGTCTTCCCTATATAATTACAAACAAGTCAGTGGTTGAAATTTCTTTTGATAGGTAAATTGACCCACTTTGAACTACTGCAAAGAAAATCGCTGCAAGGCAAAAGTAGTGTTTACTACTTCATTGATTCTATAAATGTGGAGCAATAAAAAGAATATTGCATCTAAACAGTTGATGATTTGAAGAGTGATGGTTATCACTGGTATGGAGCCTGTGGCGTGAACATCTATAAAAAGAAATTTTTTCACTGTTTGAAATAAAGGAGGGACATTTGAGGAAGAAAAGGTCAGAATCTTTGCACACCGATTTGTGCAATAACTCATGCTGGAACATCGTGATTCATAGGAGATACAAGGTTGAACATTTTGTTTGCCCTTCACCAACATAATTTCTTCAGCAAACAGTGCTTTAAAAAAACTAAATCAGTAAAGGACAAACTGGAATTCGCAAGGAGATTTGAGATCCGAGAAATAAAGTCCATTGTGTTCTCTGTAAGTGACTTTGTGTTTTCTTTAATTGGCAGCATTGAAACAGGAAATGACTAAGAAACATCGCGAGGCCTTGCAGAGCTGTCAAAGTAAACCCCACAATCTCAAACTGGTCACTAACACCAACCAGAAAGAGAAACAGGTAATAATATAAGATATAAGCTCAAAAAGTGTGCTCATTTTTGTGGCATGGCAGATTTATTGTGGGGTTTAGGCTCTAATTTGGAAGTTTATTGAAGAGAAATGTATACATGAATCAGGTTTACACAAAGAATTGCTGCATTAAAGTCGTTTAAATAACAGCACATGTGAGAACAAAGAATTTGCAAAGTATCAGAATTCTTCTTTAGCCATGTCTGAAATGGGCTTCCAGAGCTACGGCTAGGTCTATTGTCTCCGCGTCTCCGCACATTTCCAATGGAGGGAAGACCTAGACCTAGCACTAGACAACAGATTCGGATGCAGCCTTTGTGTAAGAGCATCTTTAGAGAAACTGAAATAAAGTTTTCTCTTTTGTTACCTTGCTTTTTTCCTTTCAATACAGGCTTTAGAGACACGCCTGGAGGATGAGATTAGGAAATTTGATGAGCGGATTGTGCTGGAACTGGACCACCGGGTTGCTGAGCAACAGATGACCTTAGAGAAGGCAGGCGTGGCTGGTTTCTTCACCACCAGCAAACCAGAGGAGGTCCGTCTACAGATGTACCTTCTGGAGATCATCCGCAAACTCAGCAAGATGAATTTCAATGCAGCACCATTCAGTTTTACGTGTACGTGAGAAACATATGGTTGGCTGTTGCAACAGTAGGCCACTAGAGAAGCTCACTGAACATGTACATCTCTCGCTGAGATCTCTGTGAGACGTGATAAGTTGGCTTCAAGTTAATCTTTGGAGTGATGGTAGAGACTTTGTGTTTGCCAAGCAAAAGGATTACTGGATGCTCAAATTAAGTTTTGGCCTTGTGCTAACTTTAGGAGTGGACTCCAAGTTTCCTCATGAAACAGAACTTGATAAACCGTGACTTTGTATGCGAGAGAAGATCTGACAGGAAGGTAATTGTTGAACTGCAACAGGGAGACATAGGACTGAGGAAAAGGAATTGTGAGCAGCAAGCCAACCCAAGGATTCCTGGATTAAGGTACATGATATTGTTCCTTCAGCAGTTTTTGTTAGAAGGATTGCATTTCACATGTGATATGTTCATGTTTTCTGGAGTAGCACTAAACATGAGAAGTACCCTTTCATGGAAGTGCTTTGCTTGTGATATCGGGGATTAGAACGTGGGCAGTGTGATCAAGTTTACTAGTTCACAGGCACAGTTCCTCTTAAGTGACAGCTGTTTCCGTCCGTCAAAGTGTGATATTTACCGCTGAAGTAACACAATGCTGGAGTGAGGAATGCCTTTCATGCTGACGGGAGGAAAAATGTCATTAAAAATTGGGAGTTTCGTTGATGGAAATGTATGACTAATAGTAACCACCAGAAACAGACAAATTTTTTTTTAATGAGCCATTAGGAGTTGACCTAATGGCAGTAAGTTTCGTCTTGTGTCATCTTGAGACTGAACAAGACCCAAATGCAAGAAGTTCTGAAACTCACAACCCTAGCAACCCAGTTTGCACTTTTACAAAATGGATAATGTCCAGTCCCCCTCCCTAGGCAAGATACTCGACTCCAGTTTCTCTTCTGCACTGTGGAATGAATAAGCACAGCTTGAGAATGTTGAACAAGAAACTTCTGGGGCCAGTACTGGACGTTGATGGGCATGCATAGTATTCATGCTAATTCACATGCAGCAAGAGGTACGGTGGGCCTCTCTCAGAATGTTTCATGGAAACCTGCTGGAGTTTCCAAAACTGGATTTCATTGTCTCATCAACAGCGCCCTCTGCTGTTAATATGTGGCTGTTATTGCCAGTGCCATGCATCGCAGCTTGGGACTTCTTCTCCTCACACGACCAATCAGTCCAAATCCAGATTTGGACCAAGAGGGAGTAATACTCTGTACTTTTGTGTCCATGAGCTGGACTTCTAGCCACAATTTCCTTCTTGTCAGAATGGAACCATAGTACAGAGGTTGAGGGTTCATGCATTTGTGTATGCATACATGTACATGTAAGAAGTCATGACGCTGATGCCCCAAAACAAGCCATCAGGAAACAGTTGCTCCCATTGGCTGAACAGCTATAGTTGGTGCCCCCTTAGAATTCTGATGTCATCATTTAATTGTTATCAGTGGACATTGTTTACTCCTTTGCTGAGGCCTGTGGGGTATTTCTAGTGACAATGCCTCTGATCTGTTAACCCTAACCCAGTGAACCCACGAGGACCTTTTTGCTAGGGCACATCCTCAATTCTCCCAAATCCTCCAGTGGCCCTAGTCCAAAAATTGTATTCATCCTCAATCCTCCAAAACCCATCAATCTTAGCACTTACAATGTATGTTCAAAATGAGAGGTTAATTCCTGCCATTATGTTGAGGCAGTGTGAATTGCCTTCTCAAGCAGTGCGGTTGATTTCAAAGTAATCTCAGGCTGAATTTATGCATGACTAAGCATAAACAACACAAGGTTCAACCCATGACCTTCACACATGGCATCCTTCACAGTCAGCCATACACTTTTGCCATTCATTCTCAATCCTCAAAAATCTTGCAAAACTGCCCAAAGGATTGTGGAGGATTGAAGAGGGTTCCGTCAAGTTGTGTTGTCGTAAATTGTAGCCCACTTGGCTCTTGTGAAGACTAATAATCTTCTTGAAACATTCAAATGGGGAACTTTGGGGCTTGATTCAAATCAATAGAGGGTTTGCATAGCTGCCATCTTTGCAGGCTAGTGCTTTTGTTTCACAGGGTATGCACAAAGGAGGTTGCCCTGTGGAACAAAACAACTGCCGTGCTAGATGGTTAGCATGCAAAGCCTCCATTGATAGTAGTTGACCTTGGGTTCCATTTGTGTCCCTACATGCACATACTGTACACGTAGGTCCTCTGCTTACAAGATCGAAGAGATTTTGAAACCAGAATGACAGTGGGTGAAATCCACACTGTGACACGTGTTCCTTCTCTTCACTCTTCATCTTGGTCATATTTTTTCGGAGGGAAATCTCATCAAACTTCCGACCTTACCATTTTGCCCTCTAAATTACAATTCTCACACCTCTTTGCTTTGGGTGAGGAAGAGATGGGAAATGACTGCCAAATGGCTGCCCCGTCACATGTGATTGTGATTACTGAGATGCTGAGATGTGGAGAAGGGGGGGGACCACTGACGACCAAATTTCCTGAATCAGATGTCAGTTAATCCGTGCTGCGACTAGTTGTAATGGGAAGTTTCCACGTGTTGGGGGCCTCCCGGAGGTTGGGAGGAAAGTAGCGAACTTAAAAGAAGGAAATGAAAGGAGGAAACTTTCATCAAGCAGCTAACCAGATGGACCGAGAAAGTGCATTGGGTCAGGATAGGGTCGTCACCTGCAGTATCAGGACATTAAAAGTTGGGCTCATTTGCCTAAATTGTGAGACCTTGAAATCTAAAACAAGTGAAGGTATTGAAATACAGGAAAGCCTGGAAATCTTTAAGAAAATAACGCCTTAAGTGTGTGATGCCTTGGTGATTACAGCCATAGGGTACAGCTGTGTCTCAGTTGAAGTGAGTCAATTCACCTTGAGTAAATATATTGATCACTTTGTACACATGTACGGTATGTGAATGATTAAAAATGACTGAAAAAAGCAAATTTTTTCAACGAGAGACACGATATACATGTAATGGCAGTGGCAATCAACTTTAAAAAGGCTTTTTTTTTGGCTGTGCTCTGGCTTACAAATGGGAAAATATTGTTAAATAACTTACTCAGAGACATGAGCTTAACAATTTCTTGTTGAGTTTGAACAGTGTCTTGCAGACATGAAGTACCTCAAGGCCACTTTCTTGAAGTTGCTAAGGGCAAATTCAAGCAATCGCAGTGTTGACGACTTGTCAATTGTTGTCTGTTATCCCGGATTTATTTACACGTAAAATTTATGAGTACAGCTTTGAAGGAAAATTAAGCAGTGGTCGACAGGTGGTCATACGTGGCTGGAACTTGGTCAAGCTGTACACTGGAAATGGGTTACATGCTAAGACATGCAGTAGCAGTGTCCTAAGCCAGTAACTGGTGCTCAGCTGATTTTGGCTTGGCATAAATTTATTTAGAAGTAACGTGTGGAATAATAGCTGGACTATGCCACTGCATGGTGCATTTGTAGAAGTAGCTCAGCTGTGCCATAAATGCCATACAGGTGCATCTAGGAGTGTGGACCACAGTGCTACATTTTTGCATTCTATCATAAATGTGAAATTTTTGCCTACTGCTTCCTCCATCCTTTAACTTACTTCCCGTCCCCCTCCCAGATCCACTGGCTATGCGCTTCTTAGCCCGACACTCTAGCCACTCAAACCTCAATCCTCCACAACTTTTATAACTTGTCAATAAATAGATCTGCATTTCCTGATGTCATTAATGTAGCCAGGACTGTCACTGCTTACCATTCCATCCCAGCTTGTAAATTGTTGCGCCCTATTTCTGTCACCCTCTATTTCTGTTGCCCTCAATTTTCTGAGAGGCCCAACAAACATCTCTCACCAGATGATAAATCAACAGAAAAGGGGCACTTCCCAATCCATCAGACCACAAGTTGTTCCCAACGCCCCCATCCTTCAATCCCCAATTAACTACAAGAACCCTTTGTCAATCCCTCATTAGACTGTGGGACAAGACCAGGAAGACTTGTTAATGTTATTGTCTGCTGTCTATAACCTAGCTACTCCCCCTGCGACTCCCCTATAATTGGGCATGGAGTTGGTACAGAGCAAAATCAGAGGAAATTTGTAATGGTGACAGAGTCCCATTCTGCCTTCCCTGCCCTTAGTTCCCTTTCAGAGGTCATCACGCTTTGCAGAATACAGAACGTTTGGGCAAGTGCTAGAATGGTAGACACCTGATTTTTGAGAAAGCCCCCTACCCAATCTGCTTCTTCTCCAAGTATTCCTACATGTAGGAGGCAAAGCTCAGGGAACCTCCTGGTTACTTTCTTGAGTGGTTTATCTGATTAGACCTCACTCTCTGAAGACAGCATAATATCTCTGCCAACCCAATCCACTCCTCTTGGATGCTAGTAAGCAGGAGAAAACTATTTTGGAACTGAGGATTGCAAGAAATGAATCTGGTCCAGTGCCAAGCATTGATGCATCGTCAGAAATCCCCCTCCTGTCCCATCCCACTTTGCCTTATTTGGGATGCATGGCTATTTCTCACAAATACATGCAGCTTGTGTTCCAAAACCCGTACAGATTCAGCTCTTGAGAATGGGTACTCTTGGTTTTCAATTTGTGGAGATCACTCTTGCAAAGTTAGCAGTATGTCTCTTCGAGTTTGACGTCTTCAAGAGTACTTTGAGTACCCAATAATACTTCTGTTAAAACTCAGCAGTGTGTCAAGTGCATGTACGTGAACCAAGCCCACATTTTCTCTTATCAATGGCTGTATCCCCAACCCTCCCCTTGCCTCTGTTTCATCTGTGGCTGGTTTGTTGCTGCATAATGACCTGCAGGCTCTGCCTTCCATGCAAACTGGTGCATTACTAATTGTATCCAAACCACTCATGGAAAAAGAAAGTGTTTATGCGAACTATGTAGAAAGTATTCTCAGTACTGCGTACGTACAACATGGTTGATGACTTTTCATACTTCATAAATGAGCACAAATCGTTATGATACAACCATCATGTTCTTTGAGGGTGGACAATGGCTCATCAATAAGGGGAAAAAATCAAAAGATCTGTTGAATTTAGGATCAAACCTTTGTCTTTATTGCGTTAAAAACCAAAAACCATTTAAAACTTCGAGACAGTGAATAAAATCTGGATTTTTTTACTGTATCTCACTGTAAAAAGAGCTGAATCAGATAATCACCTGCTCACACCACTTAAAGAATACAAAAAGATTTAAACACTAATAGTCAACACACAGTCACATTCACAACTAGTTCTAGCAAGTCCTTTAAAATAATAATAATGTAAGTAATTACAAAATACCAGTAATATATATAAAAATTACTCAGTATTCTTCCACTGAATCTGACATACTCATGGTTAAGACAAATTAATAATGAAGTGATGAAAATCCTCAGTAATAACTGACTCAGAAAGCAATGTTCACTTTCACTTTATTGTCCATCTGTCAATGTCTGCATGATCCCCTGCACAGCTACATGTAATTCTTCTACTACACCTTGTGACAGGAAATCGTGTTTTTTATGATGTCCAATCTGCTTAGAGCAGGAGCACCCCCTCGTTGGTTGGAAAGAGCCATGTTGGTCGGGAGTGTTCATTTTGTTGGTAGCGACGTATCTGTAAAGCGAATGGCATTGTCGTGAACTGGCGAAGTTCAGTTCCGAGCAAGGGAGCTTCTTTTGCTGAGGAAATTGCACTTTCTCTTGGTCCAGCTAGAAGCTCAAAGGGATAATTGTTTTCCCTGAAATATCCACTGAAATTTGAAGCAATAAATCTTGAACATTTTTCTCCAGGTTTCTAGTCTTTAATTTAAAGTTGAAATGGAAGAAACAATTGTTGAAACTTATAAACTACTAAACAGTAATTTCAGTACACTATGACTCTCCCAACTTAGCAATAACTTATCCTACTGATTACAACTTTCCAGTCCCTGCACCAAATTAATTAACGCACATCCTTTCCTCAAATTTCCGAGGCTGTTTAAGCTGTAAACTTGGCATCCCTGCCGTGTGGTTCGTCGAAGTCCAAGTCTGGTCCAATGGGAACAATGCCAAATGGGTTGATGCCCAGATGACTTTGCTGAGGAAGGAAACCGACAAATTAAAATCCAAAGATACACATAAATGCCAGATTTCTCTCCTTTTTTCTATGGGTGTCTACAATCAGCAAAGTTATGTAAAGCAGTTAATGGAACAGCTGTGCCGTGTCATTGCTGACCCTTTTAATAAGATGGAAGAATGTCTAGTTAATGCTGTAGGATGACATGGCATTGTACATGTGAAGGCAAAGGTTCCGTTTTAGAACTGGACTGATTTCAAAATTCCAAAGTTAAAGGATCAATCACTGATGCGATAAATTCTTCATAGACTCACTTTTTTGTGCTTCTTGATACTCTTCTTCAATGCATGAAAACTAACAGAAATCCATTGTCAGGGTTTAAGTGTATTGAAAAGTGCACTTTTTTAAAACATCAAAAAATTTCTCCAAACATTAATGGACGAGTGAGGTCCTGTTAAGTGATAGCAGAGTTTCTAAGGGACATCAATCAAACTGCTGGCATTTACTCAAGGAAGTATATGTACATCTATTAAAGTTTGAGTATGATCGTGAAACAACAGCGCCCCCAATAAACATTACACGAGGCCAATAGTAAGAAGTCCAAGCTTTACCAGGTAGTGGTTCTGGATGTGTTGCTGGTCCACCGAAGCTTTTATGGCTTCATTCTGATACAAATCACGAACAAATCCCCAGATGTTCGGATAGTCGATGATTCGTTTCTTGTTGCACTAAAAAGAGAAAAAAAAGGAACATAATCAAGTACAACCGTTTTAATGCAGCGAGATTTTTTTTATATAAGCATGAAAAATGACAAGGCCATCTGTTTATGGTTATATTCCAGGATAAATGATTTCCCATGGTTACTTGTAAATTTCTGAAATGTGAAAACAGGACATATCAAAGGAATGAAAAACTAAAGATTGGCTTAAGTTTCTTATTTACCTTACATTTGATAAAAAGATTTTTGTACAACAATAAAAACGTTTGCTGATGTCTTCCATACCTTAAAGTGGCCATGATAGACCGTATCAAAGCGTATGAGTGTTGTGAAGAGACGTACATCAGCCTCAGTCAAAGCTGAACCAGCCAGGTAACGACTGTCAGCCAGGATTCCTTCAACCTAAATAAAGGAGTGAAAATATCCATGGCTGTTGAAGATTTACTGATTAAAAACCTGGTCTGGTCCCCTCTCTGAAAAAGACCAAAACTAATTCTCAGTGTTTTTCTTTTTGTGGCAGGTACCTTTTTGGGGGTGTGGTGTGGAGGGGGAGAGGGGTTGGAGGGGTATAGGTGATGCAGTCGGTGGCTTGATGTGTTGTAAATGGAAATAAGTACTTTAAGAATCAGTCAATCTCTCCCAGTTTTCCCAAGCCTATTTTCCACCTCTTTAAAATAAGGCAACAGTAACAAGATTCAGGTCTGCATTTCTTTCTTTCAAGATACAATTAAGATGATATGTAATTAGAATTGGTTTACTCTGTACTCCGCAATCTAATTCTTACTTTGTCCAGTCCATCAAACACTTCCCTCACAGCTACATCGTAGGCTTCCTGGCTCTTGGCAAAGCCTGCACGGTACACACCATTGTTGATCATCCTGAAGCAACCAGAGAAAATGAAGGAAACTGACAAACCCTGGTTATGTACCTAGGATTTTGTTTTCCCATTCCATCCTTTTTAACCCATTTCACCCCCGCCCCCGATTTGGTTTTAACATCCTGTCGCAATCTCCAACTTTACAATCCCCAAACTACCCTACTGTCAAACCATCACACTCAAAACCTCCAGTCAACACTAGAATTTATTGCCCACAATTTGACGATAAAGGCAAATATGTGAAAAGGCTTATATTGGAACTGCGTGGGTCACTTTTTATGTGGTAATGGTTGATTTTAAGACAGATGAGGTACATTCCTTATTGTTCCTAATCAGTCTTTAATTTCACCTCAATTTCTGGGTAACCTGGACGAGGGCTTCTTTTAATGGGAGGGGGGTGGTTGCAAGAGGGAAGTCTATAAAATGGACAAAAGAAAACACAATTCAAAAAATTCAGACACTGAAAGAGAAAATCAAACCAGGATAAGTTTGAGAACTCCATCACAAATATGTCATCGAGTCGACTGTTTTTTTTTTTGAGTTGACAGTTTCATATGAGTTGACCTACGGGTAAACCCATCCATTCAGCTCGTTTATCTTGTCCTTGAGTTGTTCTGGATAGAGATCCAGGTTTCTCTGCTCGGACGTAGCACAGAAGGCATTGCACTCCTTATTGAGCATGCGGATGATCTCAGAAGACTCGTTGTTTACGATGGTGTTTGTCTTCTTGTCCCAAAGGACTGGAACAGTGAACCGACCGGAATAGCCTGTCGGTCAAAGAAAAACAGGGACACATTTGTTGACTTTTATCTTTAAGTTGCACACTGGAGTCAAACTCAGGACTGATAATGATGAGTCAAGAGAGAAGAGAACAACGACCCTAAAGGCTAAATAAGCTTAATTTAACGGTGGGCTGTCATCCACAGTATACTTGGTAATGAATGCGTTTTGTTAGTTAGTTTCCCAAACGGAAGTGAATTGACAATTACTCAGTGCAGGAAATGGCTCGTGAAAGTCTGGAAATCTCATTAGCATTGTGGTGTGCATTGAAGTTTTTTCTGCAAATGTCAGGCTAAAAAAGCTGACAGAGTGACCCCCACAGTATCATGGTACAGGATAGCTTTTTAGTTTCAGGTTTTTTTCCTGTTGAGGTACAGTTCCTTGAAAACAAGACAATTTGTTCTTCAGCCTACAATTCTTATTATTTCCGCTTTCCAAAAAGGTGAATTTTCTCTATTTTCTTCCAAGTTGAAATTCAGTCTCAAAATAACTTGCAGTAAACATCTGTGCACTAATCAAACCCTGATCTTAAAACTTTGCAAAACCACCCAGATGAAGTTTAAATATAGTCACACGTTTTTCTGTTACACACCACATTTCAAAATGCTAACCATTCGGCTATTTGTGCTAAGTGAATATATACATCCTCCCCTAGGTTCACCAACAACGGTCACTTCATTCATATTTAGTTTTGCAAACAAGCCTTCAAATTCCTATCTCGTCATGAATCATGTAGGCTGCTTCCCTCTGATATCTGCATCCAATATCCCCCTTCTTGTCATTAAGCGCCATGCCGATCTGGGGATGGTTTGCATTTAGCCCGACTAAAACTGCCCAGAGATAACAATCGGGCAGGATTAAACACTATATCATTATCATGCTGCTTGGCCATGAATTCATGAAAACAAGCTGTGTGTGGCCATGGATCCAATTAAACGAATTCCTTTGTTCATGTTCCTCATATAGTGCACTTTCTTTTGGGTTTGTTAAACTCAACATGAAGGCCTACCAATTTATGTGCTACACAACGCTCTTGTGTCAGTCGCATGTTGAAATGACTCAAGACCTGAGCAGGCTCTTATTTGTATCTTTTTTACATGATGTTTGTGAGTACTTTTCAAGCACCAGCAGAAAATATACACACCAATAAAGTAATGTAAGTACTGTAATCATGTGCGCATTAATAAAACTGTTAAGTGAGGGTGTCTAAACAATGCGTCCCACGCTGGACCAAGAGAGGGCGCAAATTTCCAAGCAACAGAGGCTCCTTTGGTCAGAACTGCACTTTGCTGGTTCACGAACAATTATGAAATGCATGCGTTACAGTTGCATCACTACCAGCAAAATGAACATTTCTGACCAACCTGGCTCTGTTCAACCAATGAGGGGGTGCTTCTGCTCAAGGCGGATTAACAACTACATGCATAGTCTTGATGTAGTACATTCTGTGTGCAGTACAAAATAACTCATTAAATACATGTGTGGCTAAACTGCTACCAGTATGTCGGTGAGAAGAGACTTGGATGCAAGTTTGTTCTATTCTTTAAGCATTAAACCACTAGGGTTTAAAAGGAATGGCTGATTTCATGGATTCAAGCTCTAAACATGGCAAACTTGTGAATGAGATCTATATGTATATTCTTAGTAGCAGCATCTAACAGTTGAAGTCAAATAACTTCTCATGAGTAAGACGAGCAGTTCCTTAAGGAGCAGTGCGTTCTTGAACTGCCTCTTCTAGGGGAGCAAACTTCAGCAGGGATATCCAGCAGCTAACAGGACGGCATGACTGTACCTCAGCCTTCCGGCTTATGTGCTGCCCATTTTAGTCTTGTTTCCATTTCTGCCTAGGATCTCAGTTTATCAATCCCAATAGTGAGGTCCAGATCACTAAGCAATGAGCCAAAGCCGAAGAAGGGGCTGATGAATTATTCCAAGAAGGCACAGAATTCATGTACAAGTTCATCCGGAACATTCTCATGATGTGCCCCCCAGCTGGTACCGTACACCCCTCCCCCGCTGGTGACAGGGCTGCCTTGAGCCCACCAGAGTCAACAGAGCAAGCACTGTCCCGTAACCTTGACCTTGTCCCATAACTTTGATCTCTGCAGCCTCTTGTACTGCAACCATTTCCCCTCGTTCATGATTACCATCTATGCCATTTCTGCCATGCCCCATGGAGCTAGGATTCTGAAGTATCTCAACAGGTTTACCCCAGGCATGATAATCTAGGATAGTTACAGGGAAAAAAGATAAGGGCCTGGTCAGGAAGGATACATCGTGAAAGATTGAAAAGACTGTCCCCCCAAATATGTGTAATCAGCTGGTTCAGTATTCCAACTGTGCATGCCCAAACTGAAGTGCGTCCGAGGTTATTTAGGATCAGCTGAGCAGGTGCACAAGAAGGATGATTCACAATAGTGCGCCTCCAACAGTTTGCAATGTGTTGGCCAATTACAACGAGCGAAATTTGTCGACCCTTTCCAAATGCACATTGGAGGCGCACTATTGTGAAACGCCCATATTGTCTGCCATATCAGTGGAGCCATACGCCAGCTCACGTGTGCTTTTTATTCCCGAAAAGACCTTGGCTGTTTGAAATATCAAACTGGCTCATTAGTTCACTCTCTGATTTTCAAAGTGTACTACTTTCTTTTTGATCCATTTATTCCCTCTTTCACCCCCTCTAGTGCAGCTTTTTTTTCATGAGTACTTACTTGCATCTGCCTTGAAGTAAATTTCCTTGAGAAGCTTGGCACCATTGACTGTGTCCAGCGTGCACTTGGGTTTCTAAAGAAAGATTAAGACTAAAAAGCAATTTTGCAGGGAGCACCCTGACTAAAACGGAAATTTTTTCTTTGTTGTCTTCTTCCAATGTCATCACATCCTGAAATTGGCACTGAATACCCTGTTGGATCAACAGAAATAAATGAATAAATAAAAGATAAACAATGTTTTCTTTTGAATAACTTGGATCCTAAGTTCAAATAATAGCGAAGAAAATCATACAATTTGGAGATCGTCTCTGGTTTATAAAAATTCTAAAAATGTAACTGTGTTTACTGCATCTTACCGAATGCCCTTTTTCAAAAACGTTTTTGGCATATCAAAAAATGACATTACTGACTTTGACAGTTCAGACATTTGTGACAAATGCCATGACTTTGCTTTGAGTGAATATAAGGAAATTGTAAAAAATTACTTTTACAAGATATGCAAGCAGAGACAGAAATTTGTCTACTTATTTTATTTCCTAATCACATCTGTCTATAGGATAACATCATTATCATTTCACCTGTAATAGTGCCTCTTGACGGAGCAACTGATTAAAGTTTATAAATGTGTACTTCTTTTTGCCAAAACTCTTCTGGAACCGTGAAAATGAAAAGTAGGATTAAGTATGCACGCACTGTTTCATTTGAACTAACCGTTCTGAACATCACTATGACTTATATTCAAATTAAGTGCATTTAGTCGCCTGAAGTTATATTAAAGGAACTTTCAAAAACAATGTTTAATCTTACAGTTACAGCATTATTTAAAACAAATTCATTGAATGGAGATATTTTGGCTGAAATCTTCAGGATGAAATTGGGACTTCTTGTTATAAGAACAATGAGAAACAAAAGCCACAATTAGCCAAAAAGAACAGCATGCATTTTTCCATCCGTTCTTGATTTAGTTAAAGTCATTCTCAGGAAAAAAGGCTAAATGCCAGAGAGCTAAATCCTTCAATTTCAATCTGATTTTACTCACACCCAAGGGAGTTACCAGCAGGGTGAAAAAAATGACAAATGATGTGATGCAGTATGAACATTTATACATGTCAGAAAAATTGACAGCATCCTGTCACATGGTTGCTCACTTCAATCAAATGAGCAAGTTAAGATTCTTCTCAAACTGTAATATTTTGATACTTAAATATTATAATTTGCACTCCCAGAAAAAAAGAGCTTTGGTTTTAAAGCTTTTATTTCAAATTCCACTGGGAGGGAATTGGTCCAGATTTAACTGGAAGGGGTCTGTCATTATGAACAGGGTTCACTTGTCCTTCCTGTGCTTATGCCTTTGGGGATCAGGAAGGCAGGATGCATTTGATAATGTCAGTATAATCCTTAATCAAAATTGGATCTGTGCAGAGGTCTTCATGACAAGCAGTACTAGAAGTGTAGATATGAACCATAAGAGGTGATGCTTGTTATCGTCCAAGGACGAGAAAATTAAACAGTGGAACAAATGAATCCAGAGGAGCAGGGGCATAACTAGGATTTCCCTAATGAGGGGGCACAAGGCCTAGGGGGCACCAGCTTTCTGTGGTGTGGTTTTTGGGGGACAAGCTTTCCTTAGCGTTGTTCAATATCCATTCATCCATTTTTTGTAGGAGGCAGGGAGGCAGTAGGAATTTGTGGGGGCACGTCCCCCCCCTGTGGCTATGCCTCTGAAGAGCATTGCTTCAGTTGGGGCAGATTAAACCTGTTTGTTGTTTGTGTTGGTTTTTGATGTTGTTGTTTTGGGTTGTGTTTGTTTGACTTTGGTTTGGGCTACTTGACATTTTGTTTTGTCTATTTTCAATGTTGAATTGCTATTTGTCTCTGTTGCCTTTGCAATCACAGTCTTGGGAAACAGAACTGCATTAGCACTGAAAAATTTCTTGTACCCTAAACTCTGCTGAATGGTACAAGACTCTTTATGATTGACACAAACCCAAGTGTGTTAGGGCTGCAAGTTGTGATTTTTTTTTTTAATAGCTGACTGTAAATCACAAACAAGTATTATAAAGGACAACTGTGTTACTTACTAGTAACTTTTCAAACCTGGATAATAGTTTTAACCTGTTTAGTATTTATTTACTGCTTATATTGAGCAGGAGTGTGACTAGGAGTAGTTTTGTAACACATCATTTGATGTAAGAACTGTTTAGCCCAAGTGGTTTTCAAGAAAAGGGCAAATGAAGGCAAACATTTCAGACCAGCGTGCTGCATGATACCGTTGTCCTCAAAGTTGCTTCCTGTGATTACTTCTCTCTACCGAGGAACTCACTCCTGGCAGAGTTGGCATTTCTAGCAAGTCAAATTTCCCTGATATTGCTTCCATCTTTCCACGTCTGTGCTGAATCGTTATGCAAACCTAGCATTTTAGGAATTCCAATCATCGCTTGCACGAATGTTTCTTGAAGTTGTTTTCTCATCAATATGGCTACTTTTTATTGGACCAAGCCCCAACAGATGGGAATTTAAAAAAACACAAAGTACATGTCCATCATTCCGTCTTGAACTACCTACATGTGTTATTCAAGTACAGTCTCTGTGATGTGGATTCTTCAAACATCCTCTTTTTTGACCTTCCGGTCTGTGATATCAAGACTGACAAAATTAAACTGCAGACCTCACTAATTGTCCATCCAGCTGTAGGGTTCTTCTCCTTTAAGTTCTTTCACAGGGACCGACTGTATTAAATCATCTCTTGGCATTTCGGCTAACCATTCCTTGCATAGTCCTTCTTCTCGCTTGAGGATCATGTGTACAGAAGGAAACCAACTTGAAGAAATTCACCGTCACATGCAGGTGCAGTTAAGGGTATTCAGTCCCGTCCCCACCCAACCCCCACAAGGATCTAATTGTCTCCTTGGCGAAACCAAAATTAATAAAGCATTTTATCCTTCAGCTTGAAATGAATTTTTGCATGTAGCTTTGGAGAACATGCGGAAAATGAACTTTGTAATCAAGCCAATGAAAAAAATCTGCTCAATTTTTGGAGGGAAATAACCACCGATTTCTAACGAAAATAGATTTTTTCCTATAAAATGAAGACTTTTGACAAAATGTTTCATAGGAGCTGTGTAGTTTCCTCAGTGTTTGTGTTTCTGAGGAGCTATGACTAAATCCATCAATGCTTTCAACCGTGACGACAAAAGCAGCCTGGCCAATCAGTCTTTGAAATGTAATGAGGTGATTTCAGCAGCTTGACTGGACCCCTGAAAAAATTTCCCTCTTGTTTTGGAGGAGGATGTTATCGATAAAAGCGTAATGAAGATGACACATTTTCACAACTGGCCATTCTGAGGAAATGGGATTTGAGTTCTCAGCAGATGTGACCTTTCTTTGGCGTCAGAGTTCATGGCTTTTTGCCAGTGTAAAGGGCCTCAGGCAGGATGGAAGGACTCCTACCGCCTGGATTGAACAATTTATATTATATACTATGATTGATTGTACCGAATGATTGATCACCAAATCGTCAGAGGCGTCATCAAGGGCCAAGTGTGGATGATGGATATCCAAACCTGAACCATGAGAAGCACTATAATTAGACATGCAACGTTTCCTTGGATCTGCTGATTTCTTTGTTTTCACTTCACACTCGTGCCAATGAAAATTGCCAAACACTGTACAAAAGTCTTGTAAAGATTGCAGCGCCCTCAATTTTTTTTCAAAGTCCAAGTTGCCTGCCTGTATAATACTGACCGTAATTCATGCTTGCTTTGTGCATTGTAGGAAAGCTACAGTGTTGTTAAAATAGGAAGCCAATGAGATCTCTAATATGAAAATTAAACTGCTTAATTTTAAGATAATAAAAGTAATAATTCATAATTGAAAGATATTTAAACAAGAAACAAAATGACAGATTGAGTGAATTTCACAGTAAAGTTCATAAACTTAAAAACAAGGGGCTTAGGAAACATTTGTGCACTGATAAGCCAAACTACCTGAGCAAATTTATAATAAGACATCCAGCTGGCAAAGATGCTGAAGTGTTTTTAATCCTGTCATCATCATTTTGTCATTGTCACTTAGTCACTGTCACTGTTGTTCGGTTACTTTGCATACTGTTCCCCGTTTCAAAATACAACTTATGACCACCCACCTGATCAGTGAAGCTCCACCCCTCACCTCCAAGGAACCAATCAACAACAGTGTAGGGTAAGAAATCCTGGAGGCCCTTCAGTGCCCTGACAACGAGAGTACGGTGTGCCCAGGGGCAGGCTAGGGACACATAAAGATGGTAACGATCTGTCTCAGCCTTGAAACCGCTGGAACCATCGGCTGAATGCACACAAGAAAAATTAGAAGGTTTACATTGAGGAAACCCTCTTGCATCCTTTTCCTGAAGCTGTAATGATCTGAAACATTTTGTTACAGTGTTAGTGCTCAGTTTTAGTTTGGTTTATTGACAGACTCAAAAGTCATGGCCTGAAGGTGAAATTCAAATAACACAGGATTCACAATGAAAAAAAACACACACAAACTTACACATGAAATAAAATATTAAAAAGGACCCCTGAAAAGGAAAACAAAATTATACAAAGAGCAGAATAAAACTGGAACGTCACAAGAGGCAACTACAAAAAGCCACTAAAATTCAGAATATCAATAAAATAGTCGACCGTGTTGGGTGAAATAAACCTTGATCAGCACTTATGTGAGGAGATGCAGTTTGATTGGAATTATCATCCATTTGGATGAGATATGATCTCACAAAGTTCTGAAGCTGCAACAAGAACAAACACGACGATACAAACTGAGAAAGTACAACACGTGCACAGTGGCAGATTTTCCAGGAAGTCATGCATTTATAAAGAGATGCAACTCAAGTAATGATAATAATAATAATACTAAGACTTATAATGCGCATTTTTGCAAGTTACAATGTGCAGCAAATAAGAAAATAGAAGAATGTGCAATAGTTTCATCACTTGAAATTTGACAAAATAATTAATTTGGATTTTGTTTTTGATCAGTGGAAGTTTTGTGCCTTTTAGCCTTCTCTAACGAAAACAAAACATATTCTACCTTCAGAAAAATAAGCATCTCTTAAAAATGTAGACATCCAGAAAATATTAATATGTTTTTCTCATGGCAGTATGTAGTCAGGAAGATCACACATGATGGAGACACGGGCCGTAAACGTTATCCATCCATACACATTAGTCCATAAAGGCAATCTAAAATTCACCTTTTCCACTTTTCACAAAATTACCCTTGAGTCATTCCCAATTCATGTGCATGAACGAACTTTTCTTTTAAGACAAAGGATGCCAGTTTTGACAAACTTTCTTCTACATTAAGTTTACTGAGAACAACTTTGAAACCTTTGAATACTTAACCTCTGCAGATGTCTCTCGATTGCCAATCACTCAAAGAATATCAGTGTGAACCAAGAGCAAGAACAACTTCTGATAACCCAGCACAAGGTAAGCTTCCCTCATAGCTCCAACTACTAATCCCCAAGAAAAACCAGCTAGCAAATCATTAGCCTTATTTTCTAAGTCACACATTCACAGGTCTGTAGGGCTCTTAAGTCTGGGGCTTCTGATGCCCTATTCTCCAACCAACATCCTGTCCTGTTCTACCCCTGGCCTTCCGGAAGAGATTTCTATTCCAACATCAAATGTTAAACTATTTACTCAGGGTGAACCTGTGTTATCAAAGAGCCCCCAGGCCAGGAGTGACACATCCTTGTCCATTTTTTTCTCTCTTTAGAATCTGCAGCTTATTTAGATAAATCCCTGAGCTAGAACATGTGTGTATAATTTGTTTCTTGCTTCATGGAGTAACAGATAGCGACAGAAGTGATGAATCACTTTTAGCATAAGACGTGTCAGGTTGTTGTTAAATACAAGTGAATCTTGACACAGTGCATCACTTTGAGTTTACTGTGATGCGGTTGTCAGGATTATTCAAAACCTGGGACCATTTTCATGAAGATATTTGACGCATGGCAACAGCACGTCACCAACAAAACAAGCCGTGTACATGTCAAAGATCATCAGGTTTTGAGTTGTTTCCTTTGTATCACTGTGATTCCATGAATTATGAGAGGACAATCGCTATAAATGATGTCATTTGCCTTTTTGGTGACTGCAAGAGCCAAAGCATTGACCGACCAACTGGAGTGACACTGACTAAGCATCAAAGTGACCCTTACTAACTGGACAACCAACTGACCGTAAATATTACGGGCACTGGCCAACTTTCTCGACCACTGACTCACCAAACGGAAAGGAAAGGGAGGGGGGGTGAGAGAGTAAACGACTTGCATCTTTTATTTGTCGCAATGTGTAATGGGCAAGACTAAAACACCCCAAAAAAGCACACACCAGGTGCAAATGCCTGACAATTTCCGCATCCTTCATTTCCAACAGGTTACCTGGTGTTCCTCTTCCTGACCCAAGTCCCACCAGGTTTGCCCCACTTGGGGCGTCCGGCTTACCAGAAACCACAAATTGAAAATTTCGGGAGGTTTCCTTGGAGGCTACTGGTGCGGTTTGTGGCATTGCATTAACTTGTTGGAAGGCTCCAAGAGTAAGTCAACCTTGATTCTTATTTTAGTTACTAAAGCCATGGGGAGGGGGGAGCTAGTAGCTGTGGAGAGTCCCAGAGAATGGGGAAGGGGCTGTCACTCTGGAATTGAAGTAACACCTGTTGATAAACAGGATGTGATGAGCCATCTATGCCTAGGTCACACACCTACTAGCTTCTGGGACAGTGTCCAAATGAGCTCCCACACTATCTCCAAGGGGTTCTGTCAGTCAGTCTAGCTGGAGATAGAACACTGAAGGAACTCATGCATAGATTCTCCCTAAAAGTGTTGGTTTTTGCAGCTTCCTGATACTTTCATCCAAGCTTTGACATCATAAAATAGGAGACTTGTTCCGTACCCACATGCTGTAGTTTCCTGATCATGATCTTTCATGCAGGCATGTGAATATGTCGCCTGTCACCTTAAAAAAAAAGCAGTAGTTTGTATAGCATACATTGCTGCCGTACCACCCAGAACTATTAATTTTGGACCACATCTGAAAATCACTATGACATCTCAGCTGGGAGCTCTTTGGATGTAAAATTCCTTTCTCCTTTAAAGAATGTACATACCAGACGAAACACATGGAAACAGTTCATGAAACTGCACCTCAAAATACAGAAGGGCAGTGTGGCTTGGTGGTTTTTGTTACCCGTGATACTTAAGGGTTTGAATCCAGCTTTTGGCAACATGTTGTGTCCTTTGGCAAGTTACTTGACCCCAACATGGCTCTCTCCACTTAAGAAAATAAATGACTTCTTGCTATGTGCTGGAATCTAGTCCAGGCAGACATGAAATAGTCCCAGTTGCAACCCAGAGATGGTGAGCCACACTGATTCAAGACAGACTCAATTTTATTTATGAGTTGTTAGGATCTAGGGATACCTTGTATAATCCATGCCTTTAAGATTGCTACTTATCTTGACACATCACAGTTTTTTCTCAAGTGTCCCTCTTGAGATTGTCCTGGTGGTTTTTGTAACCTCCCCCTTAATAGATCACCGTGTATTAGTTTGATTTCTGTGTATTGGTCCTGTTGCTTCTCTTTTCATTTTCCTCATGGGTGATGTTGCACAAAAGGAAGTAAGTAAAATTGTTCCTTTATCTTCCAGTGTGTCGGTATTCTAGGTTTTAATCTCCTTATTTCACAAGAGTCTCTAAGGAGGAAATTTCCACTATTACTAAGACAGCTAAAGCCTGCTATATTTAGCCTCTTTCATTGGTGCATGGCCCTCTCCAACTTGTCGAGTTGTTGGCCCCAGTCCCACATGCCGTTTCCACTCAGTGACACAGAGTCTTTGAGCTGAGGTTCAGGGCTTTCCCCAGCAGCCAATATTGAACACTTCCGTTCCTTCCTGCTTCGTCTAACCATCTTCATTGAGCGGCCAGGTTTCCTGTCACTGGTGCGTCAGCCCCGCTAGCCGGCCAATCAGATGGCGTGGGCTAGGACAGGTGTCCCGGAGGGGGTTTGTGCGTCAACTAGCTAGGCGTGCCCAGCTGCTGTCAGGTCGAATATGATTCCATGCCACAGCCAGAGGAAGGGACTCGTATTTACGCAGTAGCGTTTATTTTGTTGCTACTGTATCTTCAGCCACAAACCCTTCGGAGATTACAGGACTCAACAAGACCGGGTTATGCACATCGGGAGATAAAAAACATTTTGCTCGTCTCCACGGAATTGTACTGGGGAATCTAAAGACCAGTTTTGTTTATTGGCAGTGACGTGCTGCTAAGAAGGGAACCAAGGAAATCTGCGGTCAGCTCGGCAGCGGAGAGTTGTCTCCACAAGAGGCTACATCAAGTGGGATAAATCCTTGCATTTTTTTTAGTGCAGACACAAATTTCGATACATCATTTGATGTATATGGGGTAGCAGCCTGTTGGTGTGGATTAATTGACTTGTCTCAACAAAATATGCAGAACTTGCTAAACGTAATTGTGTAAAAAGCTAAGAGGATCATTTTACGCTTACCTGCTGTTTAGAATTTGAATTTTCTTGGGTGTCAACTACATCTTAGTAGTGAAACTCAGTCACAACGAATCAATTTGCACAACTCAGGCAGACTGTTTTCTTTGTCAGCTCGTCTTGAAGCCGTCACAATGTACATATCTCTCTATATCATTGCCTCTGCGTGCTGGTTGCTGATGGCTGCACAAGGAGGTAATCCTGAACCTCACCTGAAGGTGAGATTACCTTCATCTCCAACAAAGATTAGTTTTCTGGAAGAGCCCAGCAATGTCCACGTGGATCAGAACGGCCGAGTCCGCCTGCGGTGTCACCTCAGTGGTCTCCAGCCATACCACATAGTCACCTGGTCCAAGAACAACCAAACAATCAGCAAGGGAAAGCAACTAACAGGGGACAGATTCATGATTGATCGTCATCGGTACACAATTGCTGGCGGATACAGGAGGGGTTACTATGACTTGCGAATATGGGACGTTGTGAGACTGGACACAGGGAACTACTCCTGCAGTGTTTACCAAGCGCCAACTTCAAACTCTAGCAGGAGTGACCATGGGCCACTGCTTCTCAAATCACGGATGAGTCACGTCACCGTTTACTACCTGCCGCCTTTATCTTATCCCGAGTGTCCAACTGAGATGCGATACCGGGAGATCCAAGTTGGGGAAACAGTGCCTGTTTGCCACTCGCAAAAAGGCTTTCCACCAATCAACTTGAAGCTGGAGAACCCACTGGATGCCAGTAGGGTGAAGGTGGATTCCACCAGCGTGTCTGATTTCATTTTCGTCACCCTGAACATCACCGAGCTTGAAAACGGGATGACTTACTGGTGTAAGGCTTCCAGTAAAGATTTCCCATACTATCAAAGCAGGTGTCAGGTGGGACCTCTGAATGTTGTGTACAAGCCCCGTGCCGTAATTCGTCCGTTGAGATACGCTATCCACAAGACAGAAGATGCCGTCTTTGTGTGTGAGATAGAGTCGAGCCCAATGTCATCCCAGGTTAGTTGGAATGTTCATCCCCCAATCGAATCAAATCGCATTGAGCTGTATGACAACAACCGGACACTACAGATAACTGGCATTCGAAGCGACGATGACGGAAGACTGCTGTCATGCACAGCGACAAACAGCCAGGGGAATGACACAGCACACAGGGTCCTCGTAGTGAGACAGCCAGACTTCATACCTCATCTAGAAATGACCCCTGCCGCAGCAAACACCAGCATGCCAGCAAAACTTGACACATCAATCCCTCACTGCTGGAACTTTGCATATCGCATCCTCGTTCCGACACTAATAGGAATTATCGTCATTCTTATCCTTGTCATAGTTGTGCTCCTGGTAAGGAGTAAATTGTGGATCTTCTCCAAACGACTTGATGAGCACAGCGCTCAGACGGAAATCATGCGTCCTCTGACAGACTATGAGATTCCTCCAGCCATAGTGCCCATTGACAACAAACAACTTATGCTTAATATCACCTGAACAAAACTGGAAAAGACTCAGAAAAAACATTTAAGTCTCCTAATAATTAGCTGAAATAATTCACACAAGGTGTAAATGAAAAGTAGTGATCTTTTCCTGTATAGGCCTATATAAGTGTATTTTGTTTAAAGTTTGTGTGTAATATTCCACTATCCTATATTAATGTACAAATTACTGAAAGTTACTGAGAAAAAAACACCTACGTATTCAAAAATGTTTTGTCTTGCTTTATTTGATAAATGTGTGACTAGATATTTCATTTTATGCTCAAGAAACGGGCAGCCACAGGACAGTACGAGGCATTTTTCGTAAGAGACAAGACAAGAAAAAACAGATTTAACATATCCATAAGAATAGAGAAGCTGTTGCTGTTGCCTGGATGATATTCCACCGTCAAGTTACAGACATGTGAAAGTGGTGTGACATACTTGCACCGTAAAATTGGACTCTTAGATTAGTATGAACATTGTCAGTAACTGTTCCGGCAGTTTTGTTTAATATCCTTTCCACAGAATTACACTGCGCTCATGTAAAACGGAAACAAACTAACACCACCATGACAGACGCAAGTCTGGTTGGGGGGGGGGATTAAGGAAAATTGAACTAAAAAAGGAGAATTTTAGATTTCAATTCAACAAGTCGTCACAGTTGACTGATCTCAGATTGCAGGATTCAAGCTACATATACCTCAGTGCTAGAACAACACCTGCCATATAGCCATCATAAATTGAATATGGCTTAGAATTTCACCTGACTTTATGCTAATTGCATGGGCAGGTGGTTGAGTGATGTCAGTTGCTTGAAAGCTCCATTAGTAGGCTGCTGAAATGGTACATGTACTTTCAGAGGACTCAGATTCAAAATATTATTACTTTCAATTTTCTTTCCGAGTCTATTTTTCAGATATTTTGAGTCCTGTTGGAGTGTTAATTAATTGTACATATGCATGTACCTTACACGACAAAGGGCAAATGTAACTTGTCTTTTCAAACTTGAAATGTGTACATACATGTACATGTAGCTCTGTGTGGTTTAAAAATTGAAAGCCATGTTATGTTGTCATGGTGAAATTAAATCAGTTGTAGATTTCTTTTTTTTTGTCTGGATTGTGGCAATAATACGAGATAGGGTTTGTTTAACCCTATAAATGTTTGTATTTCATGATATGAACTCTCATTATGTATTCACTATGTGTTCAGTTTTGGTAAATAATGCTTGGCAATTTTGTAGCCTAATGTAAATACAATACCCCAAGTGAAATAAAGATTCTTGAATGGTTAAAAATATGAAAGGCACACTAAATTTTTATTTTTATTTCTTTTTTACTTCTTTCTGGCGGTCGTCCCTGCCCTCCAAAGGAAGTTTTAAAACCCTACAATGTTAAAGTTGAAAGTACATAGCCTAGAAAATATGAGTATGTCTTCCAAGTCCAACAAAAATCCCTTGCAAAACAAACAAATAAATATATGAAAAACCTACGTAGAAAGAGGGAAAGGCTAACGATGATCCTGATAATTTGTATGCCTTCATTAATGAATAACCAAATAGGCAGATGGACATTGTGGAGGCAGTTCATGGTAGCAAAAAAGGTCAACACAAAATGCACAGTGAGAGGGTTTAATCATCTCTGAAGTGATTGATGCCATGTGTCAATTCCTCATGGAGTGGTCAGAACACCTCTCCCTCACAACAGTGGCCCCTGCAGTTGTCATACTTCATTAACTAGGCATTATGAACCAGGACCAGCAAACGCGACCCTGGATTTTTTGTGCGAGGGAGAAAAGTCATAAAAAATTCACGATGTACATACATATGTAATTTATATGCATTCGTAGCAATGTCTAATCTGATCAGCCTATTGAACTGGAGGCCAGTCAGCCACAAATTTTTTAAAAATCAACAAGTTTGGAAATTACCCATAATCCTCCTTTCAGAGCACAATACATTATGAACCAGCCTCTATGTGAGAAAAAACAACCTCATCAGAAGTACCTCTCACATTTTCAAATATGAAAGGGCTTTCTTGAAACCTGTAAAGGAATTGCCAAACAAAGAAAAAAATGCATTGATTCAGCACCTCTAACACTGTGTAGTTCGATTTCAGAAACATTTCCATTGAGCTCAAGTTCTCACAGGCTCACAGACCTCTTAGGTTGAAACTAATAATTATTCATCAACATTTGTTCCGGTGAGACTTCCGGACTATGTGACCTGGATTTACAGCCTAGCTGTCTCTCCCCCCCTCCCACAAAAGAAATAGGTTAGAAAAACAGCAGATTGTCGGATAAAAAAGTCAGCACTTGATGCTTCAGACAAGGCACAAGTCTGACCTCTGACCTGTGTGGGAGATCAAAGTGACTCATTTGTGAATGTCTTGTCGCATGTTCTGGACCAATTCCAAATTTTAATGTTGTCAACACACACAGGGCACCATTCCGTTTATGCAAAGAACTGCTCCTTGTATGATAAGGTGTGTCATTCTGTCACCGAGCCTGCAGAGGCGTTATAACTAAGGTTGAAGGCAGATTTGTTAACTTCAGAGGAATAAAACTCATGGAAATACAGATCTGAGTTAGAAGAAATACTAGCCAGAGGGAAGACCCATGAGAAATATTACAGTTTTTCACAAGGCAAGGTTAATCCAAAAAAAAATTTAAATGGTTGAAGTGTTGCTTAAAGAGCAGTTCATCAGCAGCAAAGTATTTGCCACTTGAGTCTTTCTGATTTTGAAGTTGTACCCCTAAGAAACTGTGGAGAGTTCCAATTTTAGAAAGTGACGGGAAGTTTTGTACAAAGCTGAGAATATTTTGCCTCTGGATATGCAATCAAAGTTCAGAAAATGCAACCCACCAAATCAAACCAGTGGTCTCCATCTCCCTGAAACCTCTGACAGGTCTGGCATACATGTAGCATCTGGTATTAAACTCTGGGACTTATAAACCAGTATAAAATTCCACTAAAGGTTGAAAAAACAGAGGCTGGAGATAATAAAAGAATCCTTCCCCTAACATTTTCCTTGGAAACAGTTTCTCCTCCTCGTCTGGGATCAGTTTTCCACACTGTTTGCTTTCTCAAGGCGCTCTGTCCTAATTGTCTACATCCTTCCCTCCTAATCTCTGACTTCTTCCCCCTGTGCTTGATGCCTTAGTAGATGAAATACTGAACTTGAGGAGAAAATTCAAAACCTCATGACTACATGTAGATTTCAGGATATTATTGGCAGTGATCAAATTTGTGTCAGATCAGGAAAAGATCTTTTCCCGATTATATCCATTAATGTTTGTAACTGCCATGGAAACAGATCATTAAGAAAATTCAAATTACGTCTGCAAATACCAATCAAATGTCACTGACAGACAGTGCTCCCAAGGCGGTATTACCTACACATTTTTTTGGAGGGGGGGCTGGGGACAATGATGAAAACAGGAAAATTCTAAATTCGCCAGGGAAAATTCCAAGTAGCAGTGATCAGTTTGACATATGAAAAGCTAACTCTTTGCTAGAAACATGCCTAGAGTAGCCTAGATATGCATTCAAGATGCACTTCTAAATAAGGTAATGTAGAGAACAGCAGAGAGCAGCACCTGCAAAGACCATGCGAGTATATGACAAGAAAATGAGCCTTCTGAACTGAACAAGTGTAGGCAAAAAGATGTTCTCTTTTTTGCCAATAAATTTCTTCAGGTTCCGCTCTGTTGTGCTTTATCTCTTCAAACATTTCCAGTACATGTGAGTTTGAAATGACTCATTCGAAACCTACCGTATGACGAATACCACTCGACAAGAAGATTTCAACAATTTTGAAGCCATGGAGTTGTTAAGCCTAATAACTGGATACTTGCTAGGTAAATGAGATTAATGCATTTGTACTCTTTTCAAAATAGATTTCTGCTGCTGTGAGTTCACCTTTAACTTTAAGAGACATTTGGGGGGGATTGAGCTCATGTGGACATGTAGAGAGCTGTTTGCCTTGGTTGTGTACTGACAGATTCAAGCAAAGTTGAAGCATAGTTTGAGTGCCCCTTTAAAATTGCTTTAAATAAACCAGTCTGAAACTAGGGCTTGATGGTAAAAACTAGAAAATCACTTCTAGTGATGGTAAAAACTAGAAAATCACTTCTTTAAAAAATTTATTGCATGTAGTTTCAGTCACTGGATGCTCTAGACATGGTCATTTGTTGTAACATTCAACAGACCTTACATATATCACTCATTAAACCTCTTTTATACATTCTAGGTATTTATAAGAAGTTACCGATCAGCTTGTACGCATCAAAAAGATCCCCTCTTAGAAAAATTGCACTCCTGCAACCTCTGTATTCAAAGCTCTCCTTTCAATAAGTAAGTCAAAATGTAGGTTTGCTTCAAACTCATTTAATACCATGGAGGTAGGAAAACTACTTGTAAATAATTTAAATGATGTACGTGTAATTGTAGTGCCCCTTTAATGTCTGCAGGCAGCCTCAACATTTCGATGTGACCCTAGAGGACCATAGGAGAGATTACCACAGACCGTAAGTCAACACAATACCACGGAGACTCTATGTACGCTTGAGCGATCCACCGTGTGCTTGTAATTGTAGGAACACCAGTCCACGTAAACACGACCGGGCCACATAGTGCACTGACGGCCCTGCCACTCTGCATGTGTGATTTCACTTCGACAGGAAGTCACCTGGTCTGTTTTTGGTGGGAAGTTTTTACAGCACAAATCTTTGCAGTTATTGAGACGTTCATATCTTTGCATAACTGTGCGGTGACTGTACACACAGGCGGCGATCGGCTGCACTTTAGCCCCGTGGAGTTGTGTGCCGCAGTGCGAGTGCTCGCTTGCGCAAGCTTGCACCAGCTCTATGCTTGTACACAGTGTAGGATAGGATGAGCTTTCGTGAGATCAGCAGGTGCAAGAAATGTGCTCTTTCAACGTGTTGAATGGGTAAGTACTGTACAGGTGTTGCGTGCACGTTATTGTACTTTGCTGATTTTATTTATCTACTGTACCTACTCAGTTAGCCTATTATTGTATATATGAGTAATTCCAGAAATTAGGGTCCTTTTTTCGTGTCCCTGTCACATGTGACACATGATTTTGTAAGTTCGGAACACATTTTCTAATTTCCAAGAGTGATGAATGAATACAGATTACCTGCCCAACAAAATAGTAATGGTTTGAAATCAATTTCCAGTGATATTTCCATGTCAGATAATAAAGGTCAGGTGTAACAGGGACACGAAAATGTCACACTTTTGGACCCCTAATTTCTGGACTTACCCACATGCAAATTATGCTGCCAAGACTTCTCAGTGGTACCACTAGTACTACACACTATATGCTAAGAATTAATGCACCAGATTTCTGGTCCTTTTCAATACATGTATGTACGAGGAGCATTTGAATGAGCGTGGGAATTTTACAATCTTGATGATCTCACATCTTGTGAAATCAATGTACAGTTCACAATTACAGAGACGTGACCACAATGATGATTTAAAAAACATAAAATATGTACTTTTTAATATAAAATGTTTTTTCAGTTTTAGAATTGCCATGCTAATACTTTTGCACATATCTGTGATTTGCTTTGAATGTTTATGAAAATTGTAGTGCATGAAATGTCAAACGTACTATTTTGTTCACATTTAATGGCCATTGGTTTGAAAAGATACTTTTTTTGTCATGGATGAAAACTTTTTCTACTCAGATTTAAACTATCGCCCAAATGCTTTCTTCTCCAACCTCACAAGTTGGCAGTTCAGATAATATTCTTAAATATAGGATTATACATGTAGGTGTTCTTGCACAGAAGTGAACATAAAATAATTTTATTCTGGAAAATATTTTCTGACAAATGCTCTTTTTTTCTTAACAGAAAATCTAATCTGTCAACTTTTCAAGCAACCAAAACAGTGTGAAATATAAATTACACCAAATTTACTCATCTGTTTTCCATTCAGGCTGTTTTAATTCAGAGTTGCAAATTCATGCAGACAGGCATCACGCTTCGTTTTTTTTTTAATCTTAGAACATGTTCTAATCTAAACCAAGATGCCAAATGAATAATTCTGTAACGATCTCTTCCATGTCCTTAGGCAACCAAGTGAATACATTCTTGGAATGCTCCCCCAGGGCATCAAACTCTAAGAGTTAGAAAAAAAGGGCCATGCAGGGCTGAGTCATCATTAACGTCCAGGGGCCTAGATCCAAGAGGAGTGCAGCATCTTGGTCGCTCTGGGATGTTGCCGGTTTGATGGATTAATAAGGAGGACATTTCTGGCACTTACACATCTCAATATCTCTGCCTCATTTGCCTCGGCAACAGCCGGTGTGGAATGCTGCGGATCTCCCTCACCGAACCACATCAGCACGTTACTGTTTTGTCTGATACATGTAAGAATAAACAATATCCAGCAAGAATTTGTTTACGAAGTGCGGCTGTATTAAGCTGTTCACAGTCATCGTGCCAAAAGACTGATAAGAATCGGTGGCCGTAAATAGCAGATGGGATTTGTTGGAATTTGTCCGTCTGCATCACTGGAATATTGTGATTTCTATTGAGTGGATAAATTGCTACAGGACAGCACTGCTCATTGTACAGTTTGGATGATATGTATACTACGACTTGCATCTGCTTTGCAATCAAACTGGATATTTACATCTTTGATGCTAGAGTGAATATTTGAGATTCATCATCGTGTGAAGTTGTAACACAAAAAATGTGTATAAAATCCTTAACAAGACAGGACAATTACAATGTTTCCCTTGAACTCGTGAATGCAAAGTCATCTATTCTATGGGACTGTAATTGATTTGCAGGCTGCATGCCTTGGAATGCAAGTACTTGTACTGCCGAAAGTCAGTTTGAATTTTACACAGACGAACTTTGAAATGACACTGTTGTTCTTCAGGAGTTTGTTGGAGGATAAAGAGTACGTGTACTTTGTGAGAGAATAAGTGAAATGCAGAACATCATGGATAAATACAAATTCGCCAAAGAGAACTTCCGTCACAATTTTTCTGTCACCTTTTTGTTGGTGGTTGTGAGTGTTCAGTGTGTTGTTGTGCAGGCTCTGTTGACATCTAATGTTTCCTTCTCCATGGAGCCAGTCAGTACCTGTCTAAACTTCTACTCCATGCCTCTTCCCCCGCCGGTGTTCTACTGTAAAGTTGAAGGATTAAAGGTGGGCATGCAGGTACTGTGGCTTCGAAATGATGCTATCATTGGACCAGAAGATTATGACAATGGAGATTTTGTCTTGATGGAAAATCTTGCTGAGAGGATCTATGAACTCAAGATTCAGCGAAAAATTACTTGGAACGATGATCGTAGTCGGTACACCTGTGCTGTTTATCGTGTTACCAATTCATCAGACCAATCAGAGTGGACTTTATTAAAGCATTCACATGTGGCAAAACTTAAGGTCAACTTCTATGTCCCTGAGAGGAAATATCCAGAATGCTCTATACGTGTGGCTCAGCCCTCATCACCCTCATCATCATCTGCCAAAGTAACAGCATACGAAGATGGTAGAGGCTTTACAATAGTTTGCTGCTCTGAGATAGTGCATCCTGAGCTGAGTTTGGTCTGGCAGAGAGGAAATAACAAAGGGATGGTGGAACTGGCACGTCTGAATACCTCGCGTGAAAGTGCAAAAGATCAGAATGTGTGTCTTACTCTTGATGTCACCGATCATCAGAGTGAATATACTTATAGCTGTCATCTCACCATTGCACGAGCTCCAATCAGAACCGAGTGTCGGAAGAAATTTCAAGCGTCAAATGACACGATATGGCATGAGAAACAAGAGCGTACTTGCAGCTTTCGAGATCGAGGTATCAACCTTCTTCAGCAGAACACGGCCAGTGTCGAGAACGATGCAGCATTCACCTGCTACTCCAAGGGAGCCATCAAATTCCTATGGCAATTTTCCCCAAGGTTAGACAGGAACAAGAACCAGTACCACCTTTCCGACGATGGGGCTTCAGTCTTACTCAACCTTGACAGTCTCAGCCACATGCAATACAACATCACCTGTGTGGCTGTTGGAGAGAACAGCATTGGATCCCGTTCCCTAATCATCGAGATCAGTCCGTCTGACTCCAGAGTCCAGAGCATTAGGATTGTGGCCATAACCCTTGGAGTGCTTGTGGTACTTGTCATGATCCTCCTCATTCTCTACGCTGTCAAGACCAGACTCCTGGATCGTAGCAAAAATGACCACATCAGAGGACTCACCCCGCAGGAGATGAGAGCTCGAATTCAGATTCGCCGCAACGTTGCTGGAAACTCTGGGGGGATATACACCTTTCCCTCATCACGGATGGCCAGTTCGAGCATCACGCCGCTGATGGAAGGACCGGAGGAAATGGTGACTACAGTCGAGCATGAACGCCCTCCAAGTCCAAGGCCACCACGCCCAGGAATGATGCGACCGGGAAGCCATCTGCCAGTGCAGGGAGCAGTCGGTGGCATCATTCTTGACGAAGAAGAGATGGTGGAGTGCGAGTATCGAGATGAGTCCGAGGAGGAGGAATTTGAGTTTGATCCAAAGAAAATGAATGTGGAAGGACTGCAGTATGCCGATTTGGAGTTCAGCGAGGATGAGGACGATATCAAAGATACAGTTGAGGATGACTCGGAATCAGGGGATGACGAGAGGAACAAAAAGAGCAATGGTGCCCCCCCAGTAGGGAAACCAAAGATAGACTACGCCAACATCGTGCACTTTGACCCACGTAGGAACAGTGAGCCTCGAAGGGACAGTGATTCACGCTGGAGCACTGCTGATCCATGGAAGAAGAACACAAATATTTAAGACTTGATGCACTTGTAACTCGAAAGCCATCAGAAGTTCAACATGGTAGGATTCTGTTACCCTTCGGTGGAGCTATATGGTTATGAATACATCAACTGTTGTGTGTTGATGTTTTTATCCTTAAATAATCAGTTCTCAAATCGTTTATGTACTTTCATCTCTTTCAATATGTTTTTTATAAATCTGGGTGAGTAGGGCTAAGGCCTAAGGGGACTCACATGTGGCCAGGACCTTCCACAATTGGAAACTCTTAAGTTTTCTAGTGCTTGACAGCTCTGTTATAATTTCTAAAACTTGAAGGTAGCATGACTATTGGCCAGATAATTCTGAGTAACCAAATGTAAACTTGGGTTTAAAGAAGCAGCGTGTTTTAAATGTCATTGTTGCCTTATATGCATGACCTATCAATGGTGAATGAGAGCGCCAGACTTGCCAACTTTTTATAATTACCAATTTGCTCATAACACATACTCGATTTATTTTGAAGTTTTGAAACTAAAATCTTTCAAAACACAGTTTTGTTCAAGTAATTTTGTAATTTCGGTTAATTACAACTATCCAGTCCCAGAATTTGGATCCTGTTCCAGATAAGAATGTGTGGTACCTGGTTTAGGGTATTATAACCATGCTTGTCTTTGATATCAAATTTCTGTGGATTAATTCGAACCATGTTCACATGCCTACTCCTTTACCTTATTGTACCAACTGTCTGGTGCCCTCATGTGATTGAGTTTAACAAAAGACAACACCGAGGCAAAAAAGGCTTCACTGAAAATGGTCTGTGTGCTTATGTTTGAGCTTGAGGTTTCTGTATTAAGAAGGTGAACATTTTTGGAGAGGTATTCTTTGTTTTATAAACTGTCCAAGGAGGGATAGGTACACGTGGTAATTATTTTGTACTGAGAAAAGTAACAGTAATTTGCCTGTATTCAGAACAAAAATTAGTCAATATTTGTCTTGTGAACGCTGCAGATGTAGACCCTTAGATACATATACATGTGTCATTCCATGAGGTTGGGGCACAGTTTGTGATGGTGTCAATTGTGTCATGGCTTCTGTAAAAATGAAGTCATTCCCCTGCGTGTGGATTCCAAATTGACATTGTTGATACAACATCTTGCAGGGTTGCATACACAGATATCTGTTATTTTTGCAGAATAAATGACCTACATGTACAGATCATGATAGGTGGTAAAAATTACCGATGTAACAAGGATACCGTCACAAATTGTGGCCAACCTCATTGAATGACCCATGCGTGTAGTACATGTAGTATCACATGTATCCTTAGATGTCTGAGAAACCCAACATAACTCAACTGTAGTCTGTAGCTTACTATTAACACGTTAGTTCTGACATGAAGTATTCATTTCATGTACTCTTTCAATGCATCTGAAATTCCAAACATCTCTTTAGTGACAAATATAAACTCTTTATTAAGCCAACTGACAAATCTAACTCATATATTATTCTGACGATGAGACATGCTTCAAAAAAATTTTGCTGTAAATACCATGCACCTTTAAATCTTTGTTTTATAGACATATAGTCCTAAAATTTGTTCACTTTTCACTGTAGGGACTGAAATTCGTTTTCTTTGTTTGTGTTTCAAGACAAAATGTGTTGTTTTCCCGAAAGGGACACCCTCCAAATTGAAGAAGTACATGTAGATTGCAGATGAAGTAAATATGCTTAACACAACACATCGTTCTGAATTTGGACTTTCCCATAAAAAAGGCAGAAAGCTTAATTTTTGTTTGACATTATGAGAAATGCTGAAGAACTTTCATACCAAGAATGCTTAGGCCTACATTTTATGTTTTTGCCCACCTCTGTCTTGTTTTGTTAATCAAATTGTGTCAAATCAAAGGTATGCATTTATAATCGATTTGTTGTCTACCTTAAAGTAAAACTGAAAACGCACTAGGCTGGTTTTACTGCTTCTGAGTCTTCTGAGCTTCTGCCAACAGTATGCTGTATGCACATGAGCCACTTCGGTATTTCAAAAACACATGCCCTGCACGAGGCTTTTCGGGATCAGCTACGTGCGCGCGTCTTGCCAATCAGCACGCAGCCAATCTGGTTCGTACGGGACTTCGTCACAAAGGTGGACGCGCCACGATTTACAGGCTCTCATTGGACAATCGCTGAAGTTGCGCGTTAACTTCCGGTTCCATGGTTCCATGTAAACGGCGATCAATGCATGTAACCCTATGTGCAGTGCACGTGTGCAGTGGGCGTGGTTTAAACTGAATTGACGTCACACGAACAGGATAGATATGCATGGGAAGAATAAATCTTCTGATATCTCTGACGCAGTCATACGCTGACTAGCGCGCGCGTTGTTCCCGAAAGACCTTGGCTTCTTAAAATATCGAACTGGCTTATTGGGTAATCTATGATGTGTATGACCATGCCAGGAGGGAAAGGTTTGATTTCTGCCAGCAGTTCTTACTATTAAAGATGAGTCATGTTCCGAAATCAGTACCATTAATAAATTCAAGTAACACATGCACAGAACAGAAGACGAAATAGTGTAATGATATTTAACCATTAATTGATTCCGTCCAAAAAACAGAAAAAGAGGCAGGACTCTGTTTGGAAAACAGTGTTTATTTTGTGAATCAGCTGTAGTAGCTTCGGTGCCAACTCGGCTGGTGGAAGCAAGCAAGGATGCCTTTCTAGGTCAGCGGGAGAAGGGAAAACACTTAGGGGGAAGGAAATGTGGTGATAATGTGACAGTGAAACGTCATCCTGCCTTACTTTCCATGAACTATTTTAAATTGCAACCATTTGGGTTACAATTCGGCCAGAACGATCAGTTTGTTTGAATCCACTTTTAAGGCTACTGTACTTGTAAAATCTGAGGTAGATTGAAATGGACAAGAGCACTGGAGTATTAAAGCCATTTAGATATTTTACAAATGTAAGGTCATTTGAGAACAAAGCACGCGTGTGAGTCAGCGTATGGCCACGCTGATAGAGCAGCCCTTGCGGGCATTTTAGGAAGTAGAGGTAGATTTTGGCGCAATGTTTCCCTCTCAAGTTACGCAATTTTTCATTTTCAATAAATTAATGTGCAAGTAAATATTTACAAAGGCCTTTTTCGACGGTATTTAAGAATGAAGAATGAAAACCTTTTGCCTTTGTTTTTACCTATCCAAGAGTTCCGGAACTAGCTCAAGCTGCACAAACCGCCTCAGGAGAGAATTACTGTCACATCCAGAATAACTCAGGTTTTGGCCGGTATACCGACGTTTTGGTGTTGAAAAGAAAGTGATATAACGCCTAAAGTATATACTTAGAGGACTTATTTGGGAAATGGACATCCCTTTCATCTGCGTATATCTCGGACTGTGCCTATTTTGTAGCCGTCAAGTTGCAGTCAGAAACGGAACAAAGGGAAGCGATGATCTGTACCGCTGACGTCACTGCTCAGTTGTTTGGTTGTGACCTTGAGGTCATTGTATACAAGACACTGCCCCTTGTCATTAAGACGTCTACGGAGACTTCTTCAGTGCTCAGGGTGACCCATGATATACTGTACTGTACATGTAACATGCGTACAGTTAAATACATGTACACTGTACATGTACATACTCCGGCAGCAGAAGCCAGAGAGAACTGATTCACGGCTCCAGCCACGGAGGAATGGTCCGGCTTTTGACCGCAGCAATAATGCTTGGGATGACTGGGTTGAAGGCAGGGGACAGGCTTTTTTTGCTGGCGTTTTATTACTCTATGTACTGGTGCTTGGGAATATTTTGGACTTTTGTTTAGTCTTTAGTTTCATTCACTGCTGACTGATGTCTGAGGCCCCGTACCCCTCCACCTCTGCACAGATGTTTGTAGGAAGTCTAAGTAGATCTTAAAGACAGAGATATGGTAATAACATGTGATAAGACGAGCATATTCTGTAATTTGGTGCTCGCATTTTTAAGACAAATTTTATAGGAGGACGAAAAAAAGATTTTTTAACTTCTCAAGAAAAACAATTAAGGGTGTTATTAAAAGTTGGAGGGAAGTATGCATTTTTTTTTCAAAAAAGAAAAAAAAATCTATCCCTTACCACTAGTGCCGAAGACCAAAGCTCACAAAATTGAAAAAGGGGACTTCGCGCCGTCTGAGCAGAAACATCGGTAAATTTGTTGGTTGGCGGGTCCGAGACTTCTTAATGTAAAGATTAAATTTCTTTTCCAGTTCTGAATCCGGAAGGACTGCAGATCCAAGCACCAACTTAAAAAATCTCTCGCCTAAGAACCGAAAGCAGCAAGATCTATCTCTTATCACTGACGGCGGTGTTCGCACCATAGCTTTTCTCTGAAGGGCAAGTGCGCTATTTTTAACAACCGTCCGTTTCAAATGAGCATAACTGCATTGTTCCGAGTCTAAAAAAAGAGAATGTGTAATAACTGAAGATCAAGGCGTTTTTGATGTGACATCAAAGGTCAAAGTTGTTGACATTCGTTGACTCTGATAACGAACGTTGTATTTAAGAAAGAAATCTACTCCAGCATTGTCTTCCATTTTCATTGTGCGATCAAAACTAAATAATGTATTCAAGTCATCTTAGCGGTCAGTCTTGAGTTTGACCTAGGTATCAAATGTAAAGAACGATGAATGAACTTGTCCGCATAAAATTCGTATAGAAACTGCCACCAATGACCTCTGGACAATGGGCAAACGGGAGGCATTGTCTAAATTCTTAAAACCTTAAACGGGGTATTTAATCCTTTCTAACATGTTGAAACTTTCCAATTACCTCCCCTCTAAAGAGTTATACATGCATATGAAATCCACTGCCTTTTGTATGAAATTTTTCAGCAAGAACCAAGACGATTAACTTGTAGCTTGGAGTAGTTTGTGAGTTACTGCGCACAAATCGGTACAAGAATGTTTATCACCCGAATCTAAGAGCTCTGTACTTCGCTTGTTGTGAAAGGGAAACATTTATCAAAGCATGTCGTCATAAATGTAGCCACCTTTGCCTTTCTTTAAGTTTAACGGAATCTAAATTCAAAAATTACTGAGAGGAAACTTTCTGCACCGAGGACATGATAGCTGATGTAGTAGAATTCGGTTTTAAAGCTTCACAATTTTTTTTCCCAAATTTGTTACGGTAAATGCAACTAAGACCAAGAAACGTGAAGAACGTTTTAACATCTTAACCTGAAAAGGCAAAATTTGTGTAGATGAGTACGACGGGTTTATTTGAAGTTCGTTCCTTACTCAAATAGATAAGTCAATCTGATTGTCTTAGTCAAAATAAGAACATCCATCAATAAGAGATGAAGCTACTAGGCCAAGGTAGGAAAGTCTAGTGTCTTCTGTCGCGTTCGATTGATTTCTCGCCACCCTGACCGTGGCCACAAAAAACCGACTTCTTATTGTCGATGACCCTGAAGAGTTGTTGACAAGATAAACTGGTCCTCGTGACTTGTAGTTATTGTTGCCCTCTTCCCCGGCAGTCTGAATAAACAATGACAGTTTGTAACGGACACTTGAAGAGGCCGAAGGAATTGGCAAACCTTCGCCTGGCAAGCTGTCAATTGTTCTCGAGTTTTCACTGGCTGATGGTTGGTAAACTTCTGAAGGCGGTTGTCTTTGTTACGTCACTGAAAAACAGTAAGGTAATTCCAGGGCCAGCATGGGCCAATCATCCGCTAAATGCGCATACTTCGCTTGTATGTGGGCGCCTTTTAACGGGCAAACAACAGGACCAAGAGTCTGTTTGAACGGGAAGGTCACTGGACAATGTGAACTTCTGCCAAGGAGGGGAGACCAAAATATCGACCAGGTATATGAAAATAATGGCCATTGTGGCGTTAGAGAACAGAGACCTGGCCGGAGTGTGACCTGCGAATTAGCGAGTTGAGCCGTTAGCCCGCCAGGGGGCACGAAGACCGTTTCCTGGTGGAGAAACAAAGAATAAACCAAGGAGGAGGCCTTGATGGACTTGACCATGCATGGAAAGGTCTGTCTCCTTCATACCAAGCAGGAGTTTAGGGACCCATTGTATCCAAGCTCTATAAAAACCACCGCCTGTTATCAGAGGGGCATTAAGCTTGAGCTGGGATCAGCAAACAGCTGTTCAGAAAACCAAAGTAACCATCTGCATGAGATGAATAAATTTTGAGTTCGCGGATTGATTGAGTGCCTGGAGCTGAAGTGGACACGAAAGAGCACTTTTCCTTTACCATCTGTTGCTGCCTCTGAACCGCCTGGATTCGGCACAGCGCTTGATTTTTTAACTGAACTACCCGCTGACTTATTACTCCATTCTCTTACAGAAATTGAGCATCAGTGTTGGAGATGGGTCATATTTCTCCCCTAGTTTATGCCGTGATTCTAGTGGTAATGACGACGCATATCCAACGTGTCTCGGGCCAGATAGGTTGGTTTGTCCACTCACCGCGAGACGTTGCTCTGCTCGAGGGAGACTCTGTGGTTTTGAAATGTCAGCTCAACATCGGGATGATCGTCGAGCACGGCGAGTATAAAGTCACTTGGTCCAAAAACGACAAGAAACTTAATTTTACCGACCCAGACCACTCCAATTATTGGCTGACTGGAGATGTACACTCGGCCCAGTACTACTTGCTGATCTCCGAGGCCGATCGCAATGACGCTGGCAATTTCTCCTGTGCGGTGTATGAGAACATCGGGACACACTCTGCCGAGGATCTGTGGGTGATGCACGCCGTTACGACAGCTGAGGTGCGAGTCATCGTCCGCCCGCCTCCCCCGGAGTGCCGGAAAACTGACTTGGACATCCAGTCAAACCAGACGGAACTCAACTACGAAGGGGATCTTATTGAGTTGTCCTGTGCAGGGTATCTTAGCCACCCGTCGTTTATGCTAGAGATGAGGTTTAAAGACATGGTCATCACAGAGGAAGACGGTGCCTGGGTGCACATTGACGAAGATCAAGTCCAAGAACAGGCCTACCGCTTCGTCGCTGACTACCGTGACAACGGTGCCTCCTTCACATGCACCCTAACTTCCACGGAATTCCCCCAGTACAACGAGTCGTGCGAGATGGTGGCCCTGAACATCCTCCACGAACCCAAGCTGGACTTCGTGTCGGACAGGAATGAGGTGTACCAAGGCGAGTCGGTGACCGTGTCCTGCCTGACGGTTAGCAATCCCGCCCGCGTCATATTCAACTGGCACACGGATCCCGTCCAGAACGTGGTTTTCCGCGAAGGAGGCCGTGTACTGGAGGTTCCCAGTGTCTCATCCGACACAGGCTTCTTAAACATCACCTGCGTGGTGACTAATGACCACGGAGTAACCAGAGCATCTAGACTCATATCGGTCCTTACCAACAGTACCGACCCCTTGCCGACAGAACCAGAAGAGGTACCACAGACTGTGGCGCCTATCACCCCCGAGGATTCCACTCAAGCTCCACCTATCGATCCCCCGACGTCAACTGTTGCCACCCAAGCTGTAACCAAGCCATCTGACAAAATCAGCACTACCTCTTCCAAACCGTCTACGAAAGTGACCGAGCCAAGTAAGGACAATCTTGGCTTAAACAGCGATGCGACCATCAGCACCCCGGTGATTGCCGCAATTGTCGTTGTGACGCTCATCATCATCGCAGTCCTTGTCCTCATCTTCGTCTTCATGTACAAGACAGTCAAGTTGAGCACTAAACGCCGTGATGACGAGATCCGTGTGGTGTACCGCGACGGAACCAGCACTGTCATCGACAGGCGCACTCACGGAGTACGCGGAAACTTGAACGTGACGGTAGAGCCGGCGGTCAACGAAGGTGCCGTGATCTCAACAAACGACATGGAGCCTGGTGCTTACAGCATGCCTCCACCCTACACAAAAGGGGATCTACCAAGTGTATTGGACATCTCAAGAAATAGCATGGATGCATGCGGGCAAGATGCTACTCCGTACAACGACAGTAAAGACGATATGTATGTAGACATGCAAGGCCAATTCTAAGCAGATTTTGTTTGAGTAACTTAGTGAGGGATGGTGGACGATTGGTGTTAATGTCCCAAGGTAGGATTATTTCAGAGTTGAAAAAAAAGAGAATTTGCACTGGAAACAACATGTGTAAGAGAAATTGTTGACATACAGGTATTTTTCCGAAATTTCAGTCAACAATTTGTTATGGTTCATTAGCAGGAAGCAATACTCTTCTTGAACACAGAACAGTGAATTCATATAGAAATGTTCGTCGGATGGAACAACTGATGCTGCGCTACACTGCAAAATAAATGCGCTGAAATTGCTGTTACAGTTTTCATTTTTAAACTCATCATCTGCACACTAGGTAAAGTAAAATAAAGTTATCTTATTTTGTTCTGTTAGTTAATTACGTGCGCTGCAAAGAGGGATATAATCAGTGGCGTATCCAGCGAGGGGGCGGGGGGAAACTTGGCCCCCCTGACGGCCTTTTTTTTCTATTTCATTTTCCAACTGATATTACCTCATAGGTGAGTCGGGAAGAAACTAATCGGTATACTAATATTTATCAGATAAATAAGCTATATTTTTCTCCCCCATTATCATGTTTGTATGAGCCCGAAAGCGCATTTGCTTTTGAAGTTACTCCCCCGACACCAAACGCTGGATACGTTACTAGATATGGTAATGAAATACAGATGTAAGGCACGGAACCAAACTGGAAATGTAATTGTGAAATTAACAACTCGTATACGCCAATATTTATTTAATTTGTGGGTGATTGTTGAGTAAGTTATTTGATGAGGAAAAACGTTTTGTCTTGTTTTATAAAATAAACAACTCTTAAAATTCCATTGACACAAGTGGACAGTGAATGTCTTAATGTCAGTTATGACGTGAAGAGCTAATATGATTCAGTGTATTTTGCAAGACTTAACTTAAATACATGTACTGAGGGCTTATCAACAACTATCAAAACTCCGTTCTGAAATGTTGCGCTTGAAATATAAAAAGCAAAATCTCATGAATAGCGCTCCTCGCCCGTGTTTGTTTACACGAACTATAGTAATATTATAATCAATCACAGTTTGAACCGTAGCTGTTGTTTTATTTACCATAGTAACTATGAATTGATAAACTCGATTTTGAATTTCTTAAGAAAATAAAAGTATTATACCGAACTTTGATGTTTGTGATGCATTTGCAAATACCAAAATTGAGGATATGCAAACAAGTACTGGTTATTAGTGACTCCTATTTCAATAAAATTTTAATTTTTTTTTCACTCACCCTGGGTTTGTGGGAGGACAATCGAGGGTAATTTTACCCTCATTGGTTTGGTGATTGTTATCAGGTCAAGAAGGGTTAATATGCTGAATCATAAAAGAAAACATACCCTTACTTACAATGCCCTCTTTCGGCATTCATTACCGTTCACATCTTAATAGTACTGTGTCAAGAAAAGAAATGTTCATTCAATTATTAATCTTTCTCAAGGTAGGTCAAATATGGGGGAAAATAAAAAAAATTTGCTTTTTGCCGCAGATTGATGTGTGCCCGTTACAGGTCACTTTCCAACCTCGCTCCAGCTTTCTGCTCAATAGGTCGGTACAAGGCTGTTCAGTGGTTTGTCATTAAAATCTGTCAGAACAAAGAAAAAATCCGGTCTTGTCCTTGTGTTTTTTATAAAGCCTTGCAGGCCAGTCGTTTCGTTATGAAAGACCCTCAAGCTGATGTTTAACCGTGCATTTTTTGTTTTTGAATAGTTGGAATGTTAGTTAACTTTGTTTTTTTTCTCATGAATTTGTTCATCAAAGCATTTCGCTCCGTCATGATTGTCATCTTGCAGTCCTCGCACGAGGTCGGTACTCACATGCATGTGTAGTTACATGTGAATGTACATGCACATCAGAGAGATAAACAGCGGCAGTGAACCATGCAAACTAACAGTAGTGGGGCCGCATTGGTAGGGAAATTTACGGAGGTAGTTCTCTTTCAATAAGTACTGCCCCTGCGTTTCCATGCCTCGTCCACCTCACGACCATAATTACGTTGCACAAAATGATCCGAAGCGAGGAAAAAATGAAAACGTTGAAGAACAAAGAATTGGGACATAAAGCAGAATGTTGTAACACTTATCTGTCAACCGAGTTCCAACAGCGCATGCCCTAAACCCAGCACGTCTGAGGTCATTAGGGAACAGCAATACGCGCACGTGAGGTTGGCCCATCAGCTCAGCCCACCAACCGCATGAACAGTTTGTTTTCGCATGACCTTGCATTTTTGAAACACCAAAACCGCTGTCAGCCGTTCCCCAGTGATGTGCAGATTAATTGCCTTCGTGAAAATCTTTCGGAAAGAATGTTACAAGGAAAATAAAATTGCTCCTCTGAGCGTTTCGCATTCAGTTTTTATCATTTCATGCTATTCTTATCTATACTGTGTACTGGTCGGAACTCGGCAGTGTTCTCTCAGCTTTGTCCAAATACACGTAATGCAACAAGCAATATCAAACCACAGACATAAACCCATTACAGGTTTCTTATCAACATCTTATCTTCCTCAACAGCGTATTTGGCGGGGCTGAGAAACCTTGGGTGGTCTTGTTATTGCAGGCGGGTAATTTAAGATTTTTTTGGTAAGGTTTAGGTGTGGTGATATTGACCCTACGATGCCATTATCTTTGCTGTTACTGACATACTTTGATCGAAATAGCCAGTGTATTTTGGACTGGGGAATTGAAAATATTTCATGGTATTTTTCAAGTTGCTTTTTTATGAGGGCGCTGTTCTGATGTATGCAGCCGCCATGGGAATTTAATGAGCCGGTTCGGTATTTCAAAAAAGTAAGGTCATGCGGGAACAAAGCGTGTGTTGTTGGAATACCGAACTGGCTCGTCGATTTCATTTGAACCACAGTTGAGCTTCATGGCACCTTCCACATTTAGAATATTTGCAATAAAACTGAAGAACTTGGCATACTCAAACATCTGAGGTAAAATATGAGAGCCCGTGAAGACATTTTATACGCATGTATTTAACCTTGAAACGTGTGAACAAAATGAAAACAAAACCATTCTGTATGTCGTTTTGTCACGTTTTTTAATAACAAGCTTCTTTCTTTGATTTTCAAACCTCATTTTTTCAAATATTACAAAAGGCACTACAGTTATTTTAATACACATAGTGAGAAATGTTTAAAGGCAGTCCTGACCGTAAAAACAGGACTGAGGCATTACTAGTGATTAATGCCATGTTTGATCATTCCTCTGTTACTATGGTTAGGGAAGCTTTTAAAAAAGTTGCAAAAGCTTTGAAATCATTAAACGGTGTTAATGTTCTTATAACAAAACATCCCTTGATAAATATAGAGACTAAAGTGGGTTCCATTTCAAGCTGAAAATGCCGAGTCATAGAGTTAGCACCAGTTATATTTTTTCTCCTAAGGCTTATACTTTTAATACTAAAAAAATGTGAATTTCTTTTCTCTACATTACATGTGTGTCTGACGGTAGTGCTTGGCTTTACAAGTAAGAATAAATAAATTTCATGCAATGTACTAATTTATATATGGAATGTTTTTGTCGAACGTCATGACGTAATTACTTTCTGAGGTCTGCCTTTTTAAATATTTCCTGTCCCTTTTTTAATTTTAGCGTTTCTCTTTAAAGTCAAAGTAGCAAAGTCGTGAATTCGATGAAGGTACATCGTAACTATAACGCACTTACCGGTAATCCAGTTACGAAAGGTACTGTCCTTTCGAACGAACTCTCCTTTGGGATTTGTCGAGGGTGCATACGTTTGGCTCTTCGTCTCACTCATGGCGTCACCAGTACTAGTACTAGCGGAACCCTGATGACGAGTATAAGTAGCAGACGACAGAAACAGAATGCTTAAGGGTAAAAGACGACTTGATGAAACCGAGTTTAATAGTGCCTTCCCACCAAATGAGACAAGAAAACCGCAATAGGCTTTGCAGAGCACGTTCATAATACGGCATACAACGAAAATATGCTTTGAACCTGTTTTTATGTAAGGTGATGAGGTCATAACCCAGTTCATGAAACTCTCCAACGAACGAAATGTGTACGATCAGACTGGTAACCATTTTTCCAGCATCGAATTTACTTTGAGAAGTCTGGGCTTCAATTTATTTTCTCACTCTTTTATCTAGCGCCCTCAAGTGTCAGACATGTACCACTCTATGTACGTACTGTCACGTGCGCGACAGAAGAGTACGTACAGAATTCATGCACAAAATCGGGTGCCCATCCCGAGACCTAAATGTGCTTGGACCTGTCTTTTTTATCCGTATTTATGTTATCATTTAATTTATTTACGTCATTTTTTAATGAGGGTAAACCTCTGAGTCCCATCAGCGCACAGCCTTTGACGTGATATCCCAAAGTGCGAACATTGCTGAATGCCAGCGTAGAAGTGGAAGTATCTAGCCTTGATTTGAACCCTTAACTCTGTGAAGATTCCCGTCAGGGAAGACTTCTTCACCAGTTACTCCATTCTTGGTGATAGTGTGCACGGGCATAGCCTGGTGTCTCCAAAGGACTTGTTAGTCATGTTTGGTCAGAACTGAACTTTACTGGAGCCCATACTTTTCCTGGAGCCCATCATAACTGCAAAAAAAAAATGCCTGCCATCTACTGTGAACCCGCGTGTTCGAAAGCTACGACAAGACTGAGGCGTCTCAGTCGGCCCAACTCAGTCGTAAAAACCTTACCGTTTTTCTCATGTCTAGCTCTCAACTAATGGCTGTACGCGCGGATCATCTAGACTCTCAAAGATGGGCTTGTGCTTCGCATGCGTCGTCTCGGCCAGCAGGCACCCGAATGGATCCGGAAGATTCATAAGTCTCGAGTTCGGATCACCAAGATGCTTGCACTGAATAGCTTGGTGTTCTTCATCAGCAACTCACCGAAGTCTATCACACTGATTAGTGATTACATCCAAGACACCCTTGGCGTAACCCGTTGGGATGCCAATGAGAACATCCAAGAAGCGTCCATCGTTCTGCTCTTTATGAACTCTTGCATCAACCCGCTCATCTACAACTTGTTCAACAAGAGGTATCGACAAGTCTTTTGGGAAGTATTCCTACCTTAGTTACTATCCACGCCAAGTCACCCAAACATGCCAATAGTTTTTCACCTGCTGATTTCTGAGGACTGAATGATAACCTGCACGATATGTGGTTAAGGGGGACCCCCCCATGTGATGCACAAGCTGTATATCCTAAGGCTATTGTGCCTACTGCACCCCGTCGGAAATCTTAAAGGAATTCCTATTAAAGATTCCATCAACACAAAAGAAGACACAATAGACAATATAATTGTAATAAAATGAAACCCTTAACTCCTTGTCCTTGTACATGTGAAACAAATTGAGGATTGTAAAGAATAAAACTACAGCTGCATAAAGAAAAACAAACAAACAAACAAACAAACAAAAACCTGCATCAAATAAAGATTGCCTAGCCCTGTTCACTGTGACTCTGGCTAATTGTGTGAAGAATTAATTACTACACCTAACGTTTAACAAAGAGCGGATCCAGAAGCACTAGTACTTTTATGGCCATTCGAGGCAGATGCCACATTTTACACGCTTTTACATATTGATACTTTTTACACCAAGCCCCCATGGGGCACGACCTCAGTTGGTCCACTCGCAGCCCGAATCCGCCCTTGCTAACACCTCGTCTACTTTCTAAAATAATAATAATAACACGTCACTTGTCTGCCGGGTTCGCGTACGTTTCGTTCTTCGATTTTAAAACGAAAATAAAACAGTCGTTTTCCGTTTTTCGATTTGAACACGAAAAATAAGGAAAAAGGCGAAGAAGTCGATTCTTGTGTTTCGTTTTGAAAAAAGCGAAAAACTGAAGTAATGTTGTTGTAAATTTCACTTTATATCCCATTTCGTTTGACTTCGTTTCGGATGTAAGCACTTCCCAAAAGAAAATTGAAGCTGCTTTTATTAAGAGTGCGAGAAATTTCCTTGTGGGTTGCCTTCTTTGAAGCAAAGAATCTCTCGTATTCCTTTAATTCATGTTCAATTTGGTGGCTTACAAAGACGATTCTTACATTACCAAATGAAAAATGAAACTGTTTTTCGTTCTTCAAAAAGTAGATAAATAGATTACGCTGTTGTTTATGTTCGTTTTCACATTGAAAAACGAAAAAGGAACGTAGGCCTAATTGTCTTGGTTTTTTTTTTGAACGAAAGACGAAAAAACGACTTTTCAAATCGAAAAACGAGAAACGTCCCGTTTGTCGATTTTCATTTTGTCGTTTTTAAATCGAAAAACGGAGAACGACTTATTTTTTGTTGTTTTGATTTTCGTTTTCAAATCGAAAAACGAATGGACGACACGTACGGCCGGACACGGACACGTCGTACGCACCCTGCCGCTCCCTTATTCCCGTGCATTTCTTTTTTAACGTAGAGCGCCCTCTGCTTTGCAGTAGTCAACATTTAAACATGGCAGCCACCATCGAGTAGTGGGCCGGTGGTGATTTTGCGTTTGAAAAAGAAAACTTACACCGTGTAAATACGGTTTTCATCAGTGTTTTTGCATCGTTTAACTGATTTTAACACACTCGAATTTGTGAACTTCACGTTTGTCTGATTCGAAGTAATTCTGAAGGCCATTAAGCGTTATGAATGCGAAGAAGAAAATTGAAGTGAATTCGTCCTCGGTAAGAACATCAAGAACGACATGCGTTGACATGTTCACATCTTGTTAATTTTTCAAGAATTCCCAACTCTGTGTTAGGCCTACTGCAGTTTGGCAAGGTAGCCTCATTCTTTCATCAAGATACATGTACTGGGCTCCCTTTGGATTTCTATGGCTACACTGTCATGATCATGATGATAGTCACTCTGTGTTTTGTAACCGTAAGCTGGTAAGGGCTTTGCTCATGTTGCTTTGTGCGCTTAGCAATGTACTCCGCGCTGCTTAACGTGTTCAGGTCAGTGAGTTGAAATGTGTGCAAGCATAAATTAAAACTAACGAGGCATTTTTTTTCATGAAAGTGTTCCACATCCAGACATCACGCGACACCCGTCTCATGAGACTGGTCTGAAAAATTTTAGCCAAAATGTTCTTTAGGCCTAGTAAATGTTTCAAAATTTTCACTACGAAATTTAACTTTTTAGGACATCACTATCTGATGGCTAAAACGACTACTTTTATTTTCATTATTTTTCCATTCCTTCATTCGTAAGTGTATTTGGATGGCCTTTGCCCTGAGTACTAGGCCCCCTATACCCAGGGTTTGGGGTGTGCTGGCTGCGTCTAGCTGACTGCACACGGCAGGCGATTAAGCCTTTCTTGTACAAGATTTTTTTTTATGCAATGTTTTTTAGGGAGAGAAAAATGAAACCACGCCATAAATACAGCATATTTGATAATGAAAATGTTAAGCTGGTGTTTCACAGGCATGCAGACGGTGGATGCAAAACATAAAATTTCCCTTGGCCTTGGAAGTAATGTACAGTCAACTGCAAAAGTTTTAAGATCACCTAGAATTTTGTGGGTATTTCTGTCACTGTGCCTGAATTTCACTGCTTTATTGAATGATTACATAAGATGTTTTGTACAGTGGTGAGAACATCAGGGCCATGCTATGAGCCAATTTGCATGAATTTTGTTGCAAAGGCAGGCCTTGTGTGAAATTTTGTATGTAAGGCAGCATGGGTAAAAAAAGCCAGTCTAAGTAATCAGAAATAAGGGAGGGCACTCTGAATGCCAGACTGTTAACATTTCAAATCATGGAAATGTAGCCAAATAGCTGTTTAACCAACATACCAAGGTTACACATTGGAAATAAACATTAGTTACCATGATTGATTGCTTTAAGTTTGATTTTTCTTCAGGTTAATGCATTTTGTATGCATGGTCCTAAACTGTTGCTAATGATTGTAGCTCCGAAATTGACCCCCCCTCCAAATCTCATTCATACTGTTGGTCATTGACTCAAAGCAACAACAAGCAGCAGTTTAAGTCAACCTCTGAAGATTCATCCGTTCTCCATTGTTTATTTATTGAACCAAACTGATGGGAGAGGAACATAATATTTTTGGCTTTTCCTTTAAGAGCATTAAAGTAACTGATTAATGAAGTTGAAGGGTTTTTCTTCACAGCTTGTCGGGCTAAAGGCGGAGTTATTCCGCAAGCAGGAGGCACTCCGAAAGGAGAAGCTACAACAGGGCTCAACTACAATCAAGTCCAAACCTGTCCCCAAGGTATGGATCATTTTTATTGATTCTACAAAGCTGCGCTGCCAAACTGAAAGTCATAAAGCCCTTTTTAGTTTTCAGAAGTTTGCAGTCGGAGGATTTTGAATGTTACCTGTACATGTATGTGTAATTTAATGCTCATAGGACTCAGAGTGGTTGAATTTTATATCAAATGGCGTTTCTGAGGCAGAAATGGAATCATTTTCCCAGCAGTTACAAAAATGACCTTAACTTTTGACTTCATTGCAGAAACCAAGCATCTGGTCCAAGAAGAATGCCGGTGTTCAATCACGAGCAGAGAAGGATAAAAGTCTTACAGTTGAGGAAGAAAACCAGTTGGACAAGTCCAGGTAATATCATTCGTTTATTGTTACTTCCACATAAGTAGGTAATTTGATTTCATCTTATTCCTTTGTGAATTATGGGTCATCTTGGACGTAAAAAGTTGTAGCACCCAACCATTACAAAGTGAAGTTGGCCATCCAGTAATGTATTATCCTCAATTATCCAGTGACGTTTCACAATTGGCATAGACTTTCATTGCACTCTTTGTGCATTTGTTTTAGTAAAGAGTTTGTGTAATGTTGAACTTCTAAATACATTTGGGTAAGACTATCAAATGAGTGAATAAAAAGTTCATTGAGTTCCTTTAAAAGTCTCCATTCCCAGAGTGTTGTTGCAATACCCGTATCAATCCATTAAAAAACACTGACGTTTTGGTGTGTTTTTCAGGGCAGCCCTTGAGGCCAAGACTAGGCTGTATGAGCAGATGTCTCAAAGATCTGTACTGTCTGCAGGTACGTGTAAATCTCAACCTCCATAGTAGTCTGGTTCCCTGTGCATACCAGTGCCTTTTGTACCAGAATAAATAAAGGAGCCTGACCAAAGTGAACAAAAGAGAAGCAAGAATATTGGATTTTTGACGCCAGAAGTTGGAACATCTTACAACCTGAATGACTGTCAAGTGTTACTCCCAACAATAGAGATGATTGTCTAATATGCATCTTTGCTCTGATTAAAGTTGTAGTTAAAGTCACCTGAATAGGTGCAAATACCGTGATATACAGAGAAAATCAAGAAATGTAAAAAAATCTACATTGATTCCTCTAGCCCTTTAGCCAAAGTTAAGAGAAAATATGTTTTGTCGGGCAGATGATGAGGTATCAGACCGCTTCTTGGTCGATTTTGAAAAGAAGGCCATCGATGAGCTCCATGAGGAAAAGATATATCAGCAAGAGAAGAGTGAGGAGACAGAGTATGAGATGGGAGCTACAGATGTTCCTGGCCCAGTCGACCCAGAGGATGAATGGTAGGAGAAATTCCTTCCCAGGAATAAGTGGAACCAGGGAGGGGATTCATTGGCAAGGTCTTTGCAGAAAAGTTGATTTCCTGTTGGGTTCTCCCTCTCTTTAAGTGTTGCGGAGAGAAATGTCAAAACTCATGAAAACTTTCTGATTCTTCACAGCCATATCTCTTGATGCTGTGCAAAATGTAAATAAAACAGTCATCAGATATGATATTTCTTCAGAAATGGATGCCTCCTCTTCAGATATGTTTCTGCTGAGGGAACTCTGACCGTATATGAAGCTATTTGCAAAGGGCCAGTTTGTGAATCACTCAAAATACAACTCTGTCTAGAAAACACAGGACCCTTCAGTATTTGAAAATTTCATCATGTAATTCTTTGAAGCCATGTCAAACCAATGTTCCAATTTGGTGTAGTAAGGATCAGAAGAGACCTACTTCCTGCAGTCTGGACGAGGAAGCTGGCGGAAGCACTTCAGGAGTGAGCCAGTTTAAGAAGTTTTGAGCCTCTGTCTAAAAACCAAAAGGCCTACTCTTCATACTTGAAAATTTCTAAATGTGATTCTTTAAAGCTGAGGTAGTATTAGTATGGTCAAGATTAGTAGAGAAGAACGTTTTAGAGTTTCGTTAAGGAAACTGGTTGGAGATACCTCAGTTTAAGGGCAACTGCAACAAACCTATATTCTCATTCTGTGTTCTATTTTGGATACCAGGGTAGACTATGTTGATACTCTCGGACGATCGAGACGATGTATGAAGAAAGACCTTCCAGAGCTGATCAACATGGACAAACGCCTCAACCCACAGGCTTTCAAGTAAGTCTAGAACTCTCCTTAAAGTCCTTAAAGCAAAAGGAACTGTAGAGATTTCTTTAATTTTAAGCTTTGTTGAGGCATTTTGAAAAGCTATCAGGATTGGCATATGATTCTGGTGGAAATGTCTATCTCTTTAATCTCATTTCTATTTTGATTTAAATTCTTAACCTCTGTCTAAATTTTAAAGTAAAACATAACTCAGTAAATATTAACATTGCCTAACTCTTAAAGTGGTTGGGGGACAGGTCCGTTGATAATTTCTACGATGTCATCACAATGCATCTTTTTCTTTTTTTTTACTGAGCCTTTCGGAGTTTTTCTACTAATGCCTTGCAATCATTTTGAAATTAATCTTGAATGTACCATTCTTGCAAAAGGCCCATTTTTCCAAGATAGGCCAGCCAAACTGTCAACTTTGCCCATTGACGTGTTTGATGTACGCTTGCTGATGTGTGAGAAGCCATACACTATAAATGCCCATAACAAAATCATGTCTTTGAACTTCACAGGTGTACTCATAATGAATGTCATTAAGTGCATGATAAGTGTCAAAAAGACTGGGAGTATATTGATTTTCAGAGAAAAAAAATAATCAAAAGAATTACATACAGCCATCCCTCACAGTATCCTCCTGTCTGCCCGTTGGATGATTGTATACCGGAAGGTGACATTTTTGTCATTGTTTTGTTACGCACCTCAGAGACGCTGAAGAGAAGACTACATCTGAGGAACCACTACCTGATCTCCTGTCCAGTGACATGTACCGAGAGATGATGCGCAAGAAGTGGGAGGAGGAAGAGGAAGAAATGAGGAGGCGGGGACCAGGCTCAGTACACTACCAGAACGTCAGGTTTGACGGTAATTCAGTTCGCTTCTTGGCTCTGTTTATGCTCAGCAAGGTAAATCTGGTTTTGATCAGTGTGTTGTCCGACCACGTCAGGTCACGTCCACTCAGGACAGCCTGATTCCATCAAGTTGAGTCATGCAGGTCACTCTAGGTCATTTTTGGTTTGAGTCAAGTCACTGCAGGTCAACCAGGTCAGAATGAGATAGTTAGAATCAAGTCAAACCATATTGTGTCTGATGTTAGGTTGTACAAGCTCATGATCGGTCATCAAGAAGGTAGCACTGTGTTATAACTATCTCATTGTTCCATTTTCATCTCTGATTAATTCTTATATCTCTCATGTCTGAACATTTCCCCCCATCTATCAATTTTCCAGAGGTCCGAGAGATGGGCGTGGGTTACTTTGACTTCTCCAAGGATGAGAGCGAGAGGCAGAAGCAGATGGAGATGCTGAAGCACCTGAGAGACGAGACTCTGGACCAGAGGAGCAAGAGTGAACAGCTGAAAGCCAAACGCAAGGCTGCTCTGAAGGCACGGCTGGAGAAAGTCAAGCAGCGGAAACGTCTCAAGGGGGAGCTGGTGGAAGATGAGGAGGAACAGAAAGATGAAGAACGGGAAGAAAGGGAAGAGGGAGAAGAGGTGCAACAAGAGGAGGATGTACGGCAAATAGCAGAGAGATTGAAGGCTGCCCCCATCAGGCCCTGGGATATAGGAAAAGGTAAACATTCAGAAATGCAGATCTGAGTCCAGTGAAAAAACCTGTCAGTTGTAAATTGATTGCTAAAAATTTCCCCTTTTCATTCTTGCTGTCAACAGAAGAATCTCAGTGGGAACGAGTCAAGAGGCAGGTTAGAGCAGAGCGCCCTCAAGAGTTCGCACCTCCAAGTTGTTACTACGATGGAACAGCACCAGCGGCCAAGGCTAACCCCAACACCTTGAGAAACAACCCACAGTCCAAAAGACTGCAGGAGTTTGCTCCTCCCACAGATTATGGTAAGAGAATGTATAAAGATGGCGGTGTTCATTCTTGGGATTGGAACTGTCTTGGTGGTGAAGCTACAACCAGTGGGAGAATGCCAAGAAAGGATGCAACCAACAAAAGTGAACATGGGACAGTTGACGGCAAAAGCATAGCACAAGCATTGTCATTCTTCAGACAGAATATGAAATGAGCATGTTAATTTTTTTTAGAGAAATAAAATCACACAATTTGTCATGAGGTTTCTGTTGATCCTGTAAATGGGGTAAGCATTCAAGTTTTTAAGAACAG